AAGAAAATAATCTATCGAGAAATGAGTTGTCACTTCCTAAGAGCGTACTAAAAGCGATGAAGAGCCTTCTCTTACTATGCAAACCTAGAGATGAAGCTCTGTAAGATGTATCCCACCTTCATTTAACTCATCTTTATTAGATAACATTTGTTAGAGAACTGTAAAACTATTATTTTTTCACTTTTTCAAGTGACAACTACTAGAGACAATTCGATGACTCACTTCATTGATTTATAGACTTCGTAACAAAATTTAAAAATTATTTATATCATCAATGTCCAAAAAGAGCTTTTGAGGCTATTGACATCATATAATAATTCTCTTGAACACACAGAATTTTAAGGATCGCTGTTGTAAAGCCAAAACTTTATCTTTCTTATTTTAAACTTAAGTTTTGCTTAATTGAATAATATTGTATATGATTTCAAGTTTTTAAACTATTCTCTATTAAATTAAGATTCTTCTAGTTTTTATCAAACTTAATTTGACATATTAAGTCATCTGTAATCACTTATGTAAGAATCATTAGACATAATTTTATTTCTACTTGATTCGTGTTCATCAAGATGTTGACATCACCTTAGCATCAGCACCCTTATTTCCTTTTTTGTGAAATTTTAAATATATTTTATATTCATCATTTAGTCTAAAAAGTATAAAAAGTTATATTCATTTAAAAAAAATGAAATATTATATAGTATTATCATACATCCTTATGATCAACTTGAAATTTTTTCACTATTTTTAAAACTTTTTATCTAATTATAATTAATTTATTTATTCTAAAAATATTTATAAAAATTGAAAAATTAGTAATTTCTAGTTTTACAAATTTTAAATTTACGTGATTTATTATATAATGACTAAATCATGTCAAATACTAAGAAAATTACCTCCAGAAAGTTTGGCCAAAGTATAAAATCAAATATATATATATATATATATTATAAACCCTAAATCTTTAGCCTCTTTAAGTAAGTGAGTTGCCATTGAATCTCATAAAATTACAGCGTATGAGTTGAAGCAATATTAGGTCACCCCTTGAGAAGGGGCTAGGCCTAAGTCCCCATAAGGGACAAAAAAAAAATATTAGGTTTGGTTCATGAAGGAATGAGACATTGAGAGGGTGATAAACGATAGGATAGAATATTTTGAGAAGAGTGCTAAAAAGGGAAAAGGGAGGGACTAACGGAGCAAGATAAAGACCAGGGATAATCAATTAAATGAGAATTAAAAGAGAACGAGGCTGACAAATGGGGACTGAGAGATTCATACCATTCTAAACTTAAAATTTTGTGGCTACGCATCAAGAACGTAGTAAGCACAAGACTAGGAGATCAGACTTGTGATCGATGGATCTCTAGATGAAAGCCAGTATATTTTCCAATTTTTGAAAGAAAAGGGAGGAACGGTTAGAAGCCGGGGACTAATTTTGTCCTACTCGACCTTTCTAACGGGTAGTGGCGTTCGAAATGAGCGGAAAGCGGAACCGACGGAGAGGGAAAAGAGCAAAGAGTGTCGTCGGGGTGTGAGGCGGAGAGCGGCGGAAAGAGGGGTTGGGTTGGAGGTGGAAGACCTCGAATGGGGTGGAGGGGTGTTGCGAACGCAGAAGCAGCCATCTTCGGCCATGGTCACTTCCATGGAGCCTCATCTTCATTTTTTCTCTTCTACTCGCTTTGTACACTTCGGTTCCTTGTTTCTCACTCCCTTGTTCCGCCTACTCGTATTGGACCAGTTGACTTTTTGATACCAGCAAAAAGTTCACATTAGTGAAAAAGAAAAGAAAAGAAAGGCAATCCTTTCAACGCATAAAAGATATAAAATCGAAATCTGCAATGATACACCACAGAATAGGCTGATCCTAGTATTTGGGTGGGGAAGGGGATCCGATCCTGCCTTGAATGTTTCAAAAGGAAACTAAATCCGACCGAATAGGTCGAATAATGGGCTGGGCTGGGCTGGGCTGGGCTGGGCTGGACTGAACTGAACAGAGAGCGGTCAACTCTGGAGAGATCAGCTAATCTTGGCTAACGACTTAAACCTTACTCAGACTGGTCAGCTCCAAGCGGCATAGCTGCTGTGAAGGGCAGCTCATTAGAGGGCGATAGAGGGGAAAAAAAAGGAAGGAAACAGTGGGGGAAGAAAGAAGAGGGAAAAATATGAATAGTAATCATAACCTGGAGCCAATATCAAAAACCAAATTTAACTTCTAATAGCTGCTGGCAGGGCACTGGCGGCTTGAAACCTCTGCCATATACACCTCACCAGGCACCATCCTACCCATGCCATGCCAAGAATCGGGTTTGGGAGAGGGGTTTTGGAAGAAATAGTCTTTGCGTGAATACATTTTAGGGATAATTGATTTAATGTGCTCTTCTCATAAATCTAGTCATCAATAGTTCATAAAAACATGGTTGTAATATTTTTCACACTTTTTACCCATATTGAGCGCGTCCTTTGGACTGGCTTCTCTGCCCAATTTTGTCCGATCCAATGTGGATCATGTCGGGCCTGAAAGATTGAGACACCTGGTCCAACACCAGTGCCACAGCCTTGAGAGTTTATAGATTCTAGTGCCCACAATACTAGTGACTTTTTGGGGTCATAGATGTTGCACGAAAATTCTCCTAAAATACTCAAAATTCTAGTGATCACCATTATGATGACGGGACTCTATTTTTCTTATTATAAAATTTAATTATTATTTAAATTAGTGAGATTTTGTGTGATTTTAATTTTTAAAACTCTTATTTAGTCAAATACGACTCTTTTGACTTTTATAGATATTTGATCAATTAAATTATTTTTAATTCTTATGTAATAGTCACAAAGCTGAATTTTATTGTCTGAATCACATTCATCGGGGCACTCACATTGTCTTGATGTCATCATCCAAAGATTGACCACGTTGTAAATGTCTAAAAAAACCTTTTGGGTTTATAGACATCGCATGAAAATTCTCTTGAATGCTCAAAATTTTGGTGATCACCTTAGCAATGCTAAACTCTATTTTTCTTATTTTAAACGTAATTATTCTTCGAATTAGTGATATTTTATGTGATTTCAAATTTTAAAATCTTTATTTAGTTAAATAGAATTCTTTTGACTTTTATAAATACTTAACTAATTAAATCATCTATAATTCCTAACATAATAATCATTGAGTTGAACTCTATTTCCTTCCAAATCATGTTTGTTGGGACATTGATGTCAACATTTGAATTTACTTTTTGTGTATTTTTAAATAAACTTTATTTTCATTGTTTAATCTAAAAATTATAAAATATTTTATTATTATTTTGAAAAATTATAAAATATTACATAATATTATATTATATCCTTTATTTCAATTTTTTCTCTATTTGTATATCATTTTATTTAATTATAATTGATATATTTGTACTAACATACTTTTAAAAATCTTTAATTAATATTTTTTAGTTTTATCAATTTTAAATCTATGTAATTTATTATACAACGATTAAACCACACCAATCTCCATGATAGAACTAAGTCCAAAATATTTCAAAGACATACAAGCTAAATTAAGTTTTTGTCCACATAAGAGACACATGAAAATGGGAGACAATGGCCGTCTACCCACTTAAAAGGTTATAAGTGAAGAATATTAAGAGTCAATAGATGTGATCAGTAGTTGTTGGTCAATGCATTCAATGTTGTTCAGGTTCAGCTAGAATTGAAAGATCTAGAATTCATCTAAATTGTTCATTGTGAATAGCATTTGTTAATTTATTATTCTTTCTCTTTTTATGCTGTCATGTTTTCTATCTCAATAGTTATTTTCTACAAATAACATATTTTTACATGATTTAAAACATTTTTTAAAATTTATTTTGAGTTACTTTTTAATAGCCGTACATAATGTTAAAAATAACTATAGTACTTAATTAAAATGTGAATATTATTTTGAAATTTTAATTATATATTTGATTTTAACTTTCATAATTAATAATCTTTCAACACCAGCGTAGTGTTGCAAGGGTTGTTGACGTACTTTAAATACTACATACTAATGTTAATCAATCATTTTATTTATTAAGTTAAATGTAATAATATAAAAAAGTCAACAGAGGAGTAAGCGATGGAAGAAAGTTGAATGCTTCTTCTAGAAACGTTGCCACACTGAAAGTGTGTACTTATCAAAGGGTATACAAAAATTGCCCAAGATGAGCTGAATGATTCCTTTTCCTTGATTTTATTATACGCAAGAGTTGAGTCAATCAACTTTTCTCGAATCACAAACTCTTAAGATAATTAAAGAACATAATTAAATTTTGGATTGATTTTTGTCACACATATTGGCGCACTCTTCTCATACTTCCACGATGCATGGATCGAAACTTTGAAGTTGACGACCGAATCTGTCATTGGGGGAGGGGGGAAAAGAGGGAAAGAGATCAGGGGTCAAACGGACGGGGGATTTCTGGCTCGGGAAAGAATCCAGACTCCGACCATACTCTGGCCCGGCTGAGAAAGCATTAAATGAGGGGTTCGGGGTACCCGCCCATAATTCAATTCAATAGTGGAATACTCAGTGATGCGCATTGCTGCATGTTTCTCTCGACGGGCTCCCGTCCTTAAATCTCAGGCTCTATAAGGTCATCTGTTGTAAAAACGATTCGCCTCCGGAAGTCATTAAAATAGAGCGGAAGCCGACCGTTCACTTCTCTCCCTATCCGCTTCGATGCTCGGTGGGTGGTGGCGGGCTGATGCTAATGACGAAGACGATGGATGCCGCCACGTTGGGCGTCGGATTTCGGAGCAACGCCCCCGTTGTCCGAGCGGCTTCCCTGGCAACTCCATCTTCACTAGGGAGCGGACTCTGTTGGAGGTTGGGGAGCCTCTGCCGACGCCGCCACTGTCTCCCCGGTGTTGCGAACAGAGTCCGAGCCGCACCACCGCAGCACCACCATTGGGCGCCGGAGGAAGAACCAGAAGATGGAATCAACCAAAGACCCCTCTATCACCCATTCGAGGAGATGGCGGAGCCTCTCCCCGAGGTGCAGGGTGAGGCGCGGCTCACGGACGCCGAGATGGCGCGGACCATAATCGAGGTAAGAGGTACTGCCGCCTCCCTACGAGCCTCACAGACGCGTTTCTTTTATGGCATGCCCTGCTTATACAGTACTACCCTTATGAAAACCAGTTGATATTTGTCACAGGAAATGGAAAAAACTCCCTGTCTTCTGCTATATAAACCTCGTTCTTGTGTAACCGTGGCCTTCGTGACCTTCTACCCGGTGCCAAAATTATTTTCCGCCATATTTCATACCCATCCCTGCAACTTAAACTGCCCTCCTCTTCCCCTGAAATTAAGAAACCCATCACTGCATGTCTTTCGACACCTACTTTACTGATGACCCTGCTTACTGATATCCAGGTGCACAGCAAGGCTGCTTTGTTGTTCTCAGCTTTGATAAATGACGAGGTTCAGGAGAACATTTTCTGGCCCGAGTTGTCGTATTTAACTGACGAGCACGGAGGTTATTGCTGCTCTTGCTCTTTGAAATCATGATTTCCTTGTAGTCAACTGTTCCTCTTTTTTATTGCGTCTTAAAATATATTCTGTGACTATCGTGTGATTCATCTAATCCCGTCTCTGCAGATATTTACTTTGAGATGAAAGATGACGAGGATATTTTGCAGACTCTAAATGCTGATGATAAATTAGTGGTAAGGGGCATTTAAATCCCCATATATATTGTTCTGTTGCCCTTTTGTTAATGTTTTGTTCTCGAACCAGCAAGTAATTGTAGGCTTGGACAACATTGAAAGGCTCTCAGAAATGGATTTATTAGGACCTTCCAATGTTGATTTCGGTATTGAAGATATCACAAATGAGGATCCCGACATTACTGATGATTATGAACAGGTAAAGTCTTTGAACCCCTGTAATCTGCTGGATTTGTTTCGACGAGATAATTCATTTCAATTGTCAAGCTTTCTTCATAATGCCTCTATAATGCATATGTAGGATTATGTATCGGTGATTGATGACGATGATGATGATGGACAGTATGATGTTGTCCTCAATGACAACGAAGATGATGATGACTATGATGACGACGATGATGTGGATGTGATTTCTTCTGAACCATTTGGCGATTGGACAAATTTAGATACCTTAAAATCTGCTCATCCAATGTACTTTGCTAAGAAAATATCAGAGGTATGCTTCTCAGAGAAGTATGAACAGTATGTATCCTGATGTTGTAGTGTAGGAACAGGCAATTCCGCTAACTTTTACGTATTTATTCTTTCAAATCCATATAATGTGCTATTCTAAAACCAAAACCGGCGAATCTAGTATACATTTTTATTCCTTTGATGGGTTTCTGGTTAATTGGTTCCTTATTCCAGGTTGTATCAAGCATCCATTTAGATTGGATGGAACAGCCACCTGCTAGCCTTGTCATCCAAGGTCTTCTGAGACCTACCATTGTTGAAGACAGCTTTGTCTCTCGAAAACCAAACCAGTCAGGTTAGTAACCTATACTTGACTGGGAAAGCACTGTAGCAGTGCTAGATTGTTTATGTTTGGATACCACAAGCATGGGAAAAAAATTAGTCCACAGCCTCATCTCAAGAAACTGCAAATTTATGCAGAGAAAGCAGGGAGAGAAGAGAGCCTTCAAAGCGGAACGTCGTTTTATAAGCTGGAAATCATCAACATATATCTGGTCTCTGCATATGGCAGTCAGGCAAGTTTCTGATTATCTGATATCAAACGCTTTAGCAATTATCACATTTGGGTCCCGGCATGCAGTTAAAGTGTTTTTGCTCTTAATTCCTTTCAGGCTAAAACCCAGATCGGTCTATGCAAAATTCTATAGTCTGTCCTGTTTCTTACCTTTTTATTAGACCCTTAGATTCCCCTTTCATTGTGGGTTAATTTTCTATTGTACCATATTTGTGGTTTCCTTTTTCGTCGACTAATTTTTTTTTTATACTGGTGTCCCAGTGTTCATATTTGTTGCATAACTATTGGTGTAACAAGCATTTCAAATTGCAAGAGGCTACTTATTCAGTTTATCTCATTGGTAATTTATCATCATGCAAGAAGGAAGAACCACGAACCAAACAACATGATATATTGAGTGATTTTTTATTATCCTGAATATGGATAAAAGTTATGTATTTTCTTTCAGTTTGCGTCCTATCCTTGCTTCAAGGCATAACAACTAAATTTCATCACTTCCAGTCTTTAGTAAAAATTGAAGACTTTCGCAAAGCTCAGCCAGACATTCTCGCACATTCAGCAGCTAAAATTATTTCTCGCTTGAAGTCTTGTGGTGATAAGATTATTCAAGCTCTTAAGTCCCTTTGTCTCAGGTCCAAAGGTCTCCATGTTGAGGTAATGTGATAATTTTTTTATTCCGTGTTTATGGAAATCTTGTGTTTTATGTGCACTGAGAAAAAATCTTCATTGCAACTTTTGAAGATTGAGAAGACTTATATCCTACCAGATTTTAACACTTTGTTAGCGTGAAAGTTGTGTACATTGGCTATTCTGAGAAATTACATGTATGGTCAAGATACATAGGTCGTCCACTCATCAGTACATTGGCTATCAGATGGAAGGTCTTAGTCGTGTTAGTGTGATATCATAATTCTTGGCTTTTTTGTAAGATCTATTCATCTCGTTTCCATTATCTACATAATAGGGTCTAAAGGCATCAGCTTGTACGTGAACTCTACATCCTGATGCTAACCTTCTATCCATAATTGGTACTATCCACATGATAACATCCTGCAAGAACCGACCTGCATGTTAGAACATTTTCACATGGCATGTGGCCAATTAAACTTGGGGTCATAACATACAGATCGGCACCAGTTGTTGCCAACATTATTGTATTTAACAGCCTAGATCTTTCTCTGGGACAGACTATTTTAACCCAGTATGCGTTGTCTTGTACCTGTGATTTTGCCTCAGTAATGCAATAGTCTCCTTGACCGGTGCCTCAAATCTTAATCCTTAAATGGTCCAGTTGGCCTAACTGAGTCAACTTCTTTTTCGAGGGCAGTACTCAGACTTGGATTTGTTGGGATTTCTTGACCTCTAGTCACACCTGGTTGGTGGCATTTTGAACTTTCACAGTTCTGAGACATAGGAAATAGGATATGAAAATCTTAACGATGTCTTTACTTTTCTTCTTCCTCATTTTATTTCATTGACAACTTCCAGTATCTTGGAACTGAATCAGTTATTGATGCGCCAAGAGCATCTCTGAGCTTTATTTTTTTCCTTTGAATCATGTTCTCCTTAGCTATGCTTATCTTGCTACGAGCTTTCAGAAAGCTATAGCTTTTACACATTTCTGTAGGATTCTTCCTTACAGGAGATGGTTTCCTTCAGATGGAATCCCTGGGCTATTTATAGTGATTCAGATAAATTCATTGTGAGGACATGCTAGTCGTTTTAATAGGCTACTGGTGGATGCCTCCTGCAAGAGGACTAATCAAGAGGGATATCAACTTTGATAATAGACCTTGAGGTGTCTTCATCTTGCATAAACCAACAAGACCCGCAAGTTAGCATCAATTTCTCATTACTTTTTCTACAATCTCCTTAAAGCCTTCTTTTGGAAGTTCTAGGTCGTAGGAAAATAGTGTAATTAGTTGAGGGTGTTTTTGGAAAAGTGTCTAGGATTTCTCCCTATGTTAAGGGGTGTAATGGTTGAATGGAATTGAGGTGGTTTCCGCCATTCTCCCCTGTCCTCCGTGACAGAGGTCGTTTCTCCATTTTCCAAAACCTTCCAAAGTGGAATGAATTAAATTGCAAAAGAATTATAGCTGGATACAGTAAAGCAAAAAATTGAAAACAGAAAAAAAAACATGAAAATTATACCTCCAACTTGAGTGGCAGTAAACTATTAGCTCTTCTTTTTTCATCCATTACTGATCAACTTGAGTTGATTATACAATGTTCCGAATTCTTTTAATTTTATGGCTGTCTTAATATTTTCATAATGAATTTCTTTTTCTAGACCCAATTCGGAGGAACTTCTTTTGTTGACCATTTCGAGATTTTATGTGCCTATTGTGTCTTTCATGATTACATCTTACTTAACCTAGTGATTCATGGTGCATATAATTGTTGACAGGAAGTCTTTCTCAGTGGATTGGATAGTCTTGGTTTTGATTTGAGGGTGTGTTCTGGAACACAAATCCAGACATTACGATTTTCATTTAGATTACAGGTATTTCACGTATTATTTTCTTTGCACCATTGCTTTTGTTTGAATTACCATCAACGGAGGTCCAAAGACATGATATTTAATGAGCCTTCTTTTTTACTATGCCTGTTATAGAGAGAGTGCTTGGGCACAGAGAGAAAATGAAAAGATATATTATGATAACTGCACTATAATCCAAGTTGGATAAAGATCCCAAATATTGGGTGATAGCAATTCTGGCCCAAACTCTTCAATTATTTGTCTGTTGGTGTACCTTGAATTATTGTACCTCACATGTCTCTCTTTATTATCTCACGTGTCACATGTCATGTTTTTCCTTTTCTGATTTCTAGTGTTTAAAACCTTCAGGAGGGTCTGATATAAATACCAGAACCCTGCCATGGGATGTAACATGAAAAAACATTATTTCTCATTGTTGAATTCAACCTCCCAATCTTCACTAGGAAAATTGAATGAGGATCAACATGGTATTAGAGCCAATTCAGGTTTGGTTGCTCTTTTATTTTTCTCTATTTGGGAGATTTATTTTTTTGTTGTCCCTTTCTTGAGGACATCTGATCATTGATTGGAAACCAACTTGAGCATTTCCTCTTGTTTCTTTTCTTGAGCCTATGTCAGAAGTAGGTGACACCTCTATTACCTTAATGGATTCTAATTCTGGAACATCAAGATTGGTGATAGAACTTCCTACTATGCCCATGGAATTCTAGTTAACCAGTTATATCTTAACTTAGTGATCATAATATATTAGGGATGTTCTGATTGGATGAGGGATGCTACATCATTTGGAGGATATGACACCAGACTTCTCGTCACGTCAATTTTGGAGGTGGTGGGAGGAGGATGCCTTAATAAAGACTTGGATCTGGGTAATTATGATTCCCCAAATCAGTCGAAATTTTGTTTTTCTTGGCTACTGCCAAAGACTTATGGGAAACAATTCATATGAAATGCTTGAAGAAAAATAACAAGCCACACATATCTAATGCTGAGAGAACCAAGTTAGTATTGGAATATCCTAGGGAATTGAAAAACCTATGGCAAGAACTTGATTATTATCTCAGTGTTGGAATTAAAAACCCTAGTGAGCTTGTTGTTTTGGGAATTTCTTGTTATATTAAACCATGTGTTTGATCATGTCAGACAACAAAATTTTAGGATGCAAGTCACACTATACCTTGATGAGGTGATCCTAGTTGTCCTAAGTAAAGAAATGCATCAATTGTCTGGACAAGATATGGATAATGCTGCATTTGTGGTCAAGCTTGGGTTCACTATGGAGAAGGTTGCAGATCCGAGCCACTCTTTGTATAAGGAAAAACTCAAAAGTCCGACTATAAAGGAAGGTATTGTAGGAAATCCCATCATACTAGGAATAGATGTTGGAAACTCCACCGTAGGTCATAGAATTTCAGTTTGGAGAATCGTACGAGTTAGGTGCATCTAGCAACCGATCCATCCACTAGACAAAATAGAACAACCTCTTGTTGAATTGGAAAAACTAAACTTGACGGTGGCACAGTAATCACAACTCACATTAATAAGATTGATGAGTTCCACTGTCTTTGAATTCAAGATCCATCTCAAAACATTACTAAATGTTAGGTAATAAGCTCGAGAACAATGAACCATACGACAAACTCTTCCCATCACTTTGTTACATACACTTTGCTCTAGTAGCTAGAAATTGTCTACTATTTATGGTACACTTATCACAATTGTTAGTATTGGTGACCTCACCTTTGAACCTCTTAGACATTGTATCAAAGAAGTCCATGCTCCTGAACTATTTACCAACCTCACTTTTGATAATAAATCAGTCAACAATTCACCTTATTATGCTTTTTTTGTGAAGATATTTATGTTATTTGATAAGGTTTGGCAATGGAGGATGGGAATTACTAGAGAATGTGGGGGACTCTACTTCTTAAGGGGGACTCAGTCAAACCTGTCTTGTGGAAATAGAGTGTCTTTAAAGTATCCCAAAGTTCTTTCTCACATTTGGCTCCTTCCTTGATTCAAAAGTTTTCCATGGAGTTTCCATCTCAGTTCACGAGTATAACGTGGTTTTCTTACACTAAGTGCACCATAGGCCATTCTTATGGCTGATCTTAACAACTTGTGTTGTCTCGAGATCTGGCCATCCTCCCTTCAGCACCATGAAAAATTATTTCGCTTGATTGTTCCAAAACGTGTTTTTAGTCACACTCAAATGTGATACATGTGAACTCTCCAAACATACTCATACATCCTTTCAAACAATAGGTGAAAGAAGTGAAATCCCATTCTTCCACATCTATGGTGACATTTGGGGACCATGTCCCAATGTTGATCTGTTACAAAATAAATGATTTGTTACCTTTATTGATGATTGTACTTGATTTATTTAGATATTTCTTCTCAAGTAGAACTCAAATGTTATATCTGCATTGAAACATTTTTGTGCAATGTTGAAAGTCATTCTAGTACATCTACTAAGAGATTTAGAAATGATAATGTTAAAGAATACTTTTAGTCACAATCTAAACTGTTTCTTTCAATTGGAAGGTATCATACACGAGTATTCTTGTGTTTATACACCTCAGCAAAATAGATTAGGAAAATTAAAAAAATGGCATCTCTTATAGGTTACATGATCCCTTTTGTTTTATAAACATGTATTAAGATTTTTTTGGGGTGAAGGCATCCTAACTGCAACTTATTAACCGTCATGGTGTGAGATTATTAAATTTTCTCAGTCTTTTGGACATGTTAACCTCTGCTTTTCCTACTGATCAAATTACAAAGTATTATTGTGTTTATACACCTCAGCAAAATAGATTAGTAAAATTAAAAAAATGGCATCTCTTATAGGTTACATGATCCCTTTTGTTTTATAAACATGTATTAAGATTTTTTTGGGGTGAAGGCATCCTAACTGCAACTTATTAACCGTCATCGTGTGAGATTATTAAATTTTCTCAGTCTTTTGGACATGTTAGCCTCTCCTTTCCCTACTGATCAAATTAGAAAGTACATTGGTGTCATGAATATTTGTTCATAACTAAAGGTAAACTGGATCCACGAGCCCTCAAGTACATTTTTCTTTGATATTCAACCATTCAAAAAAAGGTTATCGCTGCTATCATTCTCCTACTCATAAGTTTTTCACAACAATAGATGTTACATTTCATAAATCTGAATCCTATTTCTAAAAAAAATTCTTCAACATACCTATATCGTATCACCATATAGCTGATTTGTTTTACTCCCCTTTGGTAAGTAGGATGCTTGTGTCAATTTCAATATTTCTAAAAAATCTTACTCTACCTTATCTGCTTCCTAAACATCTCAGATTGAACCGAGTTTATACCAAGATAAGAGCACCTCTAATTCTATATCATCCTAAGATCCTAAGCCTATCTTAGATGATATCCAAAATACTTCATCTGCTCTTTCATCCAATACCAACCATCCACATCCTAGTTCACTTCCTATTGCCCTACAAAACTTTCATGAGCATGCCCATTTCCTCTCTTATCAAAAAAATTCTCCCACGTATAGGTCTTTTCTTACTACCCTGGATCCTACTTCACTTCCTATTGCCCTGAAAACCTTCCATGAGCATATGCCCATTTCCTCTCTTATCAAAAAATTTCTCCCACTTATAGGTCTTTTTTTACTACCCTAGATGATACTACATTTCCAATTAATCAAACTATTTATGAAGGAGTGAAAATAAGCTATGGATGAAGAAATAAATGCTCTTGAAAGAAATCAAACTTGAGATCTTATGGTTTTGCCCAAGATAAAAAGGTAGTTAGCTATAAGTGAGTGTATTATGTGAAATATAGAGTTGATTGCTCAACTGATTGTATAAGTTCAAACTAGTTGTTAAAAGCTATGCACAGATACATGGAGTTGACTATCAAGAAACATTTTTTATTGTGGTGAAAATGAACATATAGTTAGAGTAGGAACTATTTTAAATTGGAACATCCAACAATATGATGTAAAGAATAATTTTCTTCACATCCATCTTACTAATGAAGTTTACATGACTCTTTTACTTGGCTATGAAGGACAACTATCACCGAATATTGCGTAAGCTCAAGAAGTCCTTGTATGGACTTCAATAATCTCCTCATACTTAGTTTGAGAGTGTACTCGATATAACACGGTCTGGAGCTCTGATAGGCACCCAGCACTCGTGGAAGAAGAACTCTAACTCTTTATTGATCAAAAACTGTTTACAAGGAGAGCGGGATCTAATATTTATATCAGATCCCTAGAAGGTTCTAGACACACTGATATAACACGAAATGAAAGGTACATGAGGACATATATGTAAACTTGTAAGGTATACATGTTATTAAGTACATCTTGACAACACTCCCCCTCAAGCTGGTGAATGGATATCGTCCATTCCCAGCTTGGGAATAATCTTCTACAGTTGTGTCCCCGAGATGCCTTTAGTAAGCATATTTGCCAACTGATTATTTGTTGGAATGTATGATATACAAATCACATTGGCCTCAAGTTTCTCTTTGATGAAATGACGATCAATCTCCACATGCTTGGTACGATCATGCTATACTGGGTTGTGCACTAGATTGATTGCTGGCTTATTGTCACAAGAAATCTTTATAGGACTGAATAAAGGAATTTGCAACTCGTCAAGTAAGTTCTTGACCCAAAGTAACTTACATATTCCTTGAGCAAGTGCCTTAAATTCAGCCTCAACACTTGATCGAGCAACTACATTCTATTTTTTACTCCTCCAAGTGACAAGGTTGCCACCAACAAAAGTAAGATGACTGGAGGTTGACCTTTGATCAATCGTTGAGCCTGCATATCAGCATATGTAAACATCTCAACCTCCACCTTTCCACTTCGTTTAAAAAGAACTCCTTTTCCTGTTGTGCCTTTCAAATAATGTAGCACTTGGTAGGCAGCATGTAAATGACACTCTTTAGGTTGATGCATAAATTGGTTCAATATACTCACTGCATATGAGATATCTGGTCGAGTGTATGTTAGATAAAGTGGTCGGCTAATGAGACGTTGATACATCTCATGGTCAATAGAAATTTCTTCATCTGCCATATACAATTTTTGGTTTGGATCAATAGGTGTATTGGTTAGTTTACATGCAGATTTTCCTGTTTAAGCTAATAAATCTGTTATGTACTTTCATTGAGAAATAAAAATGTCTTTAGAAGAATGTGCCACTTCGATTCCTAAAAAAATACTTGAGTCATCTCAAAGTCTTGATATCAAACTCTTGGGCCAAACAATTGCTCAAGTTTTGGATCTCCCCTTCATCATTTCCTATGATGATAATATCATCAACATAAACTAATAGAACTTTAACTCTTCCTGAAGAAGAGTGTTTAAAAAATAATGTGTGATCAGCATTACTTAGGTTATAATTCAGTTTCTTCATGGCTACTGTAAACCTTCCAAACCATGCATGTGGAGACTGTTTGAGGCCATAAAGGGATTTGTTTAACTTGCAAGCAAGATTAGATGAACGATTACCCTCATATCCTAGTGGAAGAGTTATGTAGACTTCTTTAACCAAATCATCATGCAAGAATGCATTTTTAACATCAAATTGTTGAATATTCTAACTGAAAATTGCTGCTAAGGACAATAAAAAACGAACTGTATTCATTTTGGCCACTAGTGCAAAAGTTTCTTGATAATCTATTCCATATATTTGTGTATAACCCTTAACCACCAGCCGGGCTTTATACGTCTCAATCGAACCATCTGATTTATATTTCACTGTGTACACCCATTTTGCAACCAATAGTTTTCTTATCTCGTGGTAATTCCACTAGATCCCATGTTTGCTTTTTTGTAAGAGCTCTCATCTCCTCACCTATGGCTTGTTTCCTCTTAGGATTGGATAGAGCTTCCGAGAGATTTTTTTGAATGGTAATGGTGTCCAAGGATGCAAGGAATGATTGATAGGGTGAAGAAAGTTTGTGATAAGACAGAAAATTGGCAGCTGGGCACAAGGGTGTTTTTGTACACTCCCTAATAGGTTTGCGCAGGGAAATGGGAAGTGAATCATGTGGTAGGACTGCAGGATCATTAGATGAAGGAGATGCTAATGGCTGTATATTTTCTAAGGCCAGATCAGAATCTTGGATTTTTGGTGAGTCGTGAATTTTCCCTCACCAAGAATAAACCTTGGCAAATCTTAGGTTTTCAGGAAGCAAATTCGATATAAGACTGGGTATTTCAGGGATTGAAATGGGAATGAACAGGTTACTAGCTGAAGACGAGAGTGAAGAATCTACATGTTGATCCATATGAGCTGTAGAAAATAGATGTTGATCACTGGATGGAGATTCTTTAAAATAAGAATCAGATTCATGAAATGTAATATCCAATGAAATAATTTTTTTTCTAGAAGGAGGGTGGTAACATTTGTACCCCTTTTCATTAGTAGCATAACCAAGAAATACACATTTAAGTGATCTCAGTTCTAATTTACCTTTGGTTTGATTATGAACGTGAACAAAAGAGACACAACCAAATGTCTTAGGTTCTACCCTAGTTTTAAGTTGATGGTCTGGGAAAAACTTGGTTAATGAATCTAATGGGCTAAGGAAGCCTAAGGTTCTGGATGGTAATCGGTTGATAAGGTATGTGACTGTTAGAACAGCCTTCCTCCAGAAAGCTTTAGGTACATGATGCTGAAATAAAATTGATTGAGTGACTTCTAAAAGATGACGATTTTTCCTTTCAGCTAAACCGTTCTGCTGTGGGGTATGGACACAGGAGGATTCATGTATGATCCCCTCTGTTTGGAAGTATAAATTCAGATTTTGGCTAAAATACTCTTTTGCATTATTAGATCTGAATTTTTTAGTACTAGTGCCAAACAGATTTTTTACCATGGCACAAAAAAATTTCAGAACATCACACACATCAGATTTTTGTTTGAGAAGGAAGACCAACATACATCTTGTACAATCATCAATGAAAGTGGCAAATCATTTATTACCACGAATGTCATTAATGGGACATGTTCTCCAAATGTCACTATGAATTAGGAAGAAAGGAACATCACTCCTTTCCTCTTGAGATTTAAATGAAGTACATGTATGTTTAGAAAGTTTACAAATATTACATTTAAGAGTGTTCAATGACACCTTTTTAAACAAAGTAGAAAAAACTATTTTCAAAGTGCTAAAGGATGTGATGGATGACCCATCCGTTGGTGAAGTAATCGTATCTTAAGGACATCTTCTAGAAGTTCTAGAGATTGATGTGCTTCCACTAAATGTGTTTGGCTCAGTCCTTCTAGAAAATAAAGACCTTCATGCTCTACAACAACTCTAATCCTCTGATGACGTACCTTATCAAATATGACACATACATCTTCATCAAAAAAGCCACGATAAGGTGAGTCTCTAACAAGTTTTTTAACTGAAATGAGGTTTGTAAATAATTTGGGGACATGAAGAACATTAGTAAGAACCCATAGAGGTTCAAGTCTAATGTCTCCTATACCTGCGACGGTTAGAAAGGATCTGTCTGTAGTAGTCACTTTTCTGTCACTAGGACATGGGTTGTATTTGGTGAAAAGGCTGGGGGAGTTGGTCATGTGGTCCATTACTCCTGAGTCCACTACCCAATTATTAAAAATATCTCTAGAAGAAACTCTTAACTCCAAGGTAGTGGTTTAACATACTAGGCTGAATTGATGAGAACTGTGTCACTGTCAACTTCAGTTTTTCTAACTCAATTCGAAGTTGTTTTATATCCTCAATCTGAGGAGAAGAAAAATGTTGATTGATTTGGGAATCTGAAGACTGACTAGTTGGTAATCTTGCTGCCAAATGTGATTGACTGTCATATTTTTCAGTGCCAAAATTTTGTGGTTTACCATGTAGGTTATAACATCTGTCTCTAGTGTGACAAGCTTTCCTGCAATATGCACACCACAGATTATCACGAAAAACAGTCTTCTGATTTCTTCCTTGTCCATGTTGGGGCTGTTTAGCTTGATCTGAGGCTTTCTTCATAATTTCTCACTGTTTAATTATAAATGCAGTATTATCAACTTCAGGCATTGACAACATTAATTTCCGACGACTCTCCTCATTTAAAATGTTGGAAATAGCTTCATCCAAATCATATTTCCTTTCACGACTCAAAATCTATTGTTTGACTTGATCAAAAACATAATTATGTCCAGCCAAAAATTTAAGCACTCTTCTTCATATTATAAAATGTCATAGGACAAAAATTTCTGCAGGTTTTTCTGTATCAATGCTTAGATAATAATCGATTTTCTGTCATAAAAATTTCAATTCTCCTGTATATTCCATCACAGATTTATTTCCTTAAATTGTGGACATAGATTTTGTCTCAAGTTCATATAATGTGCTTCATTATTTCTTTGTGAGAATTTTGTGTGAACTGTTTCCCACATATCTTTGACTATAGATAGAAAGAAAAATTCTTGGCTAATTTGAGGAATCATTATTCCCCAAAGCCAGGTTTTGATTAATGCATCTTCTTCTCTCCATCTACAAAATTCTCGAGACAATGGATCTGGTTTTCACTCAATCAGATGATGTAACATCCCTCTTCCAATCAATACCTCTCAAACATATTTTGACTATTGAATCAAATTGTATCCAGTCAATTTGAACTCTGCAGGCATTGCAGGAACTTCTATGACTAATCTTGGACCACTTGGACCAAGATTAACTTTTCTTGTGGAGATTGGATCCCCCACAGATGATGAAGAATTGTCTCCCACATTCTCCATTTAAAGAGGATGTCCAAATTCACGAAAAATTCAAATTCGTGAACAAATCTCAATAGAGACAAGAAAAAAATACTGTAAGAACCGTAACAAACCAGTAGATCAGTGCGGAAGCAAAGAAATGGAGCGATCACACCTGGATTCGCTCTGAAAGAAATACAGCTAAGGAGAAGATCCCTTGCCAGAAATGTACGGCGCCTGTAACTCTAGCAGACGATGGAGAGAACGCCGACAAAGCAGCGTCAACTGTGACGGTGCTGAGTAATAGGTTTTTAAACCCTAGAATGGCTCTGATACCATGTAGTCGAGATAACACACGGGCTGGAGCTCTGATAAGCGCCCAGCACTCGTGGAAGAAGAACTCTGACTTTATTGATCAAAAACTGTTTACAAGGAGAGCGGGATCTAGTATTTATATCAGATCCCTAGAAGGTTCTAGACACAATGATATAACACGAAATGAAAGGTACATGAGGACATATACTTGTAAGTATACATGTTATTAAGTACATCTCGACAACAGAGAGATTTATTGAAGTCATGAGAAAATTGAATTATTGTCAGAGTACACTTTGTCTTTTTTAGTTTTCATCAAATAGAGTTACTACTCTATTAATCTATCTTGATGATATCATCATTATAAGAATTCATGCAACTGAACAAGAACACCTTATCCAATGTCTGGCCAAGGAATTTGGTATCAAAACTCTAGGCTGCCTTAAGTACTTTGTAGGAACAAGAACACCTAAAGATGTCTTCATATCCTAGCAGAAGTCAGTGGCAGATCTTCTAAAGGATATTGGAAATATGCATGTAAATGAGCAAATACTCCCATTGATCCTAATCACAAATCGTTTGGCTGAAGAGGAGAAATTTGTAAGCTGAGAGTTGTATTAATGTCTCATTGGTAGGCTGATCTATCTGACACAGGCCAGACCTAACATCTCCATGCAGCAAGCAATTAGGTTTTACATTATTAGAAGGGTAATCTTGGAAAAGGCATTCTCTTAAAGGGAGGCAATAAGATGGAGGTTAAATATATATATAGATGCAGACTATGGTGGTTCAATTCTAGATCGCTGGTCAACCTCTCACATGTCACATCTCGTGCTTTTCTTTTTCTGTTTTCTGGTGTCTAGAACTTTCCAAAACCCCATCTTGAGTTGTAACATGAAAAAACATTCTTTCTTATTCTTGAATTCAACCTCCACTCATTTTGGGCACATGGATACTTTCTCAAGTGCATCAGAAAAGTGAATGAGGATCGACAATGTCAAATCGGGATTCTTTGATAATGGGTGTCAGTTGGTCTCTAGACAATTCTTTCAGTTGGTCAACACATTGTCTGCCTGATCGGTTGAATCAAAATAGGTCAGATTAATTCCTATAGCATGCTTTCTTTCAGTTTTACGAGCTCTCTTTTCACACTCTGAGGTAGCCTTATGAGTGTCAGTAGGGTCTGAGCCCAAACTTTGTATTCTCAGAATGTTTGACAGTTTTGTTTATTTGGACTGAGGGAAGTGTCTTATGATTCTGTACACCAGTTTACTGAGTGATAAAGAACTGTTGATAATTGATCTTGATTGAGGTTTGTTCAACTTGGGGAATGAAGGAGTTCTCTTCATGATCATTCTCTTCCAAGAATAAACTCAGCCGCCACTTCTTGGAGTAGGGAACATGCAATCCAATTAATTCGTCGATTATCATGATTTCCCGTTGAAATACGGGTCACATGAGTTAATGGACCAGACCCATAACATCAGTCTATAAGTGGATCCATTAGTAGTCTAATGGATCCACTCGACAAGAGGAATAATGAGAAAGAACAAAATACAATGAAAAGAAAATCAAATAAAAAGGGAAATCATAGAAAGTTCAACACCCCCTCTCAAGCTGGGTATAGATGTTTTCCATGCCTAACTTGGACACCATCTTTTGAAATATTGGTCCTGTGAGTCCCTTTGTGAAATGTCAGCAGCCTGTTCTGATGTCCCAACATATATCAGATCCACATCTTTAGTTTCTTTTTTTTCTTTGATAAAATGTCAATTGATCTCAATGTTTTTACTTCTTTGATGCTGTATAGGATTTCGGGTAATAGCATTGCTGCCTTATTGTCGCAAAATAGTTTGATATGATTTGATTGGTTGATTCTCAATTCATCCAATAAACCTTGAATTCATAAACCTTCACATATCCCTTGGGCCAGTGCCCTGAACTCTGCTTCAACAGTAGGTCGTGCAATTACTTGTTGCTTCTTGCTCCTCCAGATCACAAGATTTCCACCAAAAAATACACGGTAACCAGACATTGATCTGCAGTCCACAACAGACCCTACATAATTTGCATATGTGTAGATTTTAATATATATATTTCCTCCTTTTGTGAATGGCATGTCTTCTCATGTTGTTGTCTTTAATATGCCACCACTCAATATGATGCATGTAGGTTTATCACCCTTGGGTCCTTTATATGCTGACTGAGTACACGCTACAAATGTTATATCTAAATGGATATGATTTAGATATACCAACTTCTCAATCAACCGTTAATACGAGCCTTTGTCCACCTGATCGGAGTCATTACCTTCTCCTAAACTTAGGTTGGGATCAACTGGAGTGTTAGCAGGTTTACACTTCATTTTTTAGTCTACTGAAGTAAATTTAGAAGATATTTGTGATGTGAAAGAGATATCCCTTCCTTTGAATATGCAACCTCAATTCTCAAGAAATATTTTAGTCTTCTTAGAGATTTGATGTCAAAATCTTTAGATAGGTTTTGGCTAAGGCATTTAATCTCTTCAATATCATCTCCTGCTATAATAATATCACCTACAGGCACAATTAAGTTTGTACCCTTGTTTGGGGCGTCATGTTTAATATAGAGAGAGTGATCCTCATTGCTTGTTACCTGCGTGAATCCTTTCATAGCTTGAGTGAATCTCTCAAACTAGGCTCAGGGTGATTGTTTCAAACCATACAAAGATTTCTTCAACCTGCAAACACTATTATTTTGACGAGTAAATGTGTAACCTAGAGGTATATTCTTGTAAACCTCCTTCAAATCTCTATGAATAAATACATTTTTCACATCAGTTGATGCATTTCTCATCTTAGATTTGTTGCAATGTTATGAGTATCCATATGATATTCAACTTTGCAACAAGAGCAAATGTCTCAAAATAATTGATTCGATAAGATTGTAAGTAGGCTTTAACCACCAACCTCGCCTTGTATCTTTTCAATGTTCCATCAGCTTTATACTTGGGAGTATACACCCACTTATAACCACTTATTATTCTTTCACCGAGTGCATGAAAAGAAAATTCTCATACATCTCTAGTGTTATTGTACTTAGCAGCCACATATAGATAATAGCCTCCTTTGATTACCATCCTCTATACTTTTAATATGATTGTTTCAATGGTTCTTCTATAAAGTGATTTATTAAGCCTCTCCCAAGGAGTGTTAGATCAAAAAACTGTTCTCATTGATGAATATTTATCCCATTAGATGAAAGTTTCTCTAGGATATCTGAAAGGGTATGATATAGTCTCTCCCTTTCTCCAGTCATTGCTAGAGATGTAAGTTCCATGGATGACAAAGAGACTTCCCTTGAATGCATTCTGAAAGTTTTTTTTCTTCATCCTTTCTAAAACGCCTCAGTTCCACTACTTGCAAAAGGTTTGTCTCTTCATTGGTGTCGCTTCAAGAAACAAGATTCAAGAAACAAGAAGTATCTGATCTCACCATAATCATCCTCGCTCTGATACCATGTTGATAGTTGATCTTGATCAAGGTTTGCTCAACTTGGAGAATAGAGTTGATCTTCACCTCCTCTTCTAGGAAGATGAACTCAGCCGCTACCTCTTGGAGTAAAGTTCCCGCAGCCCAACTAATTTATCGATTATCCTGATTTCCTGCTTAAATACTGGTTACATGAGTTGATGGGCCAGGCTCACTACATTAGTCTATAAGTGGATCCATTAATAGTCTAATGGATCCACTTAACAAGAGAAATAGCAAGAAAGAACAAAATACAATGAAAATAAAAACAAATAGAAAGGGAAATCTTGGAAAGTTCAACAGGAAGTAATCAAGTTCTTCGTACTTTCTTCTATGGAAACTAAAGTAGCCAGTGATTGAGTTTTTTTTATTTCAGTTTATACACATCACTACTCAGTAGATCCTTAGGTCATGCATGGACTTCTAAATGTCTATTTCTTCAAGGATAAGCCATTTCTCTTCAACTCTCTGCTGCTGTAGAATCATATGCCAGATCGTTGTGCTCACGAAGTTGATTGATTATCCATGATGTAACAGCATTTTTTGGGATGTGACATAATTGAAACTAGCTAAGGAGATCTTGAAACCACATTAATAGGGGCATCAACAGAGAGATGCTTTAGACTTGGCACGTTCTGAGGGATTATTGAGTTTCACAGATTAGGCAAAAGCATTTAACAAGCATAATAAACCGGGTGGAGGAAGAACACATTCGGTTAGAGGAGGGGAAAAAGCTAGAGCTTAGTGTTTGGCGAAGTCTAAGCCTCATTATCCGCAATGGAAAAGGGATCTTTTTCCTTGAATAGTTCTTAATTTGCAGACTTATTCTCTTGGTGCAGAGATGAAATCATACCGGGATAGTTGACTGAAATGAGGGGGTAGGGCACAAATTGGAAATAGGGTTTGAGAGGGAACAACCAAACAGACTGTTTCTGTTTACTAGGACTTAGCCTGGATATTGGTTCTTTCTTGAGTCCAAATCGATCAGCACTTTGGCACCATGATGAATCTTTATTCCTTGCTAAACATGAAAGAGACTGCAGGGGTAAGGAATGCGCCGCAGGTACCTTTGACTCTCGATACTAGGGTTTTGTCCTTTTGTGTCTTCCACCACGGAGGCCACAGCCTGTCCTCGTTGCATCTAGCAAATTAAAGGTTTGAAGTTCTTCTCTTTCTTCATTATTCCTCTTTCTCCTCTCTCCGTTACTGGGCATGAGGTGCGGCTCTTTCCTATTTAGTGTTCATTGGCATCTAAAATGTTGGCCCAACGAAATCAGGCAATTTCCTGTCAGCTCTATTTTTCTTTCAGAGAATGTTTGGGGTGATGACATTTTTCTCCACGCAATCAAATGAAGATCCATGAAAATATCATCTTTTATATGTTAATTTTATGGTTGGAATCCGCAAATATCAGGCAACTATTGAGGTTGGGCGTTATGAATGTAGCACGTTAACATATGTGAAAAGTATCGAACTTTGTTGCAATATTTTGCAACGAAATTCGCGTATGCATCTATCCTTAAGCGGAATGCAAATTTTATGCATGCTTCATTGAAAGTCAAATATAAGGACCTAGATAGTATGTTATTTGCATAGAGGAGTCCTCCTTTGCCTCTCTTTCCTGTTTCACTTCATGCGTGATCTCGATGGCTATCATCTGGCCATTTTCATGACAATTACAGTATTCCTATCCAATCGCGCATTATTTTCAAATCAGAGGAAATAATCAGTTTCTTTTCTCAGGCAACTTCCGAGTATAGCGCTGAGCGACAAATTCATGAAATTCTGTTCCCGAGGATTCAGCATAAGTGGCAGCAGCAGCAACAAGGGGCTCATCAGAATGAATGATTCTGTTCTTTCCGATTTTCTGTCTGCCTCGCCTTGTAAAGTCCGCTCAACCAGCAGGTAGATAAGCATGGTCCAGTGCATGGAACCCTTGTTAGTTTAGCTTCTAATATTTCTTGACGCGGTGTGGGGGTCTACGCTAGTGAGCATTGCAGTGCAGCCAATATCATTCAATGGCAGATTAGTTTTCCCTTGTATCTATCTCTATATCCGTCCATCGCTTTCCAATTCTGTTTGTGCCTTTATCTAAGATGGCGCATCTGTTTAGGACCAGTCAAGAGTGAAGGCTTTTTTTTGGCTGATTGTGGAGAAACGAATTTTAAGTTCCATTTTGGTTTTTGTCATGCGACCTGGTTTTCTCGAAGGTCACGGTTCTCTAAAATGGTGTGACTGATCGCGTGTTACACCCCTGGCTCCACAAGAATTTATCCCTTGGAACTCGTTTCTCATCGAACAAACTTGATCTCTCAGGAGGCACACCATGCCTAGAAGGTCCCGCAACCGACCATAGGGCAAAGTATGATCCTCATTTCCAATATTTTGTTATCAAGGAATTCCCATGTATAGGTGAAGTCAGCTTCTAGTACTGACGAAATTATTATTATAACCTGCTGTTGGATGTCCTCAAGCTAATTCTTGCATCGCACCAGGCAAGGGTTCGACGAAGTCGGACACTGGTTACGACGCCATGATCCAATTTTCTTGCAAAGGCGACTGCGGGATACAGTCTGTCGCTAATCAGCTCTTTTCTTGTGGGTGGACCAATGGCGACCTCGAGTATTAGTAAGTGTGAGGAACTACCTACTATTTACCGCACCCAAATACCACGCAGTGGTTCCCTGCTCGGTTTCTTCCCCCCGTTAGTTGTCAGCGGGGAACCCCCAGGGAGAGCAAGATCCAATGGCAACACCCCTAAACCAAAACAATGTCTGCACAAATCTCATGCGCAAAAACTCTTGAATCCATGCGCGAAGAGACTGCAGCGGCTTATGCCCAGGGAAGTTTCGACTTCCATTGGCCTACACGATGCGGGATACGGCCCTGCGCGCAAAGGTGGGTGTGAAGCCGTGCGAGGACAAGCAGTGGACGCTCCAAGAAGCAGCATTACCATCCGAGACATTGATTGTCATGATATGCAAGGACCTGAATCTTTAGATCCCGAACGTGACCCTCCCTTCTTATTTAAACACGTGCCTTGCATCGTACCAAAAGCTCCATTTTCGACAGCTACCCAATTCCATCAGCATGCTATCTATAGCAATTTCTATTATTTCACACATAAGCCTGTGCATCCATTATGTCGGGAAACGACATGGTAGTCCTTCGGCTTTTCTGATCTAGTCTCTCCGTCTACCACTCTGGTCGAAGCACGTCTTCGTCACTTCGCATAAAACCTAAAGCATAATGGAAATGGACCGAGGTCTCACAGCTTATTTCACCACGGAGAACTGCAGATGAGGACTGACCGTGATATTTATTGTCATATTCTTTCGGCTCTCACTTTTGCGTCAGACGTGGGATGAAACTGACAACCCTCCAAGAGATCCATCTCAGCCCTCAACAAGATATACGCCTGGCGTATTCCTACAAGACGGGAAATGTGGTTTCCTTCCTCTATCTTCCGGCGCGGGTGGAAATGCGGCCCAATAGAATAAGAGGAAAGACGAATATCCTGTAATGACAGCATCTCCCCCGCCAAGGAGTACCCTTCCGCATTCCTATGCAGAGGCAATAGTCACTGAGCAGACGAAGTTGCCCAGAGTGAACTTGGAGTGGACTATAGCAACCCTTAAGAAATAATAAATATCCTTGAGAAGTCTCCGTGTTTGAAGCAAATCTACAGCGAGGCGGTAATCCCTCATACAATATACATAAAGATGTATGTACCAAATAGGCCGCGCAACCCTTCTAGACATGCTATCAGAAGAGATGGAAGGACAAGAATTAGTTGCTTTGTGGAAAGGATATGCTTCCAGGGTCAGAGCTCAGAGGCCAGAATGTACGGAAAAGAACTCGAGACTCTGTGGAGAAAGACAAGATCTCAGCAGGCTGAGTTGTCCTGGATTCTCTCCCATGGCCATCCGGATCCCGCATCGATGTCCGCCGTCGACATAACTCCGATCTGAAAGGGTCATGTTAACTCCACCGGTGACAGTGCTCTTCTGCCGGGTTCCGCCACGGATCCTCCACCCGAAATAAAAAAGGGTAAAACTGTTCCGATCTGTTTAGAGTGAGGCAAGAAAGCAGTGGAGATTTTAACGATCGCCCGATCCCCTCCCTTCGTTCCCGACGCCAAAGGGATGGGATGGGCCGCAATAGAGAACCCAGAGATGTCCTCCTCGTCAACGAGACATGATCGACCCGGCATCCTCCTGCTGGGGTCGAAGTTGTGGACCACGAGCGGAAGCATCGTTGGAGCATCTTCCTCAAAGTGCGCGAGTTGATGGCTCTTCCTTAGCGACGTATCGTGTTGGAAAACGGTATGGCGAACGTCGGCAAGACGATTCCCGTGAGGAAAATTTTAAAACATGGTCGGCTGTCGGTGCCAGCATGCAAACCGGGCTTCGTTTGACTTGATTGGTCTCACGGGTATCCCTCTGTCAGACGGCTTCCAACCCCCCTGGCAGGACGTTCCTATTTTACGATCCACCATGTCGAGCCCCCGGCCGGCGAACGACGCCATAATCCGGGAAGGATGGAAGTGGCAGTGTCTCGGCTGGTGGCCATGCCTGGAGGTGGTTGCGCGCGAGGTGTGGCATGAGATAGGTGAGATAGGGGAGGGAGGACCATCCCTCTCCGCGGCTACCACAGGTATTCGGCCCGGCAGGGAAGGAGAGGCATCTCCCTTCCGGCGGACGTGGACCACCACGACCGAGAGGGGGACGTGGCTAACGACAAGCCCCAGCCAGCCACCAGCGGGGACGGCCTCATAATGCACGGTATTGAAGACGAAAGGGAGGGGCCTGTTGACATCTTCTACGGCTGTCCGGGGCGCAGTCGCCAGAACGCTTAACTTGGTCACAGCAGAGCGAGCCACAAAGGACTCTCCACGTATCGCGCAGAGTCCTCGCGAGTCGCTGTCTTGTATGGTGTGTCGTGACCCCGTCAAATGTGCTGGGGACAACGTCGCCGCAACAACTCACCGGGCCGGGAAGGCCGGACAGATCGAGCCGAAGATCGGTACGTAAGCGAATTATGACGGCGCCCTCTCCCGGGGTAATATCCCCCCCCCCTTCCCCGCCCTCACTTCGTTCCGCGTCCCAGCCGGGAAAATGGCGCCGACGGATCTTGGCCGCATCTCCCCAAAAGTGGAGAGTATATGCATTTCTCGGGCAGCCCAGATATGTGGCGAGATCCACCAACCATCTTGTAAGGGGGAACCGTGGGCTCCATACGCGCGAACCTGCTCTCCGGTCCCGGCATGATTTTTTTTCTTTTTTTGTTTCGTTTTTGGCTTTCACGTCGTCAGTGATTGAGCCCCCTCAGGACGGCCTAACAACCTACGAAAGTGAAGAGAAAATTTATTCTCCTGGGAAGATGATCTGGGATCTGAAGCTGGCCTTGAGTGGAAACATCAATGCGGGCATTCCCATTTCCGATCCGCAAACGCTCTCTTGCGAGCAAAATTATGCAACAAAATGTCGAAAACTCGGGGAGAATCACCCTCGAGCGACTCTCCGCTGGCATTTTGTCGTGCTCGTCCCTTGACAGATGAGGCAGAGCAATCGCGCTCGTTTGAGCGTGATTACGTCCCGAACTGATGGATCACAGTGGTTTGACGTGAGGGATTGAGTAAAGCACGTGCGGTGAATTTCCTCCGTAAGAATGGCACCATCGAGATCAAAGATTGTCGCATCCGACTCCTTAAATCACTCATTTTTTACTGGTATCGGACCCCGTCATGTGATCGGCGTTTAGCCAAATAGAAAAAGATCTTCCCCCATTATTTTCTAGCCGTATAATTCACGTCCACATCTATGATAGCCCTTTAACTATTCGGGGTGAATGGGACCGCGCACCAACCGTGTATAATTTATTCGTTATTCTGTTGCGTGTCCAATTACTCTTTCGCCCAAAGATCTAGTCACCTGCTCCTCTTTCTACTCGCAAATGAAGAATCCTGTCTCTCCCATCGCCTGGTGAAGCGTTCACGTCAGTCTCACATGAGTCGAAGCAATGAGGGCGCTCGGGACATGACCACAGAATTGCCGACCACCTCACAAGACATTTCCTCGTCGTCGGGAAACAGCAGAGAGCAAACCCCTTTTTGAGGCTCCCCCTTGCTCCGCAGTACAGAAGTTGAGAGTAAAACTGGCGTGGGCAGCTTCCGCACTTGCACGAGAGAGTCATAACATAGTATTGCGCTCTGGGGACCAGACTGGCCAGATTTTATTCGCTGACAACGACATTTTAATATAGATTTCCATGGCCAATTTTTTTGTGTAAAAATCGTGAATGGGTCACGATTTTCTCTCCAAATTTTGCATCGATGTGGTAGTACCCCTCCTAATGCCAGGTGCCGTCCGAATCAAGAATCGTGCCCTGCGGAAGGATATCACCGCCTCTATTGACCCGGGGCAAAAAAAAAAACGGGAATCTAATCCCTCTCTGTTCATGTAAACAAAAATATCTCCTTAAATCCTCAGGCCTCCAATGGGGAGGGGTGGTTACGACGTCTCCATCTCTGCTATTTTAGCGAGTAAGGCGTTACCAGGAAGGAAGGTAGAAGATTCCGGTTTACTTCCAATCCTCCATCTTCCCCTTGCCCGCCGTCGACCCCCAGCCCCCAACCACCCGCCATTGATAAGCAGAGAGTGAGGTGTCTCTCATTACTTCCCAATTGATTCGCAACACGGGAACGTACGAGCTACAGATGATCCTCGCCCGTCGGCTGGTTTTATCTGCCAATCCCTTTGCCTGGGAAGCCATCGTCGTGGTCGCCAGGTGGCAAGGAGAAGGCCTAAGCATCCCAGAGTCGGAGAACTGAGGGTGAGAGAGGAAGAAGATGCACTGTTCAAGTGACCGCCATCAATCCAAATGACCATCAGACGAGAGGAACTCCCGTCGTAAAAGACGCTTCCTTGCTTTCGTATCCGAGATAAAGAGAGAAAAAGAGATCCATGGGCAGAAGCTTGCCCAAGTGTACCTCGCGCATGGGTGCGGGCATCTTCATCTCGCTGGGGTGTAATGAGCAGACAAACAGACACGGCTGACTGAGTCGAGAGATCTGCGGCGAAAGAAAGAAAGAATGAAATATGTGAAAGGGACAAAACAAGATGAAATGTGCAGTATTGGGTTCTAAGACGCGCCTCGGTTGAAGAGGAAAAATCCACCACCCGATACAAGTGCGCCGAATAAAAAAAATCGCCGTCGTTGAGCGTCGACAGGCTGAATCCAGCAGTAATCAGTGTAAACGCGCGTTCAGTGAATCTTGAGAAACAATTATTTATAACGCTAGAGCTCTCCGACTGGTTCGTCCGGGACGTAAACGAAAGAAACGGGGAGCCTCCAAAAAAGAAGCGCGCGATTAGTCTCGTTCTTGTTCCTGCTCCGCGTGCAGTTGTCCTTTGGGACGGACGGATAGGCACGACGACCCCGAGATCGACTCTATTCCCCCAAATCCCCTCGCGGCGAGATAGATGTGAAATCGAAAAGTAAGTGACCATGTTTAACGAGCGTTGAGAACGAAGTTTGAAGGTCGGAGGGTCACTTTCAGACTGTATCTTTCACATGGGCGTCCATAATGCGTCATTCAGATTGACGCAACGGCCCGCCAACCCTCTGAAATTTATTATTCAATTGCGTGCGCCAGATCCCCCGACGGGGGTTTAATCCTCGCCTCAGATCGAGTCAACCGCGCTGTGCTGCCTTCCTTCTCCTCCTCCCCCTCCCCTTCGGCTGCTCATGTTCACGTCAACTTGGTAATTTGTCAAACGAGGAGCGACGAAAACTTCGGCACCGGCACCGCGCATTTCTCCCGTGAAACACAGTGCCCAACGAATTAATCTCCCCGTTCAATTCACCGACGAGAACCACAGAGGCAGCTATAAATACCACCGAGCGCGCGCCATCTCCCGTGCCCCTCTCACTCTCCTCCGGCCCTGCACTGAGGTGATCCCACCTTTCCCCGGATCTCGTCGGCGCCCCCCTCCCTCTCCCAGGCAATGGCGGCTTCCGGCGCGGCTGTTAGACTGGATCTGGATGGGCGACCGATCCAGCCCTTGACAATCTGCATGATTGGGGCCGGGGGTTTCATCGGCTCTCACCTCTGCGAGAAGCTCATGTTTGAGACCCAGCACTCCGTGCTGGCTGTCGACGTCTACGACGATAAGATCCGTCATCTGCTAGAGCCGGAGAACGGCCACCCATGGTCCTCCCGCATCCAGTTCCACCGCCTCAACATCAAGCACGACTCCCGCCTCGAGGGCCTCATCAAGATGTCGGATCTGGTTAGTATGGCCATCCCTCAGACGACGGCCTTTTCTCTCCTTTATCATTCCTTCCTACAAACGCCCCCTTCTTGAACACTTACAAGATTCCTTTAAAGGCAGTTAAGATCCAGATCTCGACCTCCAACCCCTCTCAGTTCTTGATTTCTGTTTATTGACTAATGGGATTGGTTATCTCGTCTGCTCTCTCAGGTCATCAACTTGGCCGCGATCTGCACCCCGGCGGACTACAACACTCGCCCGCTCGACACCATATATAGCAACTTCATCGATGCACTCCCGGTGGTACGATCTCAATCTTCTCGTGGATTTGCGCTCCCTCTCATTGTTGTCTCAAGCAGAGATCATGCAGGTCAAATACTGCTCCGAGAGCAACAAGCGCCTCATCCATTTCTCCACATGTGAGGTTTACGGGAAAACGATCGGCTGCTTCCTTCCCAAGGATCATCCCCTGAAAAATGTATACCCTCTATCCCCCTAAGGTCTGCTTTTGACAGTGTTCCCCAGACGAGAAGTGCTTGGTTTATTTTTTACGAAAATCAGCTTGGGATTTGTTAGATGAGTAGACATATGTACTAACACATTTAGGAGATGGATCTCTTGTTGCATTTGATGACGGGCTACTCTTTTTTAAAATTTAGATTCGATTTGATTCCAGTATTCCTTATTCACGCACCAAACTCTTTATGTGCTTGTATTCTGACAACGCGCGCTTGTGAACTTTTTCTCTGTTAATGCACGTCTGTGATTTTCTGGTTTGTTATTCTCTATGGTGCGTATTTGGCTTTCTGGTTCGAGTCTTCGTGCTTTTGTAGCATGTTCCGCAAACAGATTGTGCGAAAAATTAGTGGGGAGATCCATCCAAAATGAAGACTGATAAATCCACATGAACACAATCCTCAGAAAAAAATAGATCTGCAAGATTTACATTGTTTTATGTTGCCATGCTATGTCATGCTCTGCTACCCTCACTGCAATTGCTTCTTTTCCATTCGGCCTACTATTTCTCGCTACAATACGGTCAATGTCCGACGATATGATTTTTACGACTGCCTCTGTTCCAACTCTGAGTTCTAGAGATGGGCTGATCCATCGTGTTCCAGTTGGTAACACAACCCAGTTGGAGGGCCACCTGCCATATTTTCTGGGCAGTGTTATTTGTATAAGTCGGGCATTGACTATGATTTACCGAGGTTAATGGACAGTAAAATCAAGTTACTTCGTATTGATCTTCCTGTTTGGTCATCATCATGTCCCAACTCTTGGGATAAAGACATTCTGAAGGAGATCCCTGCCACACACTATAAGTGTTGGCAGGTAAATTTAGGAACGGCATATTAAATGGTAGAAGGAAAAAAGACGTATTTATTTAGCATACTACTACTCACCATAATTTCCTGTGATTTACAGGAGCCTGAGTTCTATATGCTTAAAGAAAACGAAACGCCCTGCATTTTTGGCTCAATTGATAAACAAAGGTGGTCCTATGCATGTGCCAAGCAACTAATTGAGAGGCTCATATATGGTAAGTAGATTGGAATATTGGGTATCTGTAACTTCTGTCATTCTTTTGAACTATTCTCTGACAGATCTGTTCACCTGTATTCTCTCTAGCTGAGGGCGCAGAAAATGGCCTTCAGTTCTCCATTGTTAGACCTTTCAATTGGATTGGACCGAGGATGGACTTCATTCCTGGCATCGATGGCCCAAGTGAGGGTGTTCCGAGAGTCTTGGCCTGCTTCAGCAATGTAAGACTCAGTCCATGGGACACATTTTAGATTCTGATGTATGAACTTGTCTGATGCCCACTAAACTATTGTGCTTCCAGAACCTTCTTCGCCACGAACCTTTGAAGCTTGTGGATGGTGGTCTTTCCCAGAGGACCTTTGTTTATATCAAGGACGCAATTGAAGCTGTCCACTTGATGATTGTATGTGAAAGTTTTCCTCATTTGTTTATTTATTTTCTGTCTTTAATGCCTTTCGGACGATAAGAGCTTTTTAAATACCAGGAAAACCCGGAGCGAGCCAATGGTCACATTTTCAACGTTGGGAATCCCAACAATGAGGTCACTGTAAGGCAACTGGCTGAAATGATGACAAAGGTATAGTAGCAGGTGCAACTTAAAATATCTTGTCGAGTATTTTTCCTCTTGCAGTTCTGATGTCTGCGGTGCACTATTGTCGAGCAGATTTACGCCAAGGTCAGTGGAGAGCCCTCACTCGAGGTTCCCACTGTTGACGTGACCTCCCAGGAATTCTACGGGGAAGGCTACGATGACAGCGATAAGCGAATTCCTGACATGACCATCATCAACGAGCAGCTCGGTATGGCCTCACTCCGACAGTTTTTGGCAAGCAAACTCTTTGCGGTTTGCAGTCAATACCGTGCTTGATGCTTTGGAGTTGATGGTGCCGCCTCTAATCTGCGATGGTGCTCTGCCGTCCGTGATATTTCTAGGTTGGAACCCGAAGACATCACTCTGGGATTTGCTTGAGTCAACTCTGACGTACCAGCATAAGACGTATGCTGAAGCCATCAAACGGGCCACGGCAAAACCCGCTGCAACCAGCTAGGCGTTCCATTATAGCATGCATGCAACCGCAGGAAGATTCTCAGAAGCTGTCTTGATATTAGAAAGCTTGGAAAGGTCAAATTCTTTGGAGAAATTCACATACTTATCGCGTATGCAGTAGCATAGGAAAAACTGTCATCCAACTTTGTATTTGAATTGAATGTTTCTTCAAGGGAAGAGGGTGAAGGAGAACGGGTGGCACAATTAGATGTTGGTCGTTCCTGCCCCACCCGCCTCCCCTTCCATAGCAATTTCAAGCAGAAGACAATAAAGACCTCCTGCAGTTGTAATCTCCCAGATGATCGCTCTTTTTCCTGGGACATCGAATTGTTTTTGTTGGTTCATCTGTTGTACCGTGGTTACATATCATTGTTTGAATAAAGCATTATCCTCCTGTGTTTATTGAAAGTTGTCCCGGTCCGGAAAACTTCCAGCCTCGAGGAGGCCTTGTTTACCGCCGGCTAACTTTCAGGAGGGAAAGTCTATTTTTTGACTAGAGTGGCTGGCGATAAGATTTTGCCTCTATGTTCCTTGGGGTTTCCAGGTCAGAATCCCGCAAGCGGAAGGGCCCACAAATATCAATTCGAGAAACTAAAATGGCACCCAGAGCAAGCACTTCGACAGTGATCACCGCCGATTCGGACTGGACGACAGCGCAGAACGTTGGATTCCTCTGGGCGCTACAGAGGCTTGAATGTTTTGGCAGGATGAAAAAAACCGTGTAACTCTTCTTCTACATTCAAAGGCAATCAAATCATGGTTTTATGCTGCAGCGGTAGAAGACTCCCGTCGAGTCGCCTCCACCCGGTGTATCCCCAGGGATCTTGTCGTCTTTAACGGTTCGCATGCATCAGCCCCAATACTCAAGCTGCCCCGGCATCTTTAGACGGAGTTTTGATGTGCAGTGTACGGAACCAGAGGTTAATTACTGCGCGTTTCCTTGGTTAGGATGAAAAGTATTAAATGGAAAACTCGCTGACGCCGGTATATAAGCCGATAACGGTACGACAACAATGACTGTGCTGAAAAATACTTTTAGGATTGTTTTCAATAATGCTGGATATTTTACAGACCGTGCCAAAATTAATCTACTCATCATGTACATGACTGCCGAACCCATTCGGAAGCAGATAGATGTTACGAAGACAGAAATTATACAAAACACAATGCTGAAAAATAGGTTGCCAAAACCTTGAGCGTGGCATCTAAAAATATCTTCCGACCGAGCGGGCTGTGCATCAATCAATCAATTCACAGCCACAAAATGGTCTGGACTGCAGCAGCGTGCTTAAAAATCTCGCGGTATGGTTTCCCCTGGAAAAATCCATTTCAGATAGGCTGCAAGAATATTGCCTAGTCCTCACCAAAGATGCCCTACATTTCTCAATCTGCTGCTCGAACTTTATTAAATATAGAGGGTATTTTTTCACTAAGCAATCTTCACTGCGATCCAAAGTAGCAATCGTATATTGAGAGACGATCAAATGCATCAAAGTTGGCCTTCAGCCCCACAAATTGGCTATCTAGCTGTGCACAGCCAGCATCCGGCCACTTGCAGCCGTCCCTAGTGCGAAATGGGCATAAACTTTCACATACCTCACTCAAAGGGTTATCACCAAGAAAACCATCCTCTATAGCTGAAATGGAAACAGAGAAGTCCGCCTTGTCGCTCTGCTGCCCTTCGCTATCAGAAGAGTCTCTGGTGATGAAAGCCTTGCCAGATAGATGACGCGTTTCTGACAGGATGCTCTCAGCATCAACAGTGCCCCCACTGTTTGAAAACTGCACTCTACAGCCAAGTGATTGTACCGCACGTTTCATGGCTAGGCTCTCCCTACAGGCTCTTTTGGCCATGACCATAGCTGAGTTACTGCGTTGTTTTTCCCTCTGCAGCTCTGCTGTTAACGATTCAACACTACTTCTCAGGTCGCTAACCTTCTCTTCTGCTCTGCTCCTTGCCTGAAAAAAATAAAATCAAAAACTTAAGATAAAAGTACTCATATATCAAACATCCCTCATCCAACCCCAGGAATCTCTCGGATCATGCTATTTCTTAGGATTCTTCATCGGGGCATATCTGAGTGCAGATGAAGATGATTTTCATTCGGATTGACGACTGCCCAAATCTTAGCGGTTTATAGATAGAAAAAGTATTCCATGGATGTAGGCAAAAATTGTCAAAGTCAGAAAAACTTATAAAAATGAGCATATGCATTCAAAAAAAATTGCGCTTCAAAAACTTAAAAAATGAGCATATGTTTCGATTTTCCCTAACCCTTAAGGGAACATATGTTTTCTAAAAAAAATGATCATCCCCCTCTTTATGTAATAAATATAAACGAGGGTTAGAGTGTTAGTCGCAGCAGCAGAAAATACCTTCCCGATGTCAGCATATCTTTTATTCAAGATACGGACTTGAGCTTCAAGTTCCCCAGCATGAGCTTCTGAAGGACATGACCACCGCAAGTGAAACTGGGGCCATAGTGTTGGAGCCAATGCTGCTGCCGGTGGTAACAGAGGGCACGCATGTTTATCTGGGTCATAGAAAGGATTAGAGTGCTCATGGAAACCATCCCCAGAAGCTCGTAAGCCAGCCAAATACATCCACATGCACCCACACGCGTCAAAAACACCGAATTGATGCCTTTCTTTCTCACTGCAGGTACAGAATATACAACCAAATTAGGCATTGGGAACACAAAGAGGCAATTGATAATAGACCATGCAGTTAGATAATATAGCGTAGGGAAAACTGCAAGGTTCTGGAGGCATAATGCATACTGTTTTTTCAGAAAATGTTGGAGTCCCAGGGAAAATTACCTGTTGCATAGGAAATTCCCAAAGCGGCATGACAGGACGCAATCCAGGAAATCAACCAGAAAAGTCTGTCTCAAAAAAAGAAAAAAATACACGTTCATATTAGAGAAACCAGAAGCATAATTTTCAAGTTTCCAGTTTCAGAAATTCTTTAACGAATGGTTACTTACTGACGAGAACTCAAAAGCACAAGGATACATCCTTAGCAACTGTGAAACACAATCAACCCACTACAAGGTAGAGACAGTTTCTCCATCAGATGCTCACTTCAGAGACGCTGGAAACTCATGGCATATCCAAGACATGAAAATGATAGAAACCAGGCTATTAAGTTAGCCAATTTAGTATTAAATTATCTCACGAATACATTATGCAGACCTGATTTTAGTACAGAGGTTCAAGAGGAGGCAGCTTCTAAGAGAACCAGGCCAGCGGATTCTTCCATTATAAGACTTGTTGAAAATGGATGCTCTATTTGCTTACCGGTCAATATTGGGTACCACATTGAAACATATGTAGACATTAAGCTAACATTTGTATAAATTAAACTGCCATGTAAGACTGTGCTACACAATATATTAATAACAGGATCTGTCACGAGAAAAATCTGTCAAACAGCTAGGGGTGTTTATCTTTTATTCACGTTGCCTTTTCTTTTAAAACAAATGACAATTAACTATTCCACAAAGAAGCTGAGACTTTTTGACTTTTTTAATAAGATTTTTGATTTTTTTCTAATTATGTGTTTAACGCATGGGAGAAAGAGTTCGTTGCCAGCACTATCAGGCACAATGTAGCTACTTCTTCATCCACGTCATGTTGTCTTTCAACATACAGAGCCTAAAAAATTCTGTCAACAAGTCTCTGATTTATCTCGATTCAGAACACAATAAAAAACTGTAAGAAATGAAATATCATTTTTTATTGATATTACCTGCAAAAATATTGGTGATACATTGCTCGATGTCTGTGAATGAGAAACACTAGACGAAGTGGAACCTGATCCTGAAGAAATCCGCATTGGAGATGTGGCCACATTCCCACTTGAAGATTGCCTGCTCATTTCAGGTGTGACACTACTTCTAGGTGAATTTGGCAGCCCGGTTCGTTCTGAAAATGGATGACCAAATGCTAGCCAGTCTTTCTCCACAAGTGCCTGTAAGACAGTGAGGTGAAATCCGCATACAACGTAATACTAAATTTCTCACAGAAGTTTTAAAAAATATAGCCTCATACTCTGAATTTACAAGTCACATGTGCAGGCGTGCAAAGAAAAATCCATGTCAACCCCTGCGGCATCTGATCCCATTTTAAACATAATTTAACGGTGCTACATTGAATGAATGGGACTAAGCACTTGGCAACATTTGAAACGACTTGATAAAGCTCATGCTCGGTTTCTTGTACCACCCGAATTAATCAACCACCTCCAGCGAACAATCCCGTTCTAGTCTTCAGTATAGAGGGACTCCCCTAGTTTCTTACCGAGTGTTTGATAGAGACCCTGAAAATGATCCTGAATCTTGTCTAGTCTTCAGACGAATGAAATTTGGTAACATCACCTTCACAAAGTATATATGCGCTTAGAGGGGAACTTGGAGGTTTACACCATCTCTGACTAACAAACGGGCAAAGATGGTATGGCTGTTGAAGATTGTGCCACACCAAGAAGAGGAGCTGTCAATTTTGTTCTTTCGTGGTTTTGCCTCATTTTATATGAATCTGTTGACAGAATAACTGTGTCTAGAAGATTATAGGATCTGGTCGTTATGTAAATTATGTGTCTAGTCTAGAACGTTCTGGGGGTCTGTTATAAATCAGAGCGTTCTAGGGGTCTATCTTCAACATGGTATCAGAGCGAATTCAGGTGCGATCGCTCCTTTTTCGTCTTATGCAGTGATCAATTCTTCTAGTGTAACAGTTCTTGAACCGTTTTTTTTCTTCTCTATATCGAGTATTGTTGACGGAATACCAGATCTAGTAAATCTGGTCGTTTCCTTGTGATGTGAAATGTGGGAGATCCTTCTTCCATGAGGGATTCTATTCTTGGTCCCGGTGCTCCATGACTACTGGTAAAACTCCCTACAACATCTACGGAATTCAGATTAACTAGATGTAATTTAATCTAATGGTCAGAATATATTCGAGAGGTTCTGACAATGAGAGGGATGTTACATCACTTGTTAGATGTGAAACTAGATCCGTCATCCTGTGAATTTCGTAGATGGAGAAACGAGGATGTACTAATCAAGACTTAGATCTGAGAACTATGATTCCCCAAATTAATTGTGATTTTTTCTTTCTAACTACACTCAAAGATTTATGAGAAACTGTCGTTACAAAATTCTCACAGAAGAATAATGAGGCTCACATGTACGAACTAGAGACAAAATCCATGTCTATAATTCAAGGAAAGAAATCAGTGATGGAATATGCTAGGGAATTGAAAGGTTTATGGCAAGAACTTGACTATTATCTCAATCTTGACACAGAAAACCCTGGGGATATTACTATTCTAGGGAATTTCATAGAACGAAGAATAGTCTTTAAATTTCTTGTAGGACTTAATTCTATTTTTGATTATGTCAAACAACAGATTTTGAGCCATTAGAGAAAATCTGATCTGGATGAGACTATTTCAATTGTTCTGAATGAAGAGAGCCATCGAAATTAATATGATGCATTTGTGACTGGAGCCATTAAGGAAAATGATGCATTTGTGACTGGACAAGGAGAAAATATGAAGAAAGCCACAGATACAATTCAACAGCCTCAATCTGGTCAAGGAAACAATCAAAAGTCTAATTTTTGGGGTAATCTATGGTAGACAAACTGTAGAAAATCTCATCACACTAAAGATAGATGTTTCAAACTCTATGGCAGGCCACAAAACATCATCACTGAAAAACATGAAAGTCAGGCACATTTGACAGTTAAACTACCTACCAATCAGACTTCCAACTTGCCATCAGAATCGTTGAAACCCAGCCTCCCTCTCCAGTTCAACTATAGATGAAATAGAACGACTTCGAGTTGAATTGAAAAAATTGAAGTCAATACTGGCACATTGATTCAGCCTGATAGAACTCCTACAGATATTTCTAATAATTGGATGGTAGGCTCAAGAGCAACAGGTCGCATGACGAATTCTTCTCATCATTTTATTAAATACAATCTTTGTCCTAGTGACCAAAAAGTATCTACTGTTGATGCTTCCCTTCTAACAATTGCTGGTATAGGAGACCTCCAACTTGAGCTCTTTTGAATAATTACTAATGTACTTCATGTCCCGAAATTATTTATCAATTTCGTCTTTGTAAAGAAACTTGTGAACAATTCACCTTACTATCCCTATTTTGATGAGGACATTTGTGCGATATTTGATAAGGTACAACATTGGAGGATTGGAGTTGCTAGAGAATGTGGAAGACTCTCTTAGAAAGACTTAGCCAAACATTTATGGTGGAAGCAGATCAACACTGAGGCTCAACACTTGTTGAGCTCCAATCCCTTCAACTAGTCCTATAAAGCTCTATTGTGATCTATCAGTGGACCAAACTTGATTCTATTTTCAACAAAATTGATTTACCAAGACGATAATATCAGGCACGGATCGGGGACCATCCTCGCAGTGCCAAGGTCCCAAACCTTTTCTGAGGTCCCATAAAGAATAGAACTTGGAATATGTTCTGCAGCCCTGTTAGAGAAGCTTTGGAAAATCTCCATCTTTTTAATACAATATTCCAACCCTAAGCACACTAAGACCCTCCTGTTAAGCCAAGCCCGGGAAATCTGGCTTTACCTTGAACTCAAATAATGGTTGGGTCTAAAACAAAAGAAAATCTCTTTTCTAGTGCAAAGATGATAGAGAGGAAGGATAACCTCATAGAAGACCAAAGTCCTAACTAGAACTAGTGGGCAAGTAGTAATATTTGCTAACATAGAAATAATTGTCCACACAAAAATAACAATGAACTTTAAAATAGGATTAAAACGAAAGTTACAGCAGGCAGTGGAAAAAATGATACGATAATAGAAAAGTACATAAAACACTCCAATAGTACTTTTACAGTAGCTAAGACATTTGACTGTATAGGAAAATAAATGAAATGGTAAGACAAGATCACCATTTTTTCATCATACAAGATACCAGATAATTTTTTTGCCAATTTTTTTTTATTGTTTTGTGTTAAACCATAACTATTTTCTAAATATAAAAAGAACTGTTTGTGAATGCATGGAATGAAAAAGGCCAACCTTTCTCTCATCCATCCCCATTAGCTCATCTCTCCTTTTATTCTTTATAACAGTTTTCATGGAGTACCATCACATGCCTTTCATATGTATCATTTTTATTGTGCCATGGAATGATAAAGGTTAACCTGGTTCCAGATAATCTCGGTTCAAAGAAAAACCTTAATGTAGACTAATACACAGCAATAAAAAGGGAGAAAAATAACTAAATACCACACGCAGAGAAAGATATATCATGCCCATACCTGAAACCCCTTAAAAGTTCGATAATATGGATCAAGCAACAAGCTGGCAAGTGAGACCAATTGAGTTGTCCTGTCCCATCCATCACTACATAAACAAAGAGGACATTAGTGTCAAAGGGAATCACCATCAAATGAACACGCAGGTTAAGAGACCAAAGTTTCCACGATGGTGGAGTGAATGACCAAAAAAGTCACAGAAACGACTCTTTACAACAAAAGGGAATAATGGCAAGCCAAACATCAAGACATCCTTTGCCAATGGTGATCGGCAGTAACCCTTGGCCATTGTTTGTCGCTGCCATGAACTTGCTTTATTCTATTTGATTTTCCTCTCTTTCTTTTTTCTTCATCCGCTGCACTACACCAATACATCACACCTCTGTATCATATCGTGAATGGAAGTACTGTGGCCAGAAACAGACTAATCTGCGTAAGATGGAGTCAGATGAGCCCAAAAATTGGCTGATTTCCATAGAATCAGCCTACTGGAGCTTGATTTAGTCTGAAAATCAGCTACTCGGTTTGATTCCTCCTCAAATGAACAGAATAACCCATATTCCATGAGAATTATGTTTATCGAGTAAGATGACAATATCCATAATATTTTTATCCACAATAAGTATCATTCTAACATGGCTTATGTTGATCCATGTACACTAGGCTAGAAAGAATTATGCACAAACTCCAATATAAAATAAAAGTAAGAAATGAAATAAAATATCGTTTCTGAAGCATACCAAATGGAAAAAAGAAAAAATCAATTCCACAGAAATCTGAAACCAGTTAAAGAACATCAAACACGATGAAGGCAACTCTAAATCATCAACCAGCTTCACAAACCTCCAAGTATTTTTGACATTTGGATTAAAGGGAAAGTCATCAGGCATCGACATGGACAAACATGCCAGACATAACAACCGCTCTGAAGCAGCACAAGAACATGGGAAACATATAGCCTTACATATCTGCTATAATAAAACCAATACACTATCCAAGACAGATAGAAAAGAGGTTACTGATTTTCAGAGAAATTTCACAACTCGATTTTCTAGTGCTCCCATTTATTGCTGGGCTGGTTGTGGTAGGAGTTCCCACAACATGTACATGGGCTAAATGAACTAAAATCAACGTGTAACAATTTTTCCCTCTTTAACGAAATGGAATATTTTAGAACTGTGCTTTCAAGCATAGATATGGTAGCATATAAGAGACAACCAACGGTTATAGATTCAATAGGCTGTAAAACTCTATTTATATTCCATGCAAATGTAACCACAAATAAAAATTACCATGCAGGGATTGGAGGGAGGAAGGGAACCTGCAATGCACAAGAACAGAGGCCGACTCAAGTGCAACACGTGCAGCAATCCAGGCAGAGCCCGCTAGGACACTTTGAACATGAATAAGCCATCCACTGTCTTCCAAGTTAGAAACAGAAGCTGACATACTACTCAGATTTCCACCACCCCACGTCCATCCACCATTCCTCTAACAAAATAGAGAAAAAATAAAATTCAACAGATAAATATCATATATACTCAATATATAAAAGAAAAGGAGTTAATGCTCATGTGCAGAAAAAAACATTAGGGAACACTTCCAAGCTCATGTATGTCCTTGGCAAGAAGCAATTTTCCTCTAGTTTCCAACTAGTTGCACAGAGAACTAGGACTACACATGCCACACTTAAACAATATCTGCAGCTCAACAGTCAACTCTGATACCTAGTATAGATCATCCTCAAGGGCCATCATTTCATGAGGTATGCTTACACTTTAAGCATACCCTATGCACTCTTAAGTCGAAATGTAAAAAATTAAACTTCTCAAATTAATATTTCTGAATCAGATGCTGATAATAACTTCAATCGATGGAAATAATCAACATACCGCATACAACGAAGTGCAGTAATGCAGCATTTGTAGGTCAGGCCCACAGATCAAGGTCCATAAGGGTTATGATGGACTGAGCATATCATTTGAGTTGCCCACTGCCCTATATTGTGCAAGACTGAATTGAAAAACTGTGCAGATCTGATGAGTGATGAGTGATTGTGTGCAAAAGCTGTACAAGGGACTACACTGCATAATTGGTGCACCTCAGACAGGTAAGGCAGGTGGAGATGAGACTCACTGTAATGTAGAAATAGGCAGATATGGGGACCAAGGGTACTGCAAATGCACTTGTTGGACTACATTGCCAAGCAAGCTCCTCGTGGCATTTTTTTGCCCTTGATTCCACGTTATTACATGACCCTGGCAATATCATGCGTTTCTACATTTTGTTGAGGATTATTTGGCATTGAAGAAGTCGTTGGAGTGCTAATAACATCAGGAAGAACTTCAAGTATGAGTTTTGAACCCATGTCACAAGCTTTTTGACAAGAATTTTAGAACAAAAAAACGTTAAAACTGTATGTTCATAAACATCCTTTTAACATAATGTCATACTCTTCTCCTCCCCAAAGTAACAGTCCTCTTTCTATCCTTTTGCAAATCATGAGAAATATACATGTCTAGCAATCCTAACTGTAACCATTTTCTTCAGTTTAAAGGACGTTAATGTAATCTACCAGTCGCAACCAAAAAGGAATGAGAACCATCGATGAACTAAGCAGAAAACAACGGTTTTCTTTTCATAAACGAAATGAAATTTTTTAAGCGAAAATAATTTGAACTCACCAGGAAGGAAGACATCCCATCTGATGATGTAGTCCCATGGGTATCCAAATAATCTCTTAGACGGGAAAGACTATCTCTCATGGCATGAATATTGTCAATCCCGAAGAAAACAACCTGCTAAGCAAGAAATCTATAATATCTTTTTTGTAAAAAGTGAACTCATAATTAATATGCAATATCTACAGAAAGACTACCAATCACACCTCTGACTGAAAGTAGTTAGAGGATGACTCAGAGCCTCCTCCCATTGCACTATTTGCTAGTGCATTTTTCCTAGGCCTTGCGTCAGCGATATAAAATTTCCTAGGAGGAATAAGCATGCTTTTAGAACATAGTAACACAAATTGTAATATGTGAAAAAAATAAAGAAAAATAAGGCATTAAGCACGTATGGAAAGGGAACGACAACAAAAGCCAGAAAAAGTATACAGAGGTCAAATGTTCATTTATCTGATATGTTAACAATATGGGAAAAGAACAAAAAAAACGCCTTTCGCATGGTTTCGACGTAATAGATTTTGAATAGAAAAGTCAACTTACCTTCTAGGTTTCAGCTCATCAGAAACCTCAGAGCAGAGAGCAGCAACTAGTTTTTCATCTGCATTACTACAGCATAGATGATACCAGATAATAATTTAGGTTTTGAAGTTCCCAAAACAAAGGAGAAAATTACAAAGGAATATGAACCATAACTCTCATAATGATAAGTTACACAGGAAAATTGCAAAATAATTCCTGCTCATTAAAAAATATCACCAGAAAAAGTCAAATACCTCCTTGTATTCACAACAAGGCCAACTAACGGTTGAGAAGAACGGGCAATAACAGCGCCGGTTCCTGAAGATCAATTTTGAAGACGACACCTTTGTGAATACGATTTAGAAAAAATGCCAAAAACGACGATGATGACTAGTACGAACCCGGATGGCACCATGATATAACAGGTAAACGACACCTTGCACGAAAGGAAGAAGCTAGTCGTATTTCATCATCACTGTAAAAAAAAAAGCCAAAATTGCCACATCCATTAGCTAAAGTTTCCTTTAGGGGACACCAAGTTCATAGCTGTGCATTTTTTTCTCGAAAAGAAATATAGTATCTGTGTATTATAAGCAATGATTAGAATTTTCTCATGTTTCGATATTAATATATGGTAGAGAAATGTCCAGAAATATACCTGATACATTTAGGTATAATCAAAGCAAATGGATAAGTTGAACACATTGTATAGCTGGAATTCACAGCGCTGATTCTCCACCATTTATTAGAAACGGAAAACGATCCATCTTCAACCATATGAGACAATGGATGTACAGAAGCTTTTCCAAGAATCCGAAAATACTCATTCAGTAACCGCATCCTGGGTTCTGTGTTTTTGAACTTCGATGGTCCACAAGTAAATGCATAAAGGTCCCAGAGTTGAGCAGGCCTAGTACATCTCAACAGTGCATCAAAGACAAGACGCCTCTGTAATAGAACAAAAGGTCCACAGTACCATAAGATAAAACGTTCAACTCTTTTTAAAAAACCACATTATGCAATAACTGAAGGAATGTAAAAGGTTTAGATTATGGAATCTAAATAAAATAGTGAACGAAGAAGAGTAATAACCCATTGTAATAAATAATTCTGGTAAAAAAAGCATAAGATTGCTAGGAGCAGCTCTTTGTATTACCTGCTTAGTTCTGGGACGAAAACCAAACACAATTATTCTCATATCTTTGCCTACAAAAGTAGGAAGAAGAGAATAAGTTTATGGGCACATGATCTATTAACGAATGCAACAAAGTTACCCTGAACCGATTTTATCTAGACTAATCATCTTAGCCAGTGAGTGGAGATCCAAACCAGTCATGACATCGTTTGAGATTAAAAATCCATAGGTAAATAGAATGCAAGTATTCACTGACTGGAAAGAGACAAAAGCTGTAAGATACATGTACGTATCAATCAGGCTTGGAAGCTGAAATAACCAGAGATCCTCTTTGGTAAAATTGCCATCAAGAAAAGCAGATTACTGAGATTGACTAGGACCAAACTTTAATCTTCATTTTTTAGCTGAGAGGAGAATAGAGAGATCTTGTTGATTTTTGTCAAAAAGATGACCACCATTATAAACATAAACCAGGTTTTGAGCTGTTAAGATGGTGACAGATTGAACTGTAATTATTTGGACAGCACTTGCGAGATTGTTGCGGCAGATATAAATCCTTACGAGTTACAATAACATGGGAGAAATGCTAAAAACGACAAGCTATTTAAAAGGGACTTGTTTCAGGTTCGGCACAAATCAACTTAGAGAGGATAATAGTGGACCATTCCTGTAAATGTGGGCGGATCTTCAGCAATTATCCTCCAAACAAAATTTCAACAATGGCTTTAAATTTTTTATTTCTGGGAATGATTTTAGCTACTTAAGCAGAATTTTCAAGTAGAATTTGGTTCACACTAGAAGAAAAAATGTTTGAATAAGACAAGGGTACAACTGGAATATCATGGAACCAAATCACCACAGACAGTGACAGTTAGCGAGTCACAAGTGCACTGCATGTTCTTGGTTTCTTTTCCTACTAGATTTCTCTCTTCCCTAACTCCTTTTTGATCTATTTCTAGGCTTGTTCACTCTTCCGTTCTCACAGAGAAATAAGAAGCGTTTACAAACTTTTATTCATATCATATGTTTTTTCCACTCTAAGTAAATAGTAACAGATAAATCGATTGCAATTCAGAGATAAAGAAAACCATTAAAGCTAAGAAATATATAAGTCAATTCAATCATTAAATCATAAAAAAATAACAGAGATCCGTCATCATAATTGCCAGATTGAGATGTGTAAAACCCAACAATGTCATGACTATCGATCTGTAATTAACTCAAGCATAATACCCCAAGGACATACCAATAACCTGAAGAAATCGGCATACAGTCCGATCAGACTGACGTTGAGCTGAAGGATTCTTAGGAGCCTGAATATTGAAGTGAAATATAAATATCCAGTTCTAAAAAAATTCAAATATATTTCACATAAAAGACATAGTACACTTGGAGAAAAAAAAATTATGCTTTTCATGGTCAATTTCACAAATTCCCCAATCTTTGGAAAAAGCATCAGGACCTTAGCAAGGATCTACATCTTCTGCTGACAAAAACAGAACGTAAGAAGGAAGAACTGCTAGTCACCTAGATAACATCACCATTAGCACTAAAAAATGGTCTACATAAAAAGGTGTCTTTCTGATGGATATACATTAGAAACCCTTTTTTGAACAAGATAATTTTCGCACTGAAATGAAATGCCTTTTTGAACATTTTACATTTTAATAATAAACTGTGACTCTTCAAATTCTCCTTCCAAAACTCTCTACAAAAGTTTTAGCTCCAAGCAATTTCTCCATTCTGACCTCTTTCACAAAAAATACAAAGTTTTCAAAAAGTTACCAAAAAGACACGGACAGAAGTAAACTTACTTGTTTACTAAACCTGTCAATCGTTGCCAAAGGTATGGTACCAAGAGGAATGACCATTCGCGGAACTTCACTCTGGGAGAGAAATTTCAGCACTTCAGTACATGTAAGAGACGGTTAGAACATGATAAACAGGTACTGCAATTATCTTACTCATTATAAAAAGGTTAAATAAACGAAAAAATTATGTATTTATCATAAATAGAATCATAAAATATCTTCTCCATTTTCATAAAGATAAAATATACATAAAAAATAGCGATTTGAGGATGTCTTTAGGTTGGCGCATTGCATAGGGATCCGAACGTTTTTATGAATAATGAGTGAACAAACGTACAATAGTCTCATATGAGTAAAGTCTGAAAATGTATTACTTACCACAAAGAGAAGGCGAAAATTCGTCACAGACAATATACCTGCTTTATCTGTATTCACTAAGACAACACCATTTCCCTTGAAAAAAACATTAAAAGGTCAGGGAAACCCAAACTCAGAGAGACCTTCAAAGAAAAGGTACCAGTAAACTCGCTGAAGCCAGATACAACAATGGATAAAATACAGTAAATGAGAAAGCCCCAACAAAGTAATAATTGGGAGGGGGGGAAGTGCATTTCATTTCTCATATTTCTGAGAGAAGAAAAATAAACGTCATATACCAGCATTTTTCATGAGTTCATGATTGATTTCAAGGGCTCATATAATGGAATTTTGCATAAGAGAAAAGTACATCCTTTTCCCCTAGCAGGTAACTTACACCTCAGTGGCGTGGATAAATTCAGTAAGAGTCCAGAAGTTTTCAAGAGACCCATCGCCATAAAACTATTGAAGGCATTTCTTTTAAAATCTTCGTAGAGAACACAAATATTTTTACAAGAGTCATCAAGATCCAATAGAAGGATGCTAATATTCAAGAGGCTGGTGATACACATCTAGCAGAGGTGATAAAGACGGGGGTCTCAAATAACAAACATGATTAACACCCATCTAACTTTTACCTTCTTGTTTTTTAGACTAAGCTCATACGGATCTCTTTACCAAAAGAAAAAGCGCTAAACAAGAAAGAAAAGGGCATGATAGGTACATAAAAATGTGATGAAAGGATGTTGAGCGAAGAATGAATTTCAATGAGGTTCAGACTTTGTTTAAGGAAATGATAAGAGTGTAACATCCTTTGTAAACTGTTTCCTCATGTTACACTAGCCGCTAACCTTGGGCGAAACCTAATAAAATTTTACTGTGTACAAGTGCAAGGTTTTAGAGGTACATGCCATGAGACTGAATATAACCAGAGACCATCACTTTTGGCTGGAAATAAACAAAATGCTAAGTGCACAATGAGATAGAAAACTTAGAAAATAAATATTGATATCATTTCTTCGTTATCAACTGAGTGGGATACAGTTTACCATGTTTTTACACTGGAGGTCATTTAAAGTTGTGTTACACATTCAACCAAAATTGAAGTTAAGCATTTTAAATGGAAAAATGAGTTTCTTTAGAAAATGCATATTTTCAATTCTAGGTCATTATAGTTTCTTTCATTTGAGGTACAAAAATAATCCTGCAAAAGGGAAGAAAGTACAACCTATCCCAGAAGATGATGAAATCAGATACCGATCCTCATAATGCTGTGATAAGTGCAAGCTCTCAAAAAGATAACATAGAGGCTAAAAGAAAATTGACTTAAGTACCCTCACCCCCCAGCTTTCCATGGTTCTCAGAACACAACTCATCTCCACAACAGTAAGCAATGAAGTAGGAATTCAAAGTAAACTAGAAACAGCGGTCACTGGTAATTATGGTTTCAATGGCATTGATATCTATAGTTCGTTTGCTTTCAATACCACCAATTGCAGGAATGATCAATATAGATATCCGGACGCTTGCTGCACACAAAGAGGCGATAATATGGTAAAAAGTGGGCCAAAATGCACTTAGCAATGGAAGCATCAGCCATGCTGGCGTTGACTTCAGTGTCCCCAAAGGGAGTAATGATTGCATTATTTCTGTGATTTCAGAGATAATGGGTGTGGATTCATTTGAATGGTCTACGACATAAAATGCAAAAAGGTCTAACTGATGTTTCGCGAACAGGGAAAAAAACAGGGTTTGCCATCGTTGGAACGTGGTTGGCTCGTATTTTTGACGATGCTAGTCATTGCTTCATCCTAGACAATGAATAGGATAGAACGTGCAACGAGAGGATTCTCCGATTCCAAATTGATGGGAATCTCACAATGAAAATAAACAAAAGAGGAGAAATAAAATCAGAAGAAAGACCTGTTTAACTTTCAATCGCGATGCGAAGAAAATAAATAAAATGAGAACTTTCAATCAAATGTTTAACTTCCTCTTCAACATGTGTGCAAGTGTCAACATGATAAATTCGTTGAAGGAAATCGCCTGTCCAAGTCATCTACCCGTTCTCCAAATGGGCACAAATCAAGATGGGGAGAATAGAAATGGAGAAGAATCAGGCAAAAAGTAATTTACGAATCATGCAAAAGTAACAAGAAGGCACCTGGGCGATGACCTCTTCGGCTTCCAACAGGAAGTCTTCCATGCCGTGGGAGATTGAGCGGGACACAGGCTGCAACAGAGACATTCAATAAGCAAACCTACGAAATCATGGTTAGACAGATAGAGAGTGTTCGGCATCGTTGAATTCAAAAGAAGATGAAGTTACGGGAGCAATTGCGGGAGTACGGGGGCGATGAGCACACGGACCTCGATCTTGGTCCATTCGAGAGCGTCCCAGCTACCGGCCCCTTCCATCGCAAACGCTCTTCCCGACGGCGGCGCGTCTTTCCGCCGGAGAAGAAAAGAGGAAGAAGAGGCGCGACCAGTAGGACGCGCTCACCCCCCTCCGCCCGGATGGGCGCAGTTCGGCGGACCGGTCGGTTGGTTGGTTTCGGGAGCGAGCACCCCTCTCACGTGGAGTACCGGACACGGCAGGATCCTTACTGACAGACGGTCAAGATATCCGAGATGGAGATGATAAATGATGAGGATGATGACCACTCCGCCGCCGTCGATTGCATCAATTCAACGCCCAGTATACCCATCCAGTCCATAATCAGAGGCGGGGAGGGGGAGGCACCGTGACGAGCTGCCGTTGGCTGAGATGTCGTCGCTCCGGGCTCTGATGGATATAAGATCCCAGCGATTTGAATTTCCCCCCACGAGATCCCACTCCTCCCATGGAAGATCGATCGACGGCAGGTCTTCCTTTTCCTCTACCGCGTGCCCTCTGGCTCGTGCAGAGGGCGCTTCCCCGGAGTCGCTGGACAGGCGGAGGGAGCGGTGGGATTTTAACAGTGAGTGCCACTTGGTGGTCGGTGTGGTATCCATTAACCCGTGCTCCGCCCCGCCCGTGCATCCATCCCCAGCGGCGGCCCTTGAAGACCGAGCTCAAGTAGCAGCAGCGCGCGGGGACGGCCGACGTCCCTCCCTCTCTTGCAGGGAAGAAGAGGCAAACGATGAGGACTGATCGATGTGCCGTCGTCGCCCGAGAAACCGTGGCACAAATTCGAAAGGAGAGGGGGAGGAGGGGGGGGGGGAAGTTTAGATGACCGGAAACTCAAAAGAGAGACGGAGAAAGTTTAGACAATAGAGGGTAAGCCCCAACATGGAGGTAGGCACCGCTGGTTTTTCTGGACGGCCACATAAAAGATAAGATACTACTCAGTGCAATGCACCTTCTGTCCTTCGCCTCCGTGGAGGGAAGGACGAGGACTCCAACAAATCTGACACCTCCCCCCCCCCCTTCCCTGATCCTCCCTGACCCTCGATTGGCGATAGAGCCGGTAGGCCTGGATGTGGCTTGGACGAGCCTTGGCTGGGACCAAATCATTTCTCCTCGAGCGCGGAGCCGACGCACCGCGTGCTTCACTTCTTGGACGACCGAAAACCTCCAAATCCCATCATGGCAGCAATGTCAGCATCAGCATCCTCCGCATCATCTTCGACGGCCTTTTCTTTCTGAATCCATGGCCTCGCCCGTCAGAACACTCGGATGGAAAACATATCAAAAGTGAAGGGAAGGAGGAACTTATATGCATGCTTGAGAGAGAATTGATATTCGCGAGGCAATGAAGCCGCAATATGTCAAAAGCAACACTTTTTCTGACCAACGCAGAGGGGAAAAGAAGAAAGATCATCCTGGTCTTCCAGGATAATTCACTTAAATCTGAAAATACGCTATACTAGGACAGGCAATAAATACCGCAGACGTCATTGACAGATTAAAACTCAACCAACACACACGCGGCCCATAATCTGAGCATGGAAGGTAGAAATAATGATATTCCATGAGTCCCTCGTCACCTTCAATGCCGTAGAACCCAAAGATATATGGGAAAGCAGGGCAGCGCAGAGACGAAGTTCTCCACGTTACCAGCACAATGCACGAGATAACCAAAAGATAGGAGACATCGAGTCCATGACGAGGACTATTTTGGTTCCATAAAATCAGAAAAAATTATAAACACTTTTAACTGTCGGTTGTAAGAGCCAAGGCCAAATAAAACCAGGAAATCATCAAATCCACTAACCTTTTTCTCCTTCTTCCTTTCTCGACGCTGTCTCCTCCGTTCCTCCTCCTCATTTTGCTGCTTTAATATTCTCTCATCTAAATCTGTTTCCACAGGAGAAAAGAAGCAACCCACTCAGTTTAGGCCTCTGTTTACAAGCATTAGAAGTGAACTGATTCTAAAACTATGTAAAATTAGAATCTCCTTCGATGAAATACTTGACCAAACAGACGTTAACAAGGCCACTCCCATCAATTACCTTGCTCAGAAAAACTGCTAGTAACTTTCCGCTTTTTAAGGACTTCAAATCTCTCCTGGACCTGTCAAAAATAAATCGCATTTTAAATATTTATACCTTTTAAGAGATGAACAAAAAAGCTCGGGAATAGGAAAACTTTCAAAAACTAAAGCGAGTAACAATGAACAAAAAAGCCAAAAACGATACAATCGAACCATTTTTCAAGAAAAATCTACACAATGAAAATGGAAGTCAGAACTGAACTTTCCGTCTCAGCGGATCAAGCAAAGGAAAATGGAATAATCTTATTCCTCAATTAAAACACCAGGAAGAATGAAAACCGAAAGTTCGAAAGAAAAAGAGGAAAATACTTCATTAACACTAATGCAACCCGTCAAAATTCACATGGGTTTGTACGTTTTCATCTAAGTCAATTTGGAATGATTGGACATTTCTCCAAGCAGTTAAACTCTCGTTTCATGTGATCCGATCGCCAAGTGATCTAAGTCTCGTGATCAGCAGGCAGATCAAGACCTGTGAGCCTTGAAAACCATGCCACATTGTACAAGACGGAATATGGTTTAACACAATATTAAAGACTGGCTTCTTCCAGCATGCGTCATTCAAATTCCATACAACCACATGGAGCCCCAATAGCACGCATGATCCCATAGGCAAATATTCAAATCCATTACATCACAGCATACTTATCTTTCATCTAACTGCACAACTAAAAAAGTATCGATGAGTACTAGACTACTGATCACCTCAACATAGTCAAACACCCATTGGGAGGGATTGAGCAGTAGAAACCCATCTCATCTTTTAACAATGCAGTGGAGAAAGAAAAACCGCCCTCTTCTTTCATTGGGATAAGACAATGAAAATTAAAATGTCTAACAAGCTCAATAAATACTATACATAGATAGAAGAACCTTAATGATTTGCATATTGACTACTAGCGCGAATCATTTTTATCCTAAACATTAGAAGTCTGCATATATGATGGTCCTCTTCTTAGAAATAATCCACATGACTTAAGAGGAAATGAGGGAACGCTTGTCCACTAAATAATCCACATGGCCTATGCGGCTCCATTCCGAAAACGGTCTACGTACAATCTCAAGATAATCAGCAGTATAACTATGAACCTCATTATTCCTATGAGAAATTTAGACAATGGTTCTCGTTTACAAGAAACAAGCATTGGTGAAAAAAGTTCACCTGTTGAAGAGATGCCCGTTCAACTCGCATTGACATCCCCAATGCTCTTTGATCTAAAGTAAACCAACAGGAACAATATGTGTTTACCATTACGATGCGTTCTAATCGGCCAGAAAAATAAAGAAATATAAAAAGAGTAGATTATCTCAGAAATCCATACGTTTTTTTCCATTGATGTGATCTAAGTAATTAGCCGAATCCTTTACCACGCATTCACAAACTGGACAGTAGTAGCCAGCCTGCAAAAGTCAGGTCCATGACAATCGAACTCACAAAAAATGGACTACAAGGATAAGAACCGTACGCAACGTTTCCAATGTCTAGAAGTCTACCAGGTGAAGAACTGCTTATTGCTGGATGAGAATGTATTTAGAGAAATCACAATAATTTCATCTTTTACATGAAAACAAATACACAACATACATAACCGAGTGAGCCGTAATCCCAAAACTCCAATAAAGCATGACGATGCATGAACAGAACTAATTGTAGATTTTTTGAGAAAGTCTATTCCCAAGATTTTTTTCCCCAAATCCTCTTAAAGTTTCTTACCACTAAACAATTCGGAAACTATACTATAGTAGCCTTGTTAAAAAAGAAAAGAATAGTGCGTATGAAACAGACAAGTGTGCGCCTAACCATAAAGAGTGCCAAGGAAAAGGAAGAAACAGTTCTTTTAGGATTGACTTTTCACAGAAGTAGAGCAAACACATCACAATTGCGAGCTGGTCAGATTGAAGAAAAATTGGTTTAGATTAAATCGAGCCAGCTAAGAATTTCTACTTCAACCAGTTTTGAGGGGTCAGACCAACTAAAAGATAATAACATTGATACTTTGATGTGTTTGATGTTTTTTTAGAAAGTAGTCCGCCACCGTGATATTTTATTAGTCATTAAGTACAATGTACTAAAAAGTAGCGAGGGAATCAAAGCAGCATCTGTAATATAGTAAGACAGAAAAAGACGCACGATCTCCTCTCCTCATCTATCAAGGTGGCAGACCACTTAGAGTAATAAAGTAGAAGAAAAAAATCAGATTCTTGGCAATATTCTTGGCAATATCTAACAATTCAGTGATATATGATTGACCACTGATTTGAATTTGGGATTTGCAGCAAATAATCTTCCACAACATATTAATAACGCTAATAACGCTATGTCTCAGAAACAGAAGATCAATGACCACATATAGCAAAAGAAATTACTTTTATTCTGATATTAGTATAGGCAACGCTAAAATACAGCCGGAGCTTAACCCCAAGATATTCCGATATTTAACGACCCAAAGGCCAAATTGTATTGCAATTAACAAACCAGATCATTGTCACGCTAGGTTCCTTACAAAACTTGTTTGTTGTCACTGTCAAATGAAGTTAAGTGGCTTTCAACTATGACAGCTTTTGCAGAGTGCAAATGTGAGTTTATGGATACAACAAGTCCACTATTTGGATAATGTTTCGATCAAAATTTCTCAGTCAACATATAGGACATGCTTTTGGACACGATATTTACAAATTAGATTTAGAACAAATGACAACAAGATTTAGAACAGATTTATGAACGCTTTTTCTTCTTTTTGGCACGAAAGTATTATAATAACCATCATATATTCGTTACACCAGGAAAAATAATAAAATATTTTCAGGAATGTGCAGATTTCATGTTTCAGATAAGGATGACAAGTCAATGTACTGAAAGGATAACTATGTAACTCCATTCATGCAAGGTAACAGAAAAAACATAGGCAAGAAATTAATTCGAAATTTACATGAAAATCAATTGTCCACAGTGCAAGCAAGAACTCATAAAACCAAAGATCAGGACACACTTATCCAAGTTCATGTAACCAATGTACATACCTGTTGGCTTAAAGGAGCAATAGGAGTCACAACCTGCAACAAGAAACGTGGTCACGAGTGATTTAGATTAGCAATTCCTCGGCCCAATCTCATCATATAACATACACTCGATGGAATTAATTTTTTTATCATAAAACTGGGAAAAAAAAACTTGTTTTAAGGTCAGATTGTAAGCATTCAGACTATAACTTAAAACTTGGGGGGGGGGGGCAGTTCTGAAAGTAAAGGATGAGGGAAAAAGGATGATCACGGGGGTGGGCATTAGAGAGAACCAAAAGAGGCATGAATATAGAAATGATTTTAAATCCATATATTGGGTATCTGATTGGCGTATTATGGCTACCTGGTAGGACTGCTAGAATAGAATTACCGTACATGGAATGATAGGGAAAATAAGAATATTGCATAGCTCAAGATGAGTGATGAAAACATTCTGCAGGATTTTAAATGTCCTTTAGAGAGGGGGTGAGAGATAGAGAGCAACAACGTACATCAGAGGCTAAGAATAGGATCCTCAAAAACTCTCTCTCGTAAGTGAATCAGACAAGGATTCCCAGTCGTATCCAGAACGTGATTATAATGGTACATACTGTGCAATGAAGTTCTTAATGAGGCTTTGAGCTCAAACAATGTATCTCATCGTATTAAACACTTCTAGCGCTACTGGACAGAAAGGAGTCCAAGGATCCAGTTATCAATAGGATAAGATCGGGATACCGAATGTAGAAGAAAATTTCCTTAGATATAAATTAATAAGAACAAAATGTTGTGTAATTAAGCTGCCAGAAAAAGTGTTCCATCCGCTGGGATAACTAACCAATCCCAAACAAAATCAAAACTAGCATCAAGCTTTGATTTAAAAGTGAAAAATAAAATTATCTCGAGTATCAGTTGACAGACGACACAAAACCACAGGGAGATGTGTAAGCAGAGGGGCGTCGTGCACCCACCCAACTTGGACTATTGTACCATCAATTACCTACACAAAGTAGTTTCTTCAGCCATAAAACCTGATAGAGTCCAGTGAACAGTTAACAAAATAAATAACCATCAATAATGCCATTAAAATTGCCATCAAGAATTTACGATGTATCCATGACAATTGAACTGCTAATTTACAATCTCTCCAAGTTGTTACTTAGGTTGCAATGAAAGTGCATATATGAAACTAGGAATTTTAAAAGTGCATATATCAAAACAAAATGCTAAGTCCAAAGCGGCAAGCAAATAACAATAGCATGGTGCATGAAAAAGGAAATCTCTGTAAAAAAGAGAGTCACACTGCGTGACAAAGATACCACGAATCAAACAATGCAGATAAGTGTCAACAGAAAATGAAATAATCGCAGGAAAAAAAAGATAGCAATTAAGGTTAAATCGGGGTTTTAAATTTTTTAACTAGATCGTATCGCAAAATGAGGCACTACAGCTAACCTGGGTCTTTCCCAGTCGAGAAGATAGGTCAACTTCATAATCCCGATGCTTCAAGGGCTTTCGCTGGATAGGAGGAGCCTTGGCTGATTCAATAATAACAGAGGAAATGTTACTTATTCTCGCTAGCTACAATCCTCTGTGTACTCTAGAACAAAAGGGAAAATAAACATAAATATACATCCTATGATGTCCAAAAGAAAGAAACATCGGCTAGACTGTACCTTTGCTTGAGAATCTTGATTCCTCTTCCTAAAATCCCACGATATAATCACGAAATGAGCCAGGAGAGGAAAAGGTGAATTTGTCAATGTCTACTATAAAGGAATCATAGTGACATTAAAAAGCAAATAACTAAGCTAATGATTTTGGCAGTACCTGTTTCTCCCTTTCACGAGCTCGCTCTAGGTACTCTTCCCGATTCCATTTTTTCCTGAACGTATTGTCAACCCCAGCAGCCTACAAGAGATAATAAGCGAAGATAATACTAACCATTATATCCGCGTCTTTGCAGAATCCAATCAACAAACAAGAGTAACAAGAATTAGAAAAAAGTTTGGATGATAACTCACATTATCACCTGACTGAGCCATCAAAATGATTTAAGCCTACACCTTATTTAAGATGTGCAAATAGAATCCTGGAGGGAAGACGATTCCTATCAGATAAAAGGAATGAAACTAGTCCTGATTGTACATACCCAATAATAAGAAACAACAATAATGAAAAAAATACATAGCAAGCAGGTCGAATTCATCAAGAAATAATATGAACCCTGCTGTGGAATACTAATATCCAACCCGAATCTCCCAAAGAGTAACGTGCTGAGGATAATGAAAAAAAAGGTTTGGAATAAGTGAAAGGTTCATTATTTCTAATTGTTATGTTTACACTAGCTTTGCAGGATTCAAAAAGTGGGAAGCTCCTTCTAAGGTGGTGAAATCACGTATCATTAACCAAATCAAGAGTAGAGAGTACATATGCCATGGGACAGCGATCATTAGGTCCTATGAGAAGCATCTAATCTAAAGAGGCATGGAGAAATAAAAAAAACTGGCCAAACAAGATGCAACACCAGAGAATAAAAACTGCCAAGGAATCGTTATCACCGAAACAATTCCTCTTTTTCATTTCACAGAGTGCCATGTACCATACTTTTTTGAAAGTGGTAGGGATGCTTCCCAGATTACTAGAAAACGTTCCTCCATACACGAAAGCGGGCTAGGTAGCGAATTACGGATTCTCCTGACGATCATTTGAGATATTTTCGAGAAAAAGACCTAGAAATGGAATTCCATATTTTCCTGAAGGTAACATGAGATATTTCCCTGTTTCATCCATTCAATCTTCTTCCCATGGCACTCTATCCTTCAAACAAAACAACTACTTACTCTGTCTAACCGTATTATTTGTACCAGCTCACCTCCCAGCACCCGCTACTTACTTTAAGCTGTGTTAACATCCAATTCTCAGAAGCGAGTCTTTAAACCCTGGCCTCCAACTTATTTCCACTTTCATTAACCATCTTATGTGACTATTCAGGATAACTTGTTGTTCCCTACCGCAACAGCCCCTTGACTTTCTTTCACTAAACTTTATCAAAATTTTGAAGGATGTCTAATCGGATATTTGAAGACATCCTACGTCATTCACTTAAAGATCTCGATACCTTCCTGGCCAATCCATAAAGAAGAATGTTTAGGATGTCATTACTACATGATGACGTTTTGGATTCCCATCTGCAAACTAACTCCTTATGGCCTTCATGCCCAAAGCATCCACACTCATACCTGAAGACATAGACTTATTCATAAGTAGCAGCAATGCAGAGAGGTAGCGGTGTCTTGTTTGAAACTGCTCTACATGGACTTTGGATGATGGCTAATGGAAGTTCAGTGAACCATTTTCCGAAAAATGAAAATTAACCATATTAGATTGAGGGTTACAGAGGACAATTTCAAACAAAAATCCCACGTAAAGTGACAAAAAAATTGCATTTAAGATCCGCAGATTCTTTCTTCCCAAGAGAAAACGCGACTAACATAATCGGCTTCCAGTTCTATCTTCGGCTACAAACAGGAGGAAATCCCATGAAAAAGGAAGACAGATTCCCGCCGAGCAAGATTGGGGGGGGGGGGGTTGGCGCAGTCATAGTATATAGTATTCGACCCGGGCTGTAAGACTTTCGTACCAACACAGACAGAAACGCTCCGTTGCTCAGCCCCTCCTGTGCCGTCGGCGCCAGGCCGGGGACCTGGCTTCTGAACGAGGTCTCCCGACGCTGCAAGAGACAGCGGGAGGTCGATGCCTCTCTCCCCCGCTCGTGTAGTACTTGCAGCGATGGCCGGCGGTCTGTGAGCAGGCGCACTGGAAATGGCAGTCTTCGCCGGTGACGGACGAAACGCCCAAATTATTCCGGCATAAACCGTCCGAGACCTAAACGTCCTCGTCAGCTGTCATTTTGCCGACTAAACACAAAAAACTGGAGTTTGCAGCCGGGCCGGACCGGCGGGGAGGGGCCCGGATATTAGACGTCCAGATTTTGGGTCTCTCAGCAAAGCCCGAAAGTTAAAAGAGGCCGCGCAAATACCCAGTGAAGACCCTCTCCCTCCCCCTCCCCCTTCCCCGTCCCTCGTATAGCCGGCCGGCTACAAACCACAGGTTTAATGACTCTGGGAGGGTGCTCCGCTTACCACACAGCATGTGCTGCGTTTCGCTGTCCGTTTGCCATCTAACGATAAAGATACTCGTAATTCCAATGGAATTGAATTATTGCAAGCGCAAGGCCATTGATTTTCGCATCTCCAACGTGAGAGGGGCCGCGTCCCGGGCAAGACTCGTACTGGGTACGAGCAACCGAGACGCGCCGCCCTCCCCTCTACATTTGCTCGACACTGTCGGGTCTTCAGAATCGTGCCCCGGAAAAAAATGGAAGCAACTTTTTGGAAGTCAAAGGGGGAATAACTCAGATATTAAGAGGCAACGATCCAGTTCCGCGAGCATCTTCGCATCCATCTGGCGTCGTCTCCTACGTCTCTTCGCTCTCGCAGCTCTTGCCTCGACTCCTACCCCTCCCTGGCTCTCGACTCTGAGTGAGTAACAACCTCTAGTGGGTTCCTCATAAACTTTTATCCCCGTATGGTAAGCGTCCTCTTCTCAGCGGCAAGGGGAGAGCTTACGGTACGGTCTTGCAGGCAAGGAGTGCGGCACGGTTGGCATCACACAAGCTCAGTAAGACCGTGCCTTTCTTGTGGTTCAGTCACACTATGTCGTCACCTTGGCTTTCTCTATCAAGAACCAGCTAGTTTCTGGCAGAGAAGGGAAAGAACCACCAACCACCATGAAAAAATAAGCCTTGCCACAACCCCGGGGACACCCTCTTGCTTGCAACTCAAAGGAACGCCGAACCGGTCGGTGCATACCACATGACAGCCGTTAGTGCGGTTCTCCTCCCAGCCAGGCTCATACTCAGTGAATACCAGAGGCCCTGAGCTCGAGCTGCGGGCGAAAATCATCTACAGACTACGGCCGTAACGTCATCTTGAAGCTCTCTCTGTGGTGGAACATACGTGGCGACAAGCACTGTCGAAGCAGAGTACAGATTTTTCAGCGCTGGCTGGGCGCTGAGCTCAGCAGAGAGGAATGAAGCAGGCTAGGCAGGAGAAATAAAATCTGTGGATTCCCCCAAAATAATTGATGGCACTTTTCGTTTCGCGATCAGTTTACAGAAATCAGGACCACCATACCTCCCTCTCCCGTTCCGCGCAAGGTCTCGAATCTTCCAGCGCCCTCCGCAGCATCGAACTGCCGGTGATGTACCGTGGTACTGATGGAATCGAAGACAGAAGAAGTAACGTCCGGACTCCCGGTTGGAGGAAACAGGAATTAGCTATTTTGCATCGTAACAGTGCACAGACTCCTTGCCACGGACGCACTCCAGCACGGCTCTGCCATCCATCTCCTTTGCAGATCTCCAGAGGTAATTCAAACCGACCAGGAGCTCCACGACAGCTGCTTCTGTCTTCGCCTGATCAGCAAAGTAGAGAGTTTGTAGAAGAAGAACATTTGACCTTGAGAACCAGTGTTGCTGCTCATAATTCCGTTCGGACTGCCACCTCACCATGTTGTGAGCGAGTGGGGAAAGCCAGTCCAGGATCCTCGTCAATGCATCGCTCCACTCCGCTGCCAGAGCTGGGTCGTAGACACACACAGCCAAATTCTTGGTGTACGGCTTCAGCTTCACCCTCAGGGCCGCCTTGACGCTCGTCGGCAGCATACTGTACAGGTCATCTCTGGCCTCTGGGCCGATCAGATGTGGATACTCCGCGAGCTTCTCGATGACGATGATGATGTTTGCGAAGCGCAAAGCCAAGGCAGAAGCACCGAGGGTCGATGGAGTACAGACCAACTTCCACTTGGAGTCGAAGAGACTCAGGGATACACCAGCGCACCCGAGCAGGTTGCTTCTACGAAACTGGCTTCCGCCGCCGCCGCCGCCGCCGCCGCCGCCGCCGCCGGCAGCTTTCTCACTTCTTGGATTCAACAAACCGGCAAGGGGCTTCAGACTGCCCGGCAGCACGGGGGAGTCTTTGCCGGACAGCATACAACCTCCGAAAGCTCCCCCGGAGAGGGACCACCTCGTCCTCGTCGACGACTTGCCTCCGGGGAGCGGTTGCAGGTGTTTCGCTCCAGGCCTTTTCTCACCGGCCGCGCCCTTTGCGCCGCCGATGGGACCCGACTCTGCAGCGGCGATTGAGCCCGATTTCCTCCAAGACCCTTCGAGAGGACCTGAACAGAAACTGAGATCTGCATCCGCCGTGCTGCGACGGTCCGCCTGGAGAGAGGAGGAACGGGGTCTTCCAGCCTCGGAATAGCTGCGCGGAAGGCAATTGGGATCACCGGCTTCTTTGCCCAAATCGTGTGCGATCCTGTGGAAACCGAAGACGAGGTTGATCCTGACCACCACGGTGAAGAGAGCCCTCGCTACAAGGCGCACGATGTAGTCATAGCTCCTGTTCCACAGAGATTGGTCACGAAGTGCCTTCACTTCCTGCCTCTGCCAGGCGACCTTCTGCCCCAGATCTATCAAGCTGACACCCTGGGAAAAGCCGGATAAGCTTGAGCTCGTGTTGGCCTGCGCCCTCCGCAGGCTCTGCTCCATCTCGGCGAATACCTCCATCTCCTGGTACAGATGGACCGTTGCCGCCGCCAGCCTCTCCATCTTCCTCACCTTCCTCTCCATCTTCTTCTCAGTAAACGCCCAGCCCCCCAGAGCATCAAGCGCGTACTGGGGGGCCATTCCCTCGCCGCCAGATACGGTGGGCGTCACGATGTCGGGAAGCACCTGCTCGAGCCTCCGGAGGACAGGGATCGAACAGCGCCTAGCGAGCAAGGCGGCGGCGCGGGAGGTGGCGCCGAGGGCTTCCAGGATCTCGGAAAGGGCAAGCGCGAAAAGAAAGCCCCGGTCGTCAGAAACGAGCTTCTGTACGCCCTCAAGACGAGAGATGTCGTCGCGGATACGGGTGATCTGGTCGTCAGCGAGGGAGTGCCAGAGATGGGCGACCCTAGAGAGGAGCCCAGACAACTCCAAGGCCAAGACACCAACTGTCCTCGAGGCCGTCGGCGCTAGCGTTGCAGCAACCTCATCCTCTGCGCCGCAAGCGCCATTCCGCCGCTCCCCGTGCAGGAGACCCAGGCGATCGAACCACGACTCGACGACCATCCGACCCATTATCTCCGGCGAGGGATAACGGAGCAAAAAGGAAGGGGGACCTGGAGTAAGGTCTGCGGGACTCCTCCAGGGAGATGCTCGGTTCGATTTCTCCCTATTACCTCCATGGGGCGTCCAGGCCCTGGCGAAGATGGGTGGCGGCGGCGGTGGCGGCGGCGTCACAGTCCTGCCGATGGGGTGGGTGGGGCGGGTGCGGAGGGAGAGAGAAGGGGCCGAGTCAGAGTAGTAAAGGCGCCGACGCCCTTACGGCAAAAGCCGGTCGGGAACATGGTAAAGTCGCGGGGGAAAATGATGGGAATGTCGCAGTCCCGCGTCGTCGCCTGGTGTGGCGTTATTTCGCACGACCTCCGTTTCCTCTTGTCTTCAACGGTTGCCCGCAAAAATTGCTCGCTTAGCGAGCTCGGTCGCCGGCGTGCGTGTAGGACTCGCCCGCCTCCCCGCCCCCACCTTTATCCCGGGTGTTGGGGAGGTAACCCGCCTGCGAGAGCCGGTGTGCAAAGCGAGTCTCACTGTGACTGCGCAGAGAGAGGGAGCCCGGTAGCGACGGGCACGGCCGGTCGGAGCGTGCCTGTGGCGGAGGGGTCGAGGAAAGCTCGAGCACGATGGCGTTGAGATGCCCTAACCCGGCGCGTGACGGAGAGTAACCCACCTCTTCGGGAGTCGCGGTCCCGGCAACACGGCTGGCTGCCTGCCTGCCTACGTTCTCTCGCCCTCTCGTGGGACTCGCAGCCCCTGCGCGCTATTGTGCAGTAGCCTCTTTCCTTTCCTCCCCGTAATGACGGAGACGGCACACGTACCGCCTCTCCGTGATGGCTTTACTCTTCGTCTTCCCCCATCTGAGGCCAGCAGGAGGGCACAGGTGCAGCTGGCTCCTCTTGTCCAGTCCTGCCGGCGGTTACGTCTCACATATTCCCGAACGCATGGCCGTCCCTACCCATACGGCGTCACGGAGTGGAGTGGATTTTTGGAGCAGGGGGAGCACGAACGACCCGAATGGTGGGTGGCTCGCAGGCCTCGCTAAGCCGGCGGGCCAAACCCATGTGGTACCTTCTGCGCTCTGCGGATAAGTTGCGGATAAGTCGCCCGCCCCCACTTATTGTTCACCCGACGCGGCGTGCATCGGGGACATCTAGATGGATAATAGTGGCATACGCGGCGGAGCCGAAATGCCAGTCGGGTCTGTCGCAGATTCTGGGGAAGTATCCGACGACACCGTTCATCTTACTAATTTGGTCAGAGAGATGATCGGTGCTGAATGTCATAAAGACAACAGCCGTTAACTTTCTGCGTAACCGGAACGCCCGGTCTAAATGATAGAAACTGAACTGTAGTCTACTGTACCGTCCCGTCCTCCGTATTTTATGGCCGACCACGGGGTTTAGGGGGGGTGACGAGGTGATGTTCAAGTTCGAAACGGACGCCGCACAGAGAATTATCAGGACCCAACAACACCACAAGAGGAGCATCACCGCAGCAATACCCAATAATCACAACTTGTGACTTGGATCGATGGCGAGTTGACTTTGTCATCCCTCTTGTGCATGCGCATGTGCGCGTGACTTGGACAAGTAAGTCGACCGTCTACTTGATCTCCAAGGTTAAAACAGCAAGGGCTGACATAGAATGGGTCGTAACGTACGCCAACAATCATGCACGTATATATTCTGGCCGAGTAGGAAGGGGCAATCAGCAGAAGACGCGACGCGCAAAAGAGAGGTGGAGTTTTGACGGCTCAAGGATTTGTCGACGCTTGTTCGTCTCAAGGACGAAGAACGGCCAAGTACGCGGCCTTTTCGCGCGTTCGGTTGAAGGCAACTTATCCCTGGGCTACTTCTCGTTGACCTTGTGATATAAGCTCACTTCATTATTATTTTGGACTGGTTTGGCGTCAATGAAGAGGCTGTCGGTGGCTCTTTGGGATGTAAACAAAAGCCCCCCCTCCCCGCCACGACGTACCCGGCGGCGAGGCCCTTCCTAGTCCTTGATTCAGTAGTTCTCTCTCTCTCTCTCTCTCTCTCTCTCTCTCTCTCTCTCCATATCCTCTCTAGACGGACAAACGCGCACACACGCGTTTTCTTTACTGCTCTCTCTCCCCGAAAGTATCCCGCGTTCTACCCTCTGAACTCCGGCCAGCAAACTCTTCCTCTTTCCGCGTGCAGTGCCTGCCTGCCTTCCGCGTCCGTCTTGCCTTCACGGGGTCGCTGGGTGAGTACCCGTGCTTTGGCCTTATGCTCGCGGCCGGAAGGGCATCCTCCTGGAGCCTTATGCTTGCGGCCGGCCCCCTTATGTTGGTGGCTGCAGTAGAGGGGCGGTGGGGGGGCAGGAGTGGGGTCCAGCCCCGGTACCCCGATCTCTCTGCGGCATTTTTCTGGGAGTCTATTTTTTTTCACGGTGGAATTTGGTCCCCCTCCACCCCACCCCACAAAAGAGTAAAGCCGGGGAACAAGATCCCCCCCTCTCTGGTGGTTGCGGAGAGATCGGCCCCCCTTCGACGCGCTCGGCTCGCACGTGTGCGCTGAGTTGGGGACGCGCCGGGCGGGGGAGAAGGAGCCCGTACTTGTTTCCCGCCTCCCCTTTCAGCCGACGAGAGGGTGGTTCGCCATAATAATAATATTAAATATAACTGTATTAATATTATTGTTGTCGTCATTATTTACTCCGCTACTTTCCCAATTGATTAGGAAAGCGCCGACTCTCGAGGTGAAGAAATGAGGGACCGCATCGGAACCCACGCGACGCCGGGAGGGGCTGTCATGGGTCCTTTTTTTTTTAATGATATTAATTAATATATAATCGCTGCTCAAATCGGGTTGGCCCACGGGGGGGGGGGGGTGTGGGTTCCTCTGTTACTTTAAGGCGGCAGTGCCGTTTCAGAAACGCATTAAAAGAAAGTCTTCCCGTCATAAAATATTAACTACTCGACGATATAAATTTTATTTACATCTCTCACGCCTCTAGTAAATTGTCCCCTCCTCTTCCTCGGCCTCCTCCCCCCTCACTGCCCCCGCCTCCTCTCTTGCTCCCCCGTCCTTCCTCACTTCCTCTCCCGCTGGGCCAGGGAGAAGGGGTGCGGCTGCGTCGGGGTGTTCCCCTCCCCCCTGATTCATATTTGACATATGCGGTAGAATGGAGAACGAGGGGGACCTCGCTGCCGCCTCCGGGTGCGAAGTCGGCGGCGGCGCAAGCGCCTGGAAGGACGACAACACTTTTTCCGAGTCTCCCTCTCCGACTCCGTCGCCGTCCGCCTCGCCTCTTCCCGTGACCTCGGTTGGTGCCGCTAATGTTGCTGCCACGCCTGCCAATAGCGGGATCGGGGTGGTCGTGAGCATGGGCCAGCCGGCACATCCCTTGCCGGGGGCGGCGGCCGTGGAAACGGTGCTTGGATCGGCAACGGCCTTGGGGAACATCGCAGCCGGCGAGGATCTCGTCGGGAAAAAGCGAGGGGTACAAAGGGCGGACGGCGGTGTATCCCCATCCTCCGCGTTCCCTTCCTCTCCAGCCTCCGCTGGGGAGCTCTCCACGGGGGAGAAGCGGCGCCGGGGACGGCCTCCGGGCTCCGGGCGGCGCCAACTCCTCGCTGTTTTGGGTGAGTGTGCCGACGACCTTGTTCAAGTTGCACGCTTTCCCTTCTTTCTCCTCTCCATTCGGCTTCTCTTTCCCCCCTGGTCCATCCGCTCTCATTTTTTCAGCGGTTTTATTCTTGTAACCTGAGCTTCCATCCGACGAGATAACCATGGAACCACAAGACAGGGGCGTAGCCAGTTAGACGGACTGAGGGAATCCTGTTTATGGGTGAGCGCTGGACCTGCCCAATATCTCTGTAGAATTGAAATAAGGAAAACAGCTGCAGCATGAAGGCCAGCCTACGAGAGATTTTCAGAGCAGACCCATTGGCGTCCTTCGCTCTTATCTAGACGTACTCATGTGGGTGTTGGGACCGCCCCTTTACCCAACCTCAAAAGCAATGCCCACCGGGTTACAGAACGCAAACCATCATCACCACCACCATCTTTCTCTCTCCATCGTTTACGCTGAGACCCCGTTGAATACCTTGCTTCTTTGTAGCTTCTGTCTGTCATTGCTGTCCTGCCACCCTGAGGAAAAGCAGTGGAGCTTACTGTCTTACTAGTTTATCGTGTTCTGTGAAGGGGAGTGGTTCGCGCACTCCGCCGGAGGGAATTTCACGCCGCACGTCGTCACCGTTCCCACCGGAGAGGTAACTGAAGTTGTGGACGTCAAGTAGCGACGAAAATACGATCCCCCTCTTCCTCTTTAAAGCTACGTCGGCCCTGCTTCAAATTTCCTTTTTTTTCTTTTCTTGAACACCGTCAACTTCGGGGTCCTCCCCTTACAGGACGTTGCCGCGAAGATACTTTCGTTCGCCCAAAAAGGTCCCCGAGCAATTTGCATACTCTCTGCCAATGGGTCCATCTCAAATGTCACCCTGCGCCAGCCAGGATCCTCCGGCGGTACACTGACCTATGAGGTACGGACTTCATACTGCTCGCTCATTCTGCTTTTATTTCATTTCTCCTTCTTATAACGTCGTTGTCGATCTCGGATTCATGGTCGCCCTGGGGTTTTCTCGCTACCTGAAAGGAAGGAAATAAGGGGCGCTAAGCAAGGAGGCTTCATCGCCAATCACATTTGTTGAAGAGGCTAGTCGATGACATTAGTTCCTGATGACATCTTACTCAATCTCTCTCCCCAGGGCCGATTTGAGATAATCTCTCTGTCCGGGTCCTTCACAACCACAGCAAATGCGGGAATTCGCAGCAGAACCGGCGGAATGAGCGTCTCATTGGCAGGGCCTGATGGTCGCATGGTCGGTGGCGGGGTTGCAGGCTTGCTTCTGGCGGCTAGCCCTATTCAAGTAATGTCGTGCTCCTCTTCCTCTTTGAATTGCGCGTAGAGTTGGGCTTCTGCTGCGTGAGTGGTCATGGCTCTTTACATGAGATTGAACGGCGCTTGGCATGGGGCTCGTGTTTTCTTTGCGACGCGGGAGCCTAGTCGTCGCGATGAGGACATGTATTTGACTTAGTAGTTCCCCGATGGGACCTCATTGGTTCCCCTCCCGTGCCATTGTTCACGTCAACATTCCCTGCCGTAGCGATGATGCATGGCATTAGGAGGGCAGCTCGCAGGCGGCACTGGGGAGAGTACACTGCTGTCCGGCTGCGGGGAGTTCCGATTGCCTGGCTGCGAGCAAGACAGACATGCAGAGTAGGTCTGGAACTGGCGGGGGCGGCACCAGAGTCGTGACATTCGTTCCACCGTGCGCTCTCCTGCTGCATCTTTCCTTAAAACAGAGCACGAGCTGAAGTTGTAGGTGCTTGCTCGTCCTTGCCCCCCCAGCGAAATTGTCACAGCCAGTTGAAAGTGTGTCTGTCATGAGTGACAAACTGCTGTCGGCGGCCTCGGTGTTTCTACATTGCAATGTCTAGGCCATTCATTTGCTGGGGGTCTGGTCTGTCGAGTACTCTTTGCGCATGTTATGCTGTACTCCAGCCGGCCAGATTCCTTAATGTCATCATCCATCCATCCATTTATCCATCCTGTGGTCTCTAGCCAGTGCCGCGCATCTCTCGCTGGAAAGGTCGAGTGTACTGATCTTGTGGTGGCGGTGGTCTTATTAACAGGTTGTGGTGGGGAGCTTTCTGCCAAACATCATGAAGCAGCAGCACGACAAACCGAGGCCTCTCCCTGCTTCTGCTGCTAGGATTCTATCCTCTCCAGGTGCGCCGACAGCTGCTAGGCCCGTTTCCCAGGCAATTCCCGATGAAGATTCCGAGACGCCGAGCTCGGGTTTACCAGGGCAGCAGCGCACCGGCAGCCGTGGCCCGAACCAGCAGAGCATGGGCATCAGCGGCATCGACAGCACGAGCCCAGCTTCCTCCTTTTCCCCGCCGCCGATGGTGGTCAGCTGGCACGCCTTCCAGTCGTCAGCGGAGCGCGGGGCTTCCCCGGACATCAACGTGCGCCTGGCGCCCGGGGAGTGAGTTCCACCCGCCGTGCGGCGACTGCGCTCGTTCGGCCGGCCAGGCTCCGACAGGCAGACCAATTCTCCCTCCCCTTTCTGGCGATTTCTGACTGATCAGGGAGGTGGGACCCACCTGCTGTCGACCGGACATCTGGCTGTTGTACTCTGGGACCGTTCACCCGCGCCCCCGGTCTCGAACGTTCTTATCCACCATCAACGTCCGACATATCTCGCGCTCGCCATTCCTCGCCATCAATGCGCATGAGTGTGACGAGGCTCCCTGACGTGGCGAGCAGAGCATTGTCGCCCACGTGACAGAGTTGCCGCCTCAATTCGAGTTCACCGCCTCTACGGTGGACCTGCATCCATACATACGTACAGAGCTCGCGCTAGGCGGCACCAGTCGGCCGGCAGGAAGCGGATAGCAGAGATGGAGAAGGGGGAGGCGGCGAAGGTGGTGAGGTCGAAGCGGGGGACTGTGAAGCGGGTGGTCTACGGAGACGAGGAGGGGCGGCATCGGGTGGAGAAGGTGGCGTTGCCGGAGACGCGCCACCCGGATACCCTTCGGTACATGGAGCGGAAGCTGAGCGAGAGGGGGATGTACCGCATGGAGCGGCACCCCGTCGACGGCCTCACTCTCAAGGGCAGCCCCCCCAAGTCCGGGCGCGGCGGCAAGTACACCTGGGAGGGACCCGACGACGTCGTCCACTCACAGCTCGATCCGGGTCCCGCGGCGATCGACGAGGGCGACCCAAATTACGAGCCCCTCACCGGCGAGGGGGATGAGGGCCAGCAGGCGGAGGAGAAGAACGGACCAGAGGAGGGGCTGGACTGAGGAGGCAACGAGACTGCTCCCCCCACCCCAAACAAATCCCCCGATGCTTCTGTATATTAGCGCGGCGCCGGAGCCGTCAGAGCCCAAGCGCTCTAATGTCGTCGGGGCGCCGCCGCGAAATTCCGAGAGACTTGCAGTAGCAAAAGTCTTTATGAACCGTCCGTACTTGGATTTGCGAGTTTTGAGGCCTCCCCCCCTCCTCTTGGCGTTTTTTCGTCTTCTGTCGTCAAGACTAAGTGATCGATTAGCGCGCCACGAGAACGTCTTAGCGAAATGGCGCACAGTATTGTCGATCTATTAGGCCCTTCTGTTGGGGCCCTAGCCTCAACTAATTATCCACATGGGCCACAATCCCTGATCCGGTTGCAAAGAGAAGTAGGTATACGGATCCTGCGCAAATGACAGCCGAACGGTCGGCGATGGCCGAGGACGACGACCGTTAAGATCTGCCTAACGATTAGCAGGGCTGGTCGGGCCGTTAAGCGACCACGAAGATTCGGATAGAATGACCCCGGTAATCCGGCAGCCCTCGCTTATAAGAACCGGAAGAACCCCGGAGACCCGCCATCTCGAAGAGGCCTCTCTGTAGCCAATACTCCTACATTAATTCCAGCTTCTGTCCTCCGTTCCTGGTTCGTCAAAGTTCACCTTGGGGTCAACCGTCGGCCGTCTCATCTTGGGCTTCCATCACCTTCCCATCTGCGGGCCCAAGCGCTCCGAGTCCACCTGGGCCCAACAAATGAGAGCCCACCCAACCACCGGGCATTCTGGCAGGGGACAGAGAACCCTCTCACCTCGATTCGATAATAACACAAGCCACAGCGCCGCCGCTGCGCTCCCCCTCCCCCCTCTCCCTTCCCCCCGCTGTGTCGCCCGGTGGAGGAGCGAGGGCGGCAGGCAGAGCCCGAGGCGAAGAGGAGAGCCTACCGCCATCCCTGTCCACTGTGCCGCTCGATGGCGAAAGGGGACGACGCGGTGGCTCGAAAGAGAAATCGGGCGCAGAGAAGGAAGGGTCGGTCTCTGAAGAGCAAAGAGTCCGTCTCCTCCCGCGTTGCCGCTATCATCGCTGCTAAGCGCCGCCGCAAGACCGGCAAGCGTCGTATATGCGAGGTGAGATGCTGTGCTGTGGCTCTAGTTTCTCCGGACTACTTGCCGACCGATCTTGTTCGCTGCAAGATCGGAAAACGCCGCAAGACCGCCCCCTCTATACTTCTTTCCTCTTTCTCCCGGCCTTCTTCTTCCTCGCCTGAGGTTTTAACGGCTGAGTTTCTAATCATGAACGTGTACTTTGATATGAGGCCGTGACGCGGTGCAAGACCGGCCTTCTTTTAGCCTTCTTTAATCAATGTTTGAGACATCTCTGTATCCACCGGTTGTCTATTCCCATGTAGGGGATGTGCTTCACTCTCCCAACCCCAGAGGATCCCTTCAATGACCTTAATGATCCCGTGGCTAAGAAGGAGATGCAAATGAGCACCGATCTTTGTCAGAGGCAAAAAGAGGCGGCTTCTCTCCTTAGGAAGAGCAATGGCAGAAAGAAGCCTGTGTTACCGGTACCATCAAAGCCTTCATCGGCGGCCAATGGTTTGCGACACCAAATAGGTAAAGGCGAAGGTGGCGCTGATGTCGATTCTGATGACCGGGTCTCGAAGTACCTCATTTTATGTCTGAAGGCGATCCAGGAAGCATCCTCCCTGGATTGGGAGATGGGCGAGACTGATGACTTGGACCAGGTGGGCACGGGCCAGCAATCGCCACTCTTAGCTTGTAAATGGGGGATCGATTTTTGGAAGAGCCGCTTGTCTGGATTGGACATTGTGGATTCCACTGGGGATTGTGCAAGCCGAGAGCAGATAGCTTGGCTTGTGTCAATAGCCTCCGATATCATTGCAAGAAAGGAGAAAGAAGGTCTTCTTGTTCCTAGCCCCTTCCTCGTATTACTCGTCCCATCTCAAGATAAAGCCTCCGAGGTAAAAAACATAAAAATCGCAAGTATTGTGTGTTTTTGAGATCTCAGAACTCTTCCCATTGAGGATGCTTTCCTAGTTTGCCTTTTGTTGACGGGGAAAGGTCATTGCTGTCCTTTAGGTCCGGTCACTCTGCAAACCACTCAAGGCCCTTGGAGTCCATACAGTGAGCTTGCATCCAGGTGCATTGCTGGATCATCAGGTTCACGGGTGAGTACAAATGCTTTCAATTCGTTACCTTTTCGTCCCTTATATTTACGCAATTATATGTAAATCAATTGAGATATAAATTGGCTTTGAAACATTGACTCTCTCTCTCTCTCCCACCCACCGACCCACCCACACAGAGAAGCGCACACAAAAACATATTAGGTATAACCCTCCATCTCCTTGTATTTATTTTTAATACTAGGGTAGAATATGCCTTCTAGAGAAGGATGCTTAAGATAAGTGGATTGTTGATGCATGTGGCTTTGCATATATTTTCCAATTTCATATATTGCCAATTGATTGTGGTTTCATTCTATATCATCTATTTTTTATTACGGTCTATGATAATTGCAGATTTATCTCAGCTTAATTTTTCAGTATGATTCATGGATTCTAATGTAACTTGAACATTAGTGATATCATGTTCCATCATACTGTACCGTTACAGTAAACCATCCAAGAGGAGTTATTCATCAGATACACATAAAAATGTCCGTTCTACCTTGATTACCCGATGCCTTGGGGTTTCATGGTTACAGAGTTTTATTCTGGAATTTACTTATCACAATGATTGCTGGTAGTTCCTTAAAATATATAAGTTGAAATTAACAAAGGGAACTAATCTTAACAAATTTGTGGTGTCTGAGGCGAGGGATTCTCAGGCTTCGACTTTTCAACTCTCACCTAAAAGTGATGGACTCCTGTTATTTACTTGAGATTCCTCATAAGTGACCCTTAGAAGTTACTTCCGTATTGAATTATTCAGGGCTCTGGGTAGCATTGTGGTCCTTTCCAGCTGGAGCGAAGGAAGATTTACCATGAAAGTTTTCATTAAGCCTTCCTAGGAGCAGTAACACAAAATAAGGATTAGTAAGGACAAGTTAGTTTTTGTTTTTTTTTATAAGTACACTGCATTTTGCAAAGCACGCATTTCAGTTAGAGGGCCACATTGAAAACAACTGCTATCAAGTTGTCTATATTATCTAAGGTGTTTTAGCAAAAAATGTGCTTCTAAAATCGTTGTTTTGCATCCAGAAGAGTATTCTTTTGTATTCTGGAGAACACAAATTGTCTGATCTGAAGATAAAACGAGGAAATCTATAACTTTTGTTGGTTTAGTATGATAGTAACCTTCTATGAAATGTTGCTTTTGATTCATTCGATTGCAGTCTTTCAATATAAGTGAGAGAAAAAAAAAGGAGAGCATATAATCCCGTTTTGTACAGAATATATCGTGAAAGTAAATTGCACTCTGGTGCTCCGAACAGCTGAAAGTTTCTACCATCGTATAGATTTATTCTCATATATTTTTATTCGTCTCTTTCACCAGAAGAAGGTTAGATGTATTAGCTCAGCCTGGGTGAAAACACATCCCCGTTCCAAACTCTTCTCTCCTTTTCTTTGCCCAGAATGTTCAAAAATGTCTTTAGAACCTTGAGATCGTACCTCAAATTGCACGTGCTTAAATTGTGCAGACATGAAGGCAGTTTTTTTTTTCTTTTCTTTTTTTGCTAGCCGATCTTTGAAGGTCTCTCGATGGATCCCCTAAGTTCAAAGTTTCTCTGATCAGGTTCTCATGATGCCCATGTCATGTAGGGCAGCAGGTGAGAGACCTGTTCTATTTGGCTCTATTTGTTTCATGTCACAAGGCTGACGATGATGGCAATGACTACGAGATCCCAGCGTCTTGTCCTTCCATCTAAAGCAATCCCGTAGTTATATACTCACTGACTGGTGTATGTGCAACTTTAAGTGTTGTTGCGACTATGTTTGCCTACGCATCATGACTGCTGAAACTAAAGTCAACAATCAGTCACTCTGATCATCTGGTTGAATTCTCTTGGCAAGTAGCCGACTGAATTGCATTAATGTGATCCGCCTTTTTTGCTTAATTATCTAAGCATTTTTTTCTTTTGCAGTTTGAGGAGTTGTGAGCCAGAATTCATTGTTTCTACTCCTGATCGTCTTCTTTCTCTTGTTTCCATGGGAGCTCTTGACGTCTCTGGTGTATCGCTGTTGGTAAGTTATTCGTTCTAGATTAATCTATGCGTCAATTTTCTTACTACTTTATCTATGATATATATGGAACCAAAACAAGCCCCACAGATAATTGTTTATTATTTCGTCTCTGTGTGCTCTTTTGGATGATATTATTGATTAATAAGTTGAGGAGCTTTATTGTTAGTTTTCCTTGATTTCTTAATCACAGAAAACAAAGTGTATCCCTTTGAACAAGCTGGTAGGCAAGTAAGTTAATCAGGTCGCACATTTGATAATCATGGGCTGTTTGGACTCCCTGCGCTGAATGTGGTTTTAACATATAGGTTGTTAATGTTGGTGGGCATTATACTCTTTGGTACGCGACACTTATCCTCGTCGTATTCTTATTTTCGATTATTCATCTGAAAATTTTGAATTTGTGCAGGTTCTTGATGGACTGGGGAGCTTAATAGCCTCTGGGTATGCAGACGACATTAAATCCATCAGAGGGCATATTTCAGGAGATCCCCAGACTGTGGTTTTCGGTGACGAACACAAGGGGTGTTCCTCGGGGCTGTTGCTCAAGTTGGTGAAAGAACCAGCACGTCGGTTGCCTCTCAACAGCCTCTTGGGTTCGGGAGCCGCCGTAGATTCTTCCTAAGAGGAGAGAGAAGGCTTCCAACCGCAGTTTTTTCTCATATCCAGTGGTTTTGGCGGCCGGCGGTTTCGCCTATATACCAGCTGGGACTCGTCGTAGTCACCGGCATTCATGTGGCGACACAAGCTTTATTCTCGCGTGGCTCGTGGGAAGTCCAATAGCTGAGGGTTTGTAGATCTCGTCCTGAGTTCGGAGGAAAGATATGCGGTTTTTTTTGTTTGTTTGTTTTTTAATTTTTATGGTGAAACAGCCACGGGGAAGTTTATCAGCCCACTGGTTCTTTGCTCCGTCGGTGTTTATGGTTCTTGTCGCTGGAGAAGCCGTGCACAACATCGCATAGTATGCCTTGCCTCTCTGTTTCTTCGAAACCGCCCTTCTCGACGTGGGACTCGGGAGATGAGGGGCGGGAGGCTGCGCTCTCTAAGGGAAATAAACTCGATCGGCAGATAAGCAAGAACGAGGCTCACCGTGCCCGTGCAACCTTCGATGTTCCGTTTTCGAAATAATGGAAGCAGGGCAAATGGAAACCTCCCCGATTGTCGAAACCGCCCGCAGCAGAGATTTGATGCGGGGGAGTCTGAGTCTGGCCGTTGTTGCTCTCGTTTCTTTCTCTCCACTCTTGTAGGTGAAGCAATGCAGGAAGGTCTCTCCGGAGAGTTTACAGGGAAAAGGCTCACAAGACGTTGGAATACTTATTCTACGAGCAGAAGAAAGGATGACGGTTCTTCTCAGGAGCCACGCACCGCATCGCACCGTCGTCGCTGACGAGAGAGATGCACGGGAAAGCTTCCAAGATTGATGCAGTACGCAATGGAACTGAGAATAGGGTGATGTACACCGGTGGCTAACAGACGCTCTTCTTTATTTGCCGTTCACCGGCGGAAGGGGGACCGGTTGCTAGGTGTCGGGGCCGAAGGTCCCGACATATCCGAACCCACGGCAAAAGCGGCGGCCTGGAGAAAGGGAAAGACGAAGTAGCTGCGCTTCCCGAAAGCGACGTCGTAGCACGAGCAGAAGAAGAGATAGGCGCCCACTCCGATTTCCGTTAGGTGCACTCTGGTGGTGGTGGTGGTGGTGATTCACGGCGACCACAAGTTAGAGATCTACGGAAACAACTCTGGGTTCCGATCCGTAGAACCAACGTCCCCACAGCCAGAAAGATGATGATGACTACGAAATTACCTGTCGCCGATGGGGAGACGAATCTTCTTCGGAGCTTTGCTCCCCGCCTTGACCTTGAGCCCATCTCCAAGCTTCTCGGTGACAATCCACTCGTTCACGCGACCTGCCTCCAGCAGCCCGATGAAGGTCGCCTTGGTCCTGTGGAGGGACATGACATTCTCGAAGAGGACCCAGAATACCACAAGATGTAACGACCTGTTGTTTTTCAATGAAAAATGAGATAAGGAAGACGCACATATCATGGGACCGTGTGAATAGCCAGTGAAGTGTGTGGATGGACATGGAGGGTGATGATGGAGGGTGAATTATACTGGACGGACCTAGGACTTCCAACGGCGTTGAGGAGGGTGATGATGGAGGGTATGTAGACGGCCCCCCACTTTGGGATTTCCACCTCCGGAACCAACACGGTCCCCGGAATCACCACGCAGTAGAACACGAAGGTGACGATATGGGCTACGATCTTCCGCACGAAGAAGAAGCTGTAGATGACATGGATCTTCTTCCACAGCGACACTTTCTGCAGGTTTTCATATTGCATTACTTGGCTTCCGTAACTTTTATGCGTGTAATATAACACCGGTGAGCATTGTCGAAGGGCTCATCCTCAACTTTCGAATTCTGAATAAGAGGAATCCGAGCCGACTGACCTTGTTCCACGCGATCTCCACTACCATCTTCCTGAACAAGTTCGCTGGACCGCAAGACCACCGATGCTGCTGATAGCGGTAGGCCTTGAACGTGCTTGGTAACTCTTTTTTAACCTGGCTCGGCGGGTCGAATCCCACGGGACATGAGCATTCCCAGGAGAAGACAGAAATAATTACCATCGGAGGGGAGGAGAGAAATATCTGTAGGTACCTTAACATCGTAGAGGTAGACAAACTTCCAGCCCTTAAGACTGGCTCGGATGGCCAAATCCATGTCCTCCACGGTCGTCCGGTCTTTCCAACCCCCGGCTTCGTTCAGCGCCGCGATCCTCCATACCCCAGAGGTGCCTGCAACCCCATCCGGCAGGCACTTGCTCACGTCCGCAGAACAGCTTAACCCGAGAAGACTCCGCGGTTGGTAGACTCAAAGGATCAGTTTGCAGTGAAGCTTACCATTGAAGCCGAAGAAAGAGTAGGCGAAAGAGCCGAACTCCTGCTCCACTGTGAAATGGTAGTCCAGCCACATTTCCTGCATCCGGGTCAGCAGGCACTCGTCCGAGTTCACTGAGGTTCACCAGCAGAAGAGCAAAGAAAAAAAGAACGAAGGTTCCAACCTTAGATCTCATTTAGTTCCAAAATATAGCAGCGTTGGAGATTGGGGGGGGGGGGGGGTTGTCAGGTTTCATTTATCATCGGATATTCCTTCTGCCATGGCAAGCTCATGCAGTGGAGCTCGCGTCGGCCTCCCGAACTCCGAACTGGATAACGATAATAATAGTGCTGGTAATGAATGTGTGTGCATCAACGGGCGATAGAGCACGCTCACATCTGCAACTGCAGAACACTTAAAACGGGGGGGGGGGGAGGTTGAGGGAGGGAGAGAGAGAGCATGAGTTGGGGTTGGGCAGAGGCAACGGCAGCGGCGCGTCTGTGTCGTACTACTTAGAACCAGTGGTGATAGCGTGGAAGGGAGGAGCTGGGCCACATAAGTCCCCAGTTCCCGTACCTGGGATGTCTCCGGAACCGTCTAGTCAAAATTCAGCAATGATTATGATGATGATGACACGAATAAGGACGAAAGGCTGAACAGTGTGATCACTGGACCCGTGAAGGCACTGAAGGGATTTTTCAACAAGAAGAAGAGAAGGGTCACCTTCTCGGAAGTGCCACGCCTAATCTCATTTTGTTGCTAGTGATAACTAAGGACGTTTGGTTGAGGGTTTTCTGCTGTGACTCACTTTGACTGCTGACGAAGAAAAAGGGGAGAACGGACAAGTTACACAATCCTCGGTTCTCAGCAGCCGTCGCATCTCTTCCTCTCACTGTCGTCATCCCCTCGGGCTGTGGCCATGGCGGCCGGCACACACCGGCCACCCGGGTACAGCCGAGGAAGAGAAGCTCCAGTACGACCCGAGAGATCATGCTGGAGACGAAATGGGAAGAGGCGGACCCGACAGGAGGATGGTTCAATCCACCTCGGCGGATGGACATCACGACTAAAGTCCTGGTTAAGATCTTTGCTTTAGATGCATTCGACTTATAGGAGGAGCTACCAAGAAGACACAAAATAGTGACCGCCAGTAAGAAAATGGGCTACCCAGGCTGAGAAAGTATGCGATAGACACAAAGAAAGGAGGGGGAAGACGGAGTCGACGAGGAGGGGGAAAGCCAGCGCCACCGACTCCTCGGCTTCCCATGTGTTCTACTGCTCCGAGCAAATGCCAGATTACCCTACTCCATGCAGCAGCAGAAGAATCATCAGGAGTGGTAATGACTGGTGATGACGATGACGGGGAGATAAGAGAGCGGCGACGATAAGATCCGGATCCCCGCTGCGATTTGATTTAAGTGACCCAAACATGGAGGAATTATTGCCCTGGAGTCGAGGCACGGCACGCATCAAAAAATAGACCTTGCAGTCATATTGAGTAACAGAGCGGTCGTTGTGTGTCAGCGGGGAGCATCGGTGAAGCCGCTGCGCCGACCGACTGGCGAAGACCATGGCCAGGGCCAGGCTCCCGAGGGAATAACAATAATACTAAGAACGAGAGAGAGAGAGAGAGAGAGAGAGAGAGAGAGAGAGAGAGAGAGAAAGGTTATCTGGGACTCACCAAACTTCCATCGTGCCTGGACGAGGCCGACGTCAGGATTGTGGAGGAGGAAGGGGACGGTGCGACAGAGGAAGTCGGGCTCGGGCTGGAAGTCGGCGTCGAAGATGGCGACGAAATCGCAGCGCGTGACGTAGGAGTGCTTCATGCCCTCCCTGAGGGGCCCCGCCTCGTAACCAGCTCGGTTTGCCCGGATCTCGCGCTTGATGTTCACTCCCTTGCTAGCCCATCTCCGGCATTCCCACACCACCAACTCCTGCATTTTTGCCACCATCCAGGCTATCAGTCGGATGATGCCGTCTTAATTTTAGGATGATCGAAGAGGCCGAATAAGGTTCTTAGACGGTTTGAAGGACAGAGGACGGAGAACGGGCAGTCTGTTGTGGTGGGCCGCGTCCAAATTAATGCTGACATCCATCTCTATCATCGGAAGAAAAGCGGCGAACGCTTTCCCCTCCAGTCGGAGAAGAGCACACCTTGATGACGGGATCGGTGGAGTCGTCCAGAACTTGTATGATGATGCGATCGGAGGGCCAGGACAGCCCACATGCAACTCCGATGGAGAGCTGATACACCTGCGGGAAGGCGAGGAAAAGGCGACCACCGAGAAAAGACAGGGAAGAGAGTGAGCGAGAGAGATGGAGAGAGGGAAAGAGTGCATCAATGCAGCCCAATGCAAGCGCAGGTGCGGAAGGAAACGGAGAAGGTGACGAGACGAATTGGAGGATGACCTCTTTCTCGTTGTACATGGGGATCTGGACGAGCACCATGGGATATCCGTCATTGCCCGTCTCGAGGTCGTTCTTGATCGGCTAGCACTTATGCCGCCGCTCGGGACGATGGCCAAAAATCTTGACGAGAGCAAATACAGCGCCCTTGTAGACCTTCTCCACGAACAGCATCGCCGACATGACCAGGCACACCACGACGGCCACCCGTAGCAGCGGAACTAACACGGGGGCTTGCACCCATGCCAGCCGAATCGGCAGCGAGCTCATCGATGACAGGGGCTTCATTTCTTTCCTCTAGTTTGGTTCGAGTTCGATTTCTTCTGCCGTCTTGGAAAAAGGCTCGGAGGATAGACCAGGAGGTGAGCCAGAGGAGGGGCAAACGGCTTTTCTTCTACTTGTGGGGGATAGAGCAAGGGGCTGAATATAATGGCTGGCGGAATGCAGGACTGACTGGGTGCGGAAGAGAATTGGTGCTGCCGCGGCTGCCTCACCACCTTGCGCTGCCCTGACACAGATTCAGCGGAGAAGAGATATCGAGAATAAAGGACGATACGTAGAAAGAGAGCAGGTTGATTAGTGCTTGAAATGCCGGCAAGAGATTAGGAGGGGACTTAACCTCGGTTCCGCCTCCTGGTATCCTCTTCTTTTTTTGTCCGTCGACCGCTGTTCTTCACTTGCCAGCTCGCTCAGTCTACCGGTTTTTAGTTAAAAAGTCTTTGAACCCTTCCATAATGAGTACGTGAAGAAGAACACTGAAGCGAAGAGACAGGAGTATGGATGGAGGACAAATTCTTAGAGACCGTCCGTAAGGAAAGAGTGTGGGAGGACACGAGCCTTCGACGATGTCCCTCGGAAGTCAGTGTTCATAACTAGGGACGACGACCCTTCCCCTGAATATAGTTGAAAGGCAACGGGCTATTATTAATGTGGCTCGTTCTTCAGATAATAACGCTTCTATCAACCTTGTTGGTTTATCCACATATGTCAAAAGAGTTTTTATTGATCTAACTCTTGGAAATCTTAAATGTCATCCTTGATATTCTCACTGGACCTCCCTTGGCCGTCACCAAACAAGCAATCACTGACTTTTTGACCACATTGACTGGAATGGAGAATGCATTTGTCAACACCACAAAAGCATTTCATCTACCATTGTCTCATAAGGTCATATATTTTCTTATTGGTCATCTCATATGGCATAGAAGTGGTGCACATGATAGGATGTCCGAAAAATCTGTGTATTCTATACTGCATTATTCATGTCATTTCATTTTATTTCAGAGATCTATTTTTAGAACAGATGAAAATAGCCCTGAAGTATGACCTCATTCTTCCACTCGATTTTGTCATCACACGTGTCCTCAAGTATTACAAGTGGAGCAACACCTTGATATGATCGAAAAATGACTTTGAGATCTTGAAGACTACATTTCAGAGATTCGTTCGCATTTTTCATGATTTTTTGATCGAGCAAAGAGTATGCTTTTTGTATTTCTCCCGACTATTTATGATTTGATTTTTTGATCTTACAAAAAGGGGGAGAAAGATTGAGAAAATTTTGAAAATTGAGAAACTTTGAGTACACAAACTCAGGGGGAGAACTTGCTCAGAGGGAGCAAAGATGTATTCAACACAATTATGTTTTTGTTGCTTGAACCTGTGGATGAATTGTGTGAACAAATGTGAATGCTGAAACTTTGAATGTCTTGTCTGCACATTGCTTTGACACATGTGTTGACACATGATATTGATTGTTATTATTGTCAAAGCTTTATTTATTATCTGTGTAAAATTATTGCTATATTATTTGTGCACATAATTATGATGACATATATATTTTCTCAAAGATAATTTTGTAAGTATCAAAAAGGGGGAGATTGTTGATGCCCTTACAAAAAGGGCATAGATTTTGATATTACAATTATATGAGAAAATATATAATTCATGTTTGATATTGTTTACAAGATTATTATAAATGACTCATAGATTTCATGCAAATAAATCTATTATTTATCTTGTGACGTTATGGCTAACCTTGAGATTAAGTGAATTGATGAATAGGTGACATTTGTTAACACAGCTCTGCGTGATTATCTACGCACAAGATTGCTTTCTCTCTTCTCTGGTGGGTTCTCACTATGAGACAAGAACCTTTTACACTGGTTCGCCTCTCACCGAGATACTTCCAGTCCCAGAGGATCTTTCCTACCGATATTCTATTATTTCCCTCGAAAATATATACTGAAATAATCATGGATAAATGAACTAAAACATAACCAACATTTACCTATTAAATATTTGTTTTCTAACAAATATTTATCCATATATATGTGGCGCTTCACTTATTCATCAATTCACTTAATCTCAAAGTTAGCCATAATGCCACAAGATAAATAATAGATTTATTTGCATGAAATCTATGAGGCATTTATGATAATCTTGTAAATAATATCAAACATGAATTATATATTTTCTCATGTAATTGTAATATCAAAATCTATGCCCAAGGACATCAACATGTGCCATATTAAGTGGTCACATGCCCAACACCACACTCTTCCAACCCATCTTACTTGACCATAGGACGTTCTATTTTTTCTATAAGATTTATGCTCCTGACAATATTTTCATTGTACAGTGAAGTTGGGTTGGGGGGGCTCTTCCTTCACTAGGTCATCTTTCTGCATACCATCCCTTGTAAATTTATCTCTACATCTCAATAATCTCCCACTTTGAAAAAAACATCTTTGGGTCTTTGATTTCTTTTCAAACTTACTCTTGTCAATAGTAAAGATACAAATGAGGTGCAGTCAACATGTCACTCATTGAGGCCAATTTAGATGTCACATGGCTTAATTTCTTTGTAATTGTATTGTTTAGCAATCATAATGATTCTTCTAGATGTTAATTTTTTGAAGTTGTGGTGTCTCATCTAATAACTTAACCATGAATGAATTATGACCTAAATTGAATGTGCTTTTTCATATAACAAAACACGTGACATTTTAGTAAATGGATATTTTTTTTACTATCACATTGCTGTCTCGGAAAATTCTATAACCACATCATTATTCTTGTTGTCTTTTTAATGGTAACATATCTACTCTTTATGTACAAGTACAGATGATGTTTTGTGAAATCAAAATCTACTTCATGACAATATTGCTGAAGATGTGGAAGACTCTTAGAGTTGTGGATGATAATCTATTGGGTCCTAATAGACTTTGATGGGCTCTTCAGAAAATACGTGGATCAAACTCTAATGGTGCATGCAAGGATATGTTATGCGACCACTATCTGCTGCCACTATGATGATTATAACACGATCTTACTCTCTTGAAGGAGAACTTACGCTTTTGGTGGATGTAGGATCATTGTTTAAATGATGTTAAATCTGGTGTCTTTTTGTTCGTAGTGCTACTCCTCACGTTGACATCACCACTTTAATCATTATATGAAGAAACTTTTAACTTAAAAAAGGCAGCTTTTAAGTAATGAATGATCTCTCATGTTGATGACCAATATTAATTACTTATATCTATTGACAATATGTTAATGATTCTCGCTACATAAGCTCTATATGACATTGTATGAACTATCTCATAACATTATATATTATTTATTACTCAACCATGGGGAACATATCTTTGCTCCTTTGTTTGTTTTCCCACACTCAATAGATACTGGTGCAGATCGATATGCACCAGTAGTGGAGGGGAGGAAACTACTTAACTGCTGACCCAAAAATAATGGCCCAATAGCAGAAAAAGGAAAAATATATTTTATCTTCCTTTCTCCTCTCTCATTAGGCATTTCTATTAACTTCAAGAGGAGAGGAACCTTCTACTCCAATAATTTGAACGGTTTCTATGAGAATCATTCTTCATCACTTTCTCAACTTGGCCTCTATTATTTTTGGTGTGAATGTAAGAGCTTTTTCTTCTAATAAAAAAATAATGTATTATCTATTCATTTCTGCTATAAGGTGATTTATATTCAGCATAGCATTAATTTGAGATTTACAACATTGTGGGATATTTAATCTTATAAATTTTTAATTTTTCTTCCACTATGCTTTTTTATATGTTAAACTTGTGGTATTATGTTTATCTACATATCCACATATCTAGCATCTGATATCATATTTCTCTAATTTATTTTCGACTATATTTTTTTAAATTTATTTTGTCACAACAGGGGAGATGGAGATAAGAAGTAGATGAGGAGAGAGAATTGAAATGAGGTCCTCTACAGCCATGAGAACAAAATCACCCTTCCTTCATGTGAATAAAGGAACAAAGGAAACTGAAGACAAATAGACAATGCCTAGCAAGCGTACCCACTTTATACCCATTTTGGTGAGAGAGATAGAGAAAGGGGAGCCAACTGAAATCCCCAATCACTGACCATGATGTAGCCTGGAAACTACTATCAAATGATGGATCAGAGGTTTTTGACCTAGGCAACAATAAACAGATATTTAAATGGAACATCAAATGCCTCATAATTCGATTTCGTGGTCCACTACAATTCAAGTCTATTTTCAGATCAGCTTAGATAGAACAGCCCAATTTCAACATAACTCAGGTGAATCAAAGGCTCAGAGGCATGACTACTCCATTTGGCAAAAAATTAACTCTAAATGGCCCAATAAGAGATTTGCACATGTTAAATGTATATAAATCTTAATTTCTACATTTCTCTTTATATCTCGTATTTGGTTTTTTTAATTTAAAATTCAAATAGTCTCCCAAAATTATTAAAGGTGGTCTACCATAACCCTCCTACTTTAAAGGGGCATTTTAACTAATTTTCTTTGTTCTATAATAGTTATAACTAATTATTTTGGACCTATAAATAGGGCCTTCTTTGTAACCCCAAAGGTAGTTCACATTTGCATCAATCTATATCGATTTTCTTTATTCTCTTGAGGCTCTTTATCTCTATTGGTGGATTTCGGTAACTCTATATATTTAAAGAGTCATTTCTTAATCTGTACCCCCTGATCCGCGTTCCTCCGGCGACAAAGAGTCTATAGTTGACAGGTCAACTCTCCCTTTCACTACGCCCCACCCCCCCCCGCCCCCACCGAAATCATCGAGGCAGATGCACTAGCTCCAGAGATGGGTGGACCCTCCAGAGATCCCATCGTTCACTCAGAAGCATTGCATTTCATCCCTCCTTATAGGTTCTCTAAGGAAGATTCGTCCCCTTCTCTCGGTTGACCGTTCTAGTAGGAGTGTGTACTTACTTTTATCTCTCGTCTTTCCCAGGGTGACCTGATTCTCCCAATTTGACCTGATGCCCATGCTACTTAGTTTCTTGCTGTAGAGTGAAACGTGAAATAGTCGCAGAGTAGAGTGAGCGGTAGGGGGGGCTAGAGTTTCCCCCCCCCCGGGTTCGGGAGGGCGGGGGGGGGGGGCGGTGTGAGGCGGCTGGCAAGATGAGGGCTCGGTGAAGGTTCACAAATCCCACGAGCAAGCGTACGCACGTTGGCGTGATGGAATTGCGGATGTGATGACAGGAGAGTAGGCGGGAATTGCCGGCGCATGCCCTTCCAGAGTCGCACATTCTGCTCTTGGGGACGCGCATTCGTAGAAGAGAACCCGTTGCCGTAAAAAGACTTGCTTGGGCGACGGGTCCTCAGCATCCTATTGATCGCAGATTCAGTGGATTTTGGGCTAGCACAAGATGTAACCTACCTAAGATTTCCCACAGCATCCAGGAGAACAAGCGCGAGGGGACGGCAAACGCAGGAGCAAAAACTAGACCGATTTCGAGCTTAGGAACATGCTGAACTGCAGGTGGGGAGTGTAGACGTTGGGAAGATGGGGGGATGTGATCGAGTGAGCCTCACTCAAAGAGCCTTCAGAATGTCCTCGACGCTGCTGACAGTGAAAGCGCCGCCCTCCTCCAGGTTCAGCACCGTGACCACGCCGTCGTCCGCAAGCAGGGCGTATCGCCGGGACCGTACCCCGAGACCGACGGGCTTGTCGCTGAGATCCAGCTCCACCCCAAGAGCCCGGGTGAGCTGCAAATTCCCATCTGACAGCAGCAGTACTTGGTCGCCGATACTGAGGTTCTCCTTCCATGCCCGCATGACGAAGGCGTCGTTGACGGACACGCAGACAATGGTATCCACGCCCTTTGCCCGCAGCTCGCCCGCCTTCTCTACGAATCCGGGGAGGTGCTTCTGGGAGCAAGTCGGGGTGAAGGCCCCCGGGACGGCGAACAGCACGACCCTCTTCCCCTTGGTGAGATCGGAGACGCTCACGGTCTGGACCTCCCCAGCGGAGTCGAGGTAGGAGAGGGTGGCGTCGGGGAGCTTGTCCCCGACGGCGATGGTAGCAGCTACGGTCGTCGCGGACGAGGAAGAGGCCGAAGTGGTCGCGCGGAACCTCGGGGAATGGCGCAGGTGCGGGCGAGCGACGATGCCGCGGAGGGAGGCGAGGGGGAGCCGCAACGACGAGGAGAAGGCGGGAAAGGAGGCACAGGGCGCCGCCCTAATGAGCCTGGCAGCAGTGGCGAGGGAGGCGGCGGCAGCGGCCATTTGTCCGGTGTTTCGACCTGGAGGACGGCGGCGGGGAAGCGGCGCAGCAGGAGCAGGGGACGGATAGCAGGAGATATCGGGACGGGGTGGGGAGGGGGGGGGGTGCGGCCGCAGCACAGAACGGTAGGTCATAATGGGTTTGGAATTGAAGGGCTGAGATCAGCCCGCCCAAGGGTAATGTACGTTCCTAGTATTATTACCCGTTTAAACCAACTTTAGAGGGGGTTGGAACGGTAATATGATGGTTTCGAGGGTAATCTCCCAAACGGAGAATTTTTTAGCTTCTCTTCTAGAAGATTCCCTACCCTTCTCCTTTCGCGCCTCTCCGCCTGCAACGGCCGGCTATGGCGGACCAGGCGGCTTCTACCTTCGGGACCTGGAAGGGCTGGGCTGACGATGTCCCTTCTTTTGCTTCAAGATATGGGCGTGGCGTGCCGCCGCAGCGATCGCTGCTCTCGCCCCCACAATCGCCCCAGCTTCAGCCCAGCCCCTTGTTCATCCTCCTCTCCAGCAGGTACCACCGCCCGGACATAATCAGCCGGGGAGTCGATGGCCAGGGTCGGCTGTGACACCGACCCATCGGTCCCCGCAAGGTCCACCATGTAACTCCCCTCGCTTGAGCCGTTCCTTTCTTACAGTCCCTCCCCAGTTCCTTGGAGGGATCTCGTCTGATTTTCGACCCACGCATCTACGACCTCTTCTTCTCTGGGTAGACACCCTGGCTGTACAGTCATATTTTTGTTGCATTCTTTCTGTGTGTTGTGTGCGGATGTGTTTGAAAGTTGATGGTTGCCGTTTCATATTTGGTTGTTTTTGTTACAGTTTCCTCTTTCCGAAGATTCCAATGGACGGAAGTCGTGAGGCAAAAGAACTACGCACCACGCCAACTGCTTAGCGGGAATCGGGATTCCCGCCCGAGAGGATGACGTTCAGCGCGTCATTCTTCATCTGTGATTGTCCACTTATTTCTTTCAGATTTTTACTCTACGCTGCTGCAATATTAGCGTAATTCAGGGCCTGGAAAACCTGAATTCCTTAAACTGTGGAAGCTCTGTGGCATGATACAATTTTACTTGTTTAGGTTCATACAGATGGACAAGACGTGAATGTCTTTGATGACAAAAATTGAGTTTTGCAGTTCTGCTAGCTACATAATACCTGGATACACATCCCAGCTACATATTCCTCATTCTTACTGATTTCAGTTGAATCGTAAATGGTTGACTGGGGAGTGAATGAGTCTAATGCGCCACAGAAAGCTTAGAATTTTTCTGATACAAGTACATTGAACGTCCAATTGTTTTAGGCCTCTCTTTTGTCCGGATTACATTATGAGGACCAGAATTATTCGCGATTTCACTTCAGCCTTATTTCACTCTGTGTCCCTTTCCTCTAGGGGTAGACAGCACCTTGCCGTATCCACATATCCTAACATATGACCACATATATATATCAATCTCTTCTAATCGCTGTTAATCTAATTTCACAGTTTGGATTTTTTTCTCGGGTCAATGTGGAGCCTTGACTCAAATAATTGCTTATGATTTCATCGTGCTCAAGCTTGTTACTAAAATCATATCGCAAGTTCTGTAGATTACATTTAAATTTTTATTTGTTACTCTACGAGCATAGTAATTATTATTTTTGTTTTAGTATGGACCAACACATGATCCAAATGTGTTAGATTGCACCAGATAACGTATTCTGGTATGATATTAGACTATTTTTTCCCCTTCTACCTCTCAAATGTGGCGGATATGTTATAACTTACTCTTACTGATAGAATGGCGATTGTCAGATGCATCAGTAAATGTTTGACTTTTATGTACCTGTAGAAACATGCCACACAACGCCTATCTACCCGCATTGTGATGACGGTTTTCTACTTGTATGTTTATTTAAGGAACCCTACAGGAAAGTGCATACCATCACTTGCGCCATATGAAGAACCCTAGAGTTGAACCTTACAAACCCTCACAGTGTGCCACATGAAGAAAAAGTTGCCATAGCAACTAGCTTAAACCCCTGGATTAGGACTGAAATTGAAGAGTTTCTGCGAACATCTCTAGAGAGTAGCCAACGTTCCCTCTTTTAGTGAAAAGAAAGGTGATATGAACCATAAGCACGAGCGACTGACAGACGAAGAAGAAGAAATATCTAACGTGCTTATAGATGAGTGATGTTGTAAAAAGAATTGTGCGAAATTGTAACGCTTAATTTGCCCATTTAGCTTGGGTTGTGCGCGGCTCGGTCTTTCCTATTCAAATTTAATTTATTAGCAACTTATTTGTGAAATGTAAAAATTAACTTGAATACGTGTTCTTGGTTTCTCTTCCAGTTTCTCAATGTGAGCTAATTTTACTGAGGATTTCCTATTTTGTATCATTATATTTCTAAAGGTCAGCATATTCTTGCCGTGTGCCACGCGTTATTAGCAACTTATTTTTTGTTTGTCGGCCATTTCGCTGCAGTAGTGTGGCGTGATTTGTGTCTTGTTTGATTGTCCTAAGAACATATAAACTTCACGTAATTAGGTTATTTCTGATCGGTTGATTCACCTGGTACTCAGTGCTTAATTCACAGAAGATGCTTCACACATTAATTTCATTCGACTTGTGCCAACTGCTTATTCTTCTGAATGACCAAGAAAGGTGTACATTTTGAAGCAAAAATGTAAAATAAGTGGTTGCTGAGGTTATCTTGTTATTTTTTTTTCCGCAGTCACTAGCAAAACGTTTGTCGTACGATTTTACACTCGGCTTTTTGTTGTAGCTGTTGTCCTTATATTTGAATGAAAGGACTTACTGTATGTTTTGTATTTATTTATATATTCAGGGCTTTTATGAGGATTCATTTGAAGCGCTGGACAAGTATACGAAGAGTTATTTGAGAGCCTAAGCGTCTGTGGCAACCTCCCAGGCCACATGGCAGTTGATTTCTGTCTCATTTGACCGGAAAAAATCCATTTTTTGGTCGACACGAATTTTTGGAAGGCGGGCAGACGTGTCTGTCCAGTTTAGGGAGGAAGAGACCATGATGCTAAGAAGGCCCTATATAATATTTGCAGGGCAGATGAGCAAACGGTCCACTTCCTCCCCGACTCTTGCATCTTTGTGTAACAGATTGGAATCTCCATGACTGACGAGATGAGCAAGCGGCCTACTTGTGCCGGAGTAACGAAGAGACAGGAGCCCTTCGAGGGAGAGCAGTGCCGACAGGAGGCCTGTCTAATTGCGCTTCGGCCGATGTCGACAGCAATGGCTATCTGCATCCACAGACGTGGCAACCGGGAGGATGCAACTGAGCCCACCACCGTATGTGGGCTCGGCGCCGGCGCCTTCATCTCGTGATGGCTGACGACAGGATTCGCATTACACGAAGATCATGCGTAGCGCAGCTCACCGCCCAGATTTCCACCGCGCATCGGAGGATCGAACGTCCGCCAGGGAGGTTTCGGGGCAAGCTGGATCACTAGCACGAACGGTCGCGGCCCTCTCGCCATGTAAGCAACCCGAACCAGTCGCAGTCAAGTCTACTCAGTCGGCGTGACGGGCAAACCCTCTCCGCTGCGTGACGTTGACGTCGATGCGGGGGAGAGAGAGAGAGAGAGAGAGAGAGAGACGCTAAGATTCCGGAGCCCAGACCTTTCTGTATATGGATGCCGCCGCAGAGCTTATCGTAATTGGGTGGGTGGGTACACTGGAGGTGTTGAAGATTCAAGTGGCCCCCGTCGACGTGATGACTTGGCTCTCCCCCCCAAGAAGCGGCCAGGAGACGACGGCGCGTTGGCGTCGCGGCCTACAGGAGGAAGTCCATTAATCTGAGCCACGGGGACACGACGCCCTTGGATGTCTTCTCTGCCGCCGCCTCCGTCGAGCACGTCTTCTCTGCTGCTACTGCCGGGGAGGACGAGGCGGATGGCGTCTCCGCCGCCGCCGCAGGCGGCGTTGCGGGAAGCGGGGATGGATCAGCTCTGGGCTTCGGACAGAGAAAGAAGTTCCTCGATCCCAACGTAATTAGCTTCTCCCGGGGATCCAAACCTGGTCGAGACACACAGACCCCACCTCGCTTTTAGTGAGGGCGAGAGCGCGCAGATCATCTTGAAGAAATCGCCCTCTCATTCTCTAAAACGGAACCCGGGGATCCCCGAGAAGACAAACGGACGTAGATTGCACCCATTTTCAGATGGGAAATATGTCTGATAGATGAGGAATCGATCGAAAATCTTTTACGTCAGAGTTGAAGGAGATGGGGAAGGACGGAGATTAGGAGAGCAGGGTTGTGACCGCGTACCTTCAAGACTAAACTGCGAGTAGTGCAGGGCGAAGTCCGAGGGCTCCGACGACGGCAGCAACGGCCGCCGCCCCTCCTTGGCGTACTGCTGCAGCAACCCGGCTACCAGCTCTCCGACCGTCCAATCCGTCGACGCCACAACCTGCACCGCCCCCAGACTCCTCTGCACCGTCACGTTCAGCAGCACCTTCGCCGGTATCCTCTTCGCCGGAGGTACATCTGGAGGCGGCGCCGCCGCCGCATCCCACGGAGGTGTGCCGGCGGCAGAAACCCTCGACCCGCCGATCAGGTCGGGCTGCGTCTTTGGCCGCCGGAGAGTCCGGTGCTCCGTGGGGACCCTCCCGTGGAACGACGCCGATTTCTCCGGCGCCAGTTTCCTCGCTCCTCCGCCGCCGCCTCTCGTCCTGCCGGAGTCCTTAGTCGGCATGCCGTCGAAGGGACGATCTACGCCTCCGATCTCCGAGCCTCCAGAGAGCTCGGTGCTTCGGCGCTATAGCGGGCGGCGGGAGAGAAGCGGGTGGGAGCAGTGACCTCCAACGTGTGCTTCTGATCTGTCCCCGCCGGCGTAATGAGGGTTGTTTAAACTGATGCAGGGTCTTGCGGGTAGTCCCCGTTCGAGCGGAGGCACAACTTAATATCCCGAAGGGCGCTGGTGCGCCCGAGGTGATGGACAGGAACGGAGGGACGAGCCAGGGACGAAGCTCGGTCCGCCGCCAGAACCACCAGGACCGCGTCTTGTTGTGACCCGGATTATTGGAAAGAGGAATCACCCGGAGGGAGAGGCAGAGGATTGGAAGGAGGAACACGCGGAGAAGGTGCAAGGCGTGAGAGAGGTTTTTTTGGAGTGGGGCGGGGGAGGCTCACCCAGTTGATCGATCCTCTTGCTCTCGACGGAGGGACGACGCTGACGGGAGAGGCCGCCCTGCCACGTCTCTTAGAATCTTTTCCTCCGCGCCGACTGGGCCTTCCAATAATGTAGCGAAGAAGTGGAGGCCTAGGCGCTCGCTTAGAGAATCTATGCAGACAGCACTGAGGTGTCGGCCGGCCCGCCTGGAGCCTGTCCCAGCCAAGTCCATTCCCCTGAAAGGTTCCGGCTTGGAGTTCATGAACAGAGGGAGAGACGCAGCCCGCTGGCGGGGGATGGCGGGTTCCGCCCCCCAGCGATCCCCGTCTTCAGCTGCTGGGAAGTCGAAAGTCGGGGGACGGGTCGTCCTCAACGGCGAGGACTGCAGCTCATGGGAATAAGTACATCACGCTCCATGCCCCTCTCCCACTCCCGTCAGGTGTTCGCCCGGCAGTCGAGGACCGAGGACAGATGGCAAGAGAGACCGCATGGCGCAGCACCGCACGACCCGGTTTCCCGAGCCCGAGCGGGGACGCAATCAGCAGTAGTGGACGTTCGTCGCCGGGATATGACTTCGACAAGGGGACGAGTACGGATGCGTCTCTCGTCGACCTAACCCATCCGTAGGTTTGTACGAAATCAGAGTTGTGGTTGGGGCGAGAGAGAGAGAGTGAGGAACAGCCAGTGGGCATTTTCATGCGCCTTGTCGGCGTACAGATAGAGGGGTTCTTCAAACTCATTCGGTTTGTGCGGGCTCTGCGGCGTCCCCTCCTGACTGATGGCTTCCGTTTCTTCTCTTCTCCACGCCGGGGATGCATTTGACTGATAAACGGGCTTATCCATCCTGTCGCCGCCTCCCGCGCCCAGAATTCTCCGGGAGAGGGGCCGCCGACCCATCCTCACAGGCGCTGGACGGCTAGCGATTCTGACGACGTGGTAAGCTGATAACTCCGGGAATACACAGGGATGAGGCGCTCTGCACAGCTTGGCCGAGCATTTAGTAGTGCGCGTGAACGGGGTCCGTCTGTGATGCGACCGCGCTGAAATCTCCGATGATCACCCTCGCTCTGGCACCGGGTGAACGGGGAGGAGGAAGCCGCTCGGGTGGTCACCCTCATGCGGGCGGTCGAAGCCTCAGGAGGGACGGACGAACCAGAGAAGCTCGGTGGGTAGGTGCCGTCGGAAGCCGAGGCCGAGCAGGTGGGCACGTGGGCAGGTTGGCCGGTTGTTCGGACAGGACGACGCCTCGCTCGGGTGAAGACCGTTTACCCTGTGGTTGGAGAGAAGCAAAAGGGTGCGGGAGATGTGGAGTGGCTCGTGGAGGAGCGTCGGATAAGACGGCGCGGGTCGGGCGGGGTTGGGGAAGTGGGCGACGGAGGCGCAATCGGTGGATCAGAGCTGGGAAACGTGGACCCGCCTCGGGCACGGCAGGAGGGTAGGTGGAGTTGACGTTGACTGGGGCGACGCTGCGTTCCCGCTTCCTTCCCACCTACCCCTCCTCCCCCGCCTCCTCTCCGGCTCGGCGGCGTCGGATGTACATTTATATGCTGACCACACACCATCGACCCTTCTCAGCTTGGAGAGAGCTCCTGGCAGAGTACTAGTTTCCCTTATTTCTCTGTCTGAATATCCGTTTCACCCTGCCTGTCTCGTTCGGTGCATCTCTATTCTCGTCCGGGCACCTGGATTGATTTCTGCTCCTGCTCGCGGATTTGACTCTGTTTATTTTTATGTACCTCGATCTTCATCCGCGGTGAAAAACAGCTGAGGAGGAGGAGCAAGGAGGGTCGATCCCCAATTGATCACAAGTTCGCACATTTTTCACCTCCCTCTCCTCAACATGCCGGCGATCTCATCCCCTTCCTCACCACTCCTCCCCATCCGCTTCCGTAGCCGCCGTCGTCCTACCTCCACTCTCACCCCCGTCCGCAGCGTGTACCGCCACGAGGCCCCCGCCGCCACCGGTGGGAACTTCTTCCCTGGCGCCATCGGTGCCAACCGTGCAGACTGGCAGAGTTCATGCGCCATCCTCGCCGGAAAGGTCGCCATATCCCAGCAGCAGCAAAACGGCTCCCAGGACGACGCCTCCTCTGCTGGAGACGGGGAGCTCCTGTCATCGGAGGTGATAAACGGCCGCAAAGCGCCACCTTGCAGCTCCACGACGCTGGATCTAGTGCCGATCGGCGACAACCGCAACGGCGGCTTGCTTCCCCGGTCGCTCACCATAGCCGACCTCTCCCCCGCGCCCATGCACGGGTCGGACCTCCGTGTCGCTTACCAGGGGGTACCGGGGGCGTACTCGGAGGCCGCCGCCGGCAAGGCATACCCGGGTTGTGAAGCCATTCCCTGCGACCAGTTCGAGGTGGCCTTCCAGGCCGTGGAGCTCTGGATCGCCGATCGCGCCGTTCTCCCCGTCGAGAACTCCCTCGGCGGAAGCATCCATCGCAACTACGACCTCCTCCTCCGCCACCGCCTCCACATCGTCGGGGAAGTCCAGCTGCCCGTCCATCACTGTCTCCTCGCCCTCCCGGGAGTCCAGCCCGAGTACCTTACCCGGGTCATCTCTCATCCCCAAGCCCTGGCCCAGTGCGAGCTCACCCTCACCAAGATGGGCCTCAACGTCGTCCGGGAGGCGGTGGACGACACCGCGGGTGCCGCCGAGTTCGTGGCCGCCAACGGGCTCCGCGACACCGCCGCCATCGCCTCCAACCGCGCCGCCGCGCTCTACGGCCTGCAGGTGCTGGCCGACGGCATCCAAGACGACTCCAGCAACGTGACACGTTTCGTGATGCTGGCCCGCGAGCCCATCATCCCCCGCACCGACCGGCCCTTCAAGACAAGCATCGTCTTCGCGCACGACCGAGAGGGCACGTCGGTACTCTTCAAGGTGCTCTCGGCGTTCGCCTTCCGGGATATCAGCCTGACCAAGATCGAGAGCCGCCCGCACCGGGGACGCCCCATTCGGGTAGTGGACGACGCCAACCTCGGCGGCACGGCGAAGCACTTCGAGTACCTCTTCTACGTCGACTTCGAGGCCTCCATGGCCGACGTGAAGGCGCAGAACGCCCTCGCCGAGATTCAGGAGTTCACCTCCTTCCTCCGGGTGCTCGGGAGCTACCCCATGGATATGACCCCCTGGCACGGCGGCGGACAACACAACGGCAATGGCAGCGCCTCATCCACCGGTTCCTCCCCTTCGATCTCACCCCGAGCCGGTCGTGGCTACTGACCGACGCTCCCCCCACCGGCTGGCCGGAGTCGGGTCGTCGCCGCCGGCGGAGAGGAAGATGGAACCCTCCTTCCTCTCTCCCTCACCCTCCCCCGTCCCTCATTTTCTTACTTCCCGGCGGAAACTTCCGTCGATATTCATTCGTCTGCAGCAGAGCGTGGACCAGACGGGGAATCTCAGCGTCCGCCAGCATGACGTCGACGGCCGCGCTGGTCGGAATTCTTCGCGCACTATTACTACGCCCCCAGATTTCATCCTCGCCTCCCCTGGAAATGACGGCAGGCAGCTGGGAGGAGTTGCTTACCTGCCGACGCCGCCAGATTTGTACACGTGCCCATCTTTCTGCGCCGCGCAAGGAAGAAAAGAAGGATTTTTAATTTCTTCGTTTAACCCCGCGCAAATTTAGCGTGCTTGAGACGGCCGCCAAGAACATAGCTTGGAGGGTCGTTCTTGGGGGAGTGGGAAGATGGGATGATGGTTCGGGGCCCAGACGATCTGAGCATGACTGGCGTACCTGCGGTCCAGTGCTGCCTTAGCCTCGTGGGGGCCGTCGGGTAGGTGGAATGACTGGACCCTGGGTACGCGTCTGACGTCACTGGTAGAGCTATGGGGCCCGCACGTGGAGGCGGTCGTGGGAGAACCACGGCGATTGGGCTCATGGAGGGTGGCGCGTAAGGCTAGCCCCAAGGCATTCCAGAAAGGGTCCGATCTGGCAAAGTGGGTCTTATCAACTTGGTGGCCCGGCAATCGTCGCGGGTTAACCCGCCGCGGTCTTCCTAGGATTGCAGCGCTCTCGAGCTCGGGCTGAGCCCGAAGACGTACCTCAACGTGGACGAGGGAGGTAGGGTCAGAGTAGGAGTTCCTAAATTGGATCGGGAGGGGGCCGAGGTAGGAGACCCGGTCGGGCCGAGCCGCGTCAAGCCCCTAAATTTGAGGTGGACGGTCGACCCAGCCCGAGTCAGCTACGCGGAAGAGACTGGCAAGACGAGACTTCCCCGAGGTTAGCCCGCGACCTGGAAGCAGCTTAACACACGCAGCAGATGCTCGGCAAGACGCCGCTGACGAAGGTTCGCGAGTCACAATGATAGAACGGCAAGGTGGTGATGGTCTGCTAGCCCGGTCGTAGACGTATGGCTCCCACAAATGGTTTTTTCCTTGCTTCCATCGTACTGCGAAAGCCGCCGCCGCCCAGTCATTGCTGTGGAGAGATGGAAGACCGGGGGAGGAGATGCAGTTTGACCCCTCGCTGCGACGACTCGCAAACATAGAATACTTGCTAGAAATCAGCAGTAGAAGACTTGCACTTTTACCCTTGCGAGGAGACTACCCATTTACTCTATCTATCTCTCTTTCTGTCTCCATCGCCGGGGGAGGAAAAAAGAAGGCCCTCTCTCTCCTCGCAGAACCCCACACGGCTTTGAGGTGAAAGGAATCAGCGACAACGCAGAAGCATCCGTCGAGGGACCCTCACTTGTGGGTCTTCTCTCCCTCCCTCCACTTCCAAGAGGAACGCGACGAAAGGAAAGGAAAGGCAAGGCAAAGCAAGGGCGGTAGTCCCCGTCGTCAAGGGACCTGCCTACGACTCGTTTTCTCGCGCTAGAATTTACGGCCCAGGAGAATGGCGGGGGATGCTAGAAAGGAAATACGAATAAGTAACGGTTGTTTGAATAAGGTTTGCCAAAAGAATGAACCTTAGACGCACGGCGTCTTCGTCAGATGAATGGAACGGTCCACTCCATGCGGGCAATAAACGATTAGTCCTGATTAACTGCGCAAGCCCCCCACGTCGGTCAGTTAATCGTCTTCGTTCCTTTCGAAGTCTAAAGCATCCGGTGTCGCGCACAGAGTCTGAATAAAGTTCCGGAAGCCATGGCTATCCTGTCACGACATGATGCGCTGGTTCTCCCGTCGTTTTCATTCGCGATCCCAAAAGAGAGCCTTTTACTTTCCTTTCAGACCGCATCAGCGCCCCAAGGGGCAATTATCCGGATATTTTAAACGGAAAGCCAGGGCTAGACATATGAGCGAAAGAGAGCGAGAGAGAGAGAGAGAGGGGGGGGGAGGGAGTGGGGTCTTGCTTTGCCATGACTCCCCTGCCTCACCACCAACAATGGAAGTGAACGCTTAGTTCTGTGTACCCGTCTCCCACGGTTTCCTCGTTTCATTTATAGTTACACGCCTTCGACAGCGATCAGCCTCTTGGAGTGGCGGCTGCTCTCTCCAGAAGATGAAGATGGGGAGAAACTTAAGACCCGGCCCTGTCATTTCCCAACAAAACGGACGTTAGCTCATCAAGGGAATAATCAAGTGATGGCCGTGCGTTGCCGAACGGGACACACGTATCAGATAATCTTCTTCGTGAGACGCTTTGTTTGCGGTCAGACCTTATCTGCCCAGCGACCACTGAGCCTACGGGGCTGGCGGGCTGGTTTCATTGCGCACCTGTCAAATCTCAGCACATGCATCGCTCTTCCTCTCTCACTTTTCTCCTCCCCTCGGTGGGAGGGGGGAGCGGTCAGTCCCACGCTAACTCCTCGGAAAGGGGGTCTGCTAAGCGCATAGTTTCCCTCTTAGAATGACAACCCTGCTCCAAATACATCCCACCAGCTGAGATAACTGAGATGGACTGATCAGGACGAGGTCGAGCCCCCTTTCCTTCCTTCTCTTCCCCCACGGCATCGGCAGCGTCTTTGGTGGTAGTCTCAGGTGCCCGCCTGGCTTGTGCGTCCGCCCCGATGTCGTCATTTCCATGTGCGCAGGGTCCGCAGGAGCATTTGGCTGCCGTGCTGACAATGTGACGCAGAAGTCAGAGACCTGCAGTGCGGCGTTGACTTATTTATAAGTTGTCGGACTCCGAAGCAAGACCCGCCTATTTTATTATCACTCTCACGGGGGGAAAGGCAACGAGAGAGAGCAGAGGGGCGGAGGGCGGTGGGAGCGACGCGTGACGAACGCATAAGATTGAGGGGGGGGGGGAACATAGGGTGGGCGTCCGGATATGCCGGTGCGGGGAAGGAGGCCCGCCCACAAAAGCAGAGGCGTGCTGTTTACCGTTTGCCTGTTTGAGCAACTCATGTGAACCCCAAGTGCTCCTCCCCCTCCCCACTGCATGCATTTATACCTCTTAATACACTCTGCCCTCTCGTCCGCTTCCCATCCTCGCCCCCCCAACCCCCGCCTTCTCTCTCTCTCTCTCTCTCTCTCTCTCTCTCTTTCTCTCTCGGCCCAGTTTCTGTTTCTGACTTCGGGGGAGGAGGAAAAATGAAGCGTAGCTTTCGCTCCCAGTGTCCTCTTCTCCTCCTGTTCTTAATCACCGCCGTCTCCATTGTGTGGGCCTCTCGGCCCCTGATGAGCGCGGAGAAAGGTCAGTGAGGACGATCTGTTTACCACGGAGCGCCGTGGACGCCTCTTTCCCCCTCCTGATCCTCCTCTCACTCCTATCACTTTGACATATTGCGTTCGAAATGTGCAGGCAAAGATGTGGTGATGGCGATCGAGTTTTCTCAAGTGGGCTCCTCGAACGCAGAAGACGATCCATGGAATGTGAGATGGGTCTCCATTTCTTGAATATTTTATCTACTTTCATAGAGAATAACTGCTGCTCGCTCGCTTTCTTCGCATCTTTCTTGTATTTGAATCATATGATCTCCGGTAGCTGATGGATGGGGAAGGCTGCGACAAGGAGGAAGATGGCGAGCCCTCGAATGGGAGGATCTTGGCCGACGCTCATCTGGACTACATCTATACGCAGAGCCACACGCCATAGCTGGGGGAAGGACAGAGAGCAACGGAACATGCGTTACCATTTGGGAATGAGATTCTGGTTGCCATAGGGCCCTCTCGTGAAGCACCTTAAAGTCAACGAAATGTTGTAGAGTAGATACATCCAGAGAGCGCAGCGCCCATCTTTTAGCATGTAATCTTTTCATGTCGTTCGTTGTAACCTGTCATCAGTGTGAAGGGTAGGAATGAGAGGGGAGCCTTCTCTTCTCTCCGTCGATGTTTTGTCTGATAGTGGCGGGCCCGCGGAATGCTTCCTCTCCTTCACTAAGGAACCAGCGTTTTCCCTGGTTCGGTTCTTTTCCATGTCATCGTGCACGACGAAGCAACCGATCTTGTCCACAGCCACCGATTAAGTCTCTTCCTCCGTCAACTTTCCTTCGAGGAGGGTCGCCTTTTCCTTCATTGTTGGCAAGCAATGGCTATTCCATTTTGGCGAAACGCCAACCATATACATGAATAAAGGGTTAGATAATGTCAGAGAGAGAGAGAGAGAGAGAGAGAGAGAGAGGAGAGTCATGATGCCTTTTGCCCAGGTTGACTGAATATGCTGGACAGATACCGAAGTTTGATCCTAGGCGGCCAAATTCCTGGTCAGATTCGGTTATCCTTCGCCGTATCCAGTTAGGAAATGGTAGCCAATAAGGCTGGCCTAAAGTCAAACCTTGGCCTGGTGCATTGACAGAAATAATTTCCTCGCCCGTCGTGTGCATTAAGTGCGGCTCCGGAGGGCATTAACGCCGAGGGTCCAAGGACTGACCCCTTAACATCTCCAAGCGATAAACTTTGGAAACTCTGGGCGCAACTTGAAACGGAGGATTACCATCTATAAAGGACAGAAAGTCAGCGCTTTTCATGTCCTTCTCTGCGTAGACCCTCCATAGAGTTAAGATCTGAAACAGCCGAAAGGCGTGCACGATGGCACGCACTCTCGAGACGGAGCTCTGGACAGCAAAGCTGACATTGACTTTCGAAATAGGCTCTTGTCAGATAAATAGAGGTAGCTCAAGACACTGATCTAGGTTAGACTTCGTAGGCCGCTTCGATGGCACAACCGAGGGCCGCAGCAATGTTTTTTAGGGAAGGGGGTTGACTTCGAGCCATAGTGGCCCGCCCCGACTTCCGGTCCCCAAGTCCGCAGGCCAATGCGCCGCTACCTGCGTGGGCTCGGGCCGAGGCCCATGGCGGCGATCATTTATGGGCGCTTCGCCCCAAGCCCTCGGCCCTCGGGTCAACAACCGCAGCCCCAGGCACTTCCCCGTACCCTCGGCAGAGATTTCGCAGGCGTCGAGAACCTCCGGCAAACCAGGGACCCCCTCAGTTGGATTCGGCAGAGTCTCTGCGGCCAGAGGCTCCAGTCGACATGCGGGGGCAGGGAGGATGGAATACGGCGTTGACTTCAGCAGGCCTTCATGCCTTGCATCGCGGTAAAGCTACTGTCTTTAAATCAATCCGTCTGATTACACTAACCAAAAGAAGCCACTGACTGATACACACGATCTCGTCCGCCGAGCAATGGGCCGCGAGGCGAAACGCAGATATCTCCCGGTTCAGTCCCCGGCAGCCGCCAGCCGGCCATTGACGAGCCTGCAGTACGAGCAACCAAGGCGTGAAACTATCATCAGAGCCGTATAACTGCGAGCCCACTGGGTAACAAGATCACGGTTCATAAGGACGGCTATCGACATGTAGAATGAGGCACATGCTTCGGTGTCCCAGGCGGTCGGTACAAGCAACGCATCTATTGAATGAAATAATGTGCGACAGAGCGTACAGAGACTCCATTTGGGAAACGCACCTTGGCCGATTCACGCAGCAAGAAGCCTTCATAGCCAGACAATGAAGGAATTCCAAAACGGGAGGTGACGCAGCTCGTGAGGTCAGTACATCCTTCCGGCTAAATAGGATGATTGTCGGTGCCCAACTGGGGATGCAGAGCTGGAGGCTTAATCAACGGGTCCAAAGATCCCTTGATGCTCTTAAATGATGGGCGTTTCCACGGGTCACTGGGGATCCAGATGGAAAGCAAATATGACAACAAGAAAAATATCAGAGCATAGAGAATGAAGGCAGAAGAACAGGAACGGCAGATCCGCATACTTGGCCCAACAAGACTCGATTATGCGGGCGACGTGAGGATTCATCTCGCTGGGAATCTCGAGCCGAAGGTTCTTGAAGCCAACGGCAGCAACCACCTGCAAGCAAGATAACAGCTCGACGTGATCAGCCCAGGTGAAACAGCTGAATGCCCGATTCCTCTAATACAAACTTCTATTTCATGATCAGCATGAAAGTACACAGTTGCCATAGCGGCAATCACCAAAGCAATTGGTGATTGCTCCTGTACCCAAGTCGACGGAAATGAGACTTGGTTTGAATTTTGGGTTCAAATGCGGCGGTGGGTTTTCCAAGCTCTAACATTAATCTCGTTTCTAGACACACAAGGTACCACGATTAAGCACGGTGCACTATTCTGCTGAATGTAAGCTTCGAGAGAGATAGATGACTACTGACCTGCGCTGGATTCAAATTACTCCATGGTTGCTGCAATGTCATAAGCTCCCACAGTATCACGCCAAAGCTGTAAACGTCAGATTTCTCATTTGACGGCTCATCACGGAGAACCTCGGGTGCCATCCATTCAGGCTGATCACAAGAGCCAAACCGATTGTGTCAACTTCGACAGTCGTAGGAGGATTAAGCAACAGAACATGAGGGAAAAAGGATGATATAATAACAACTCACAGTTCCTGCTGCAGACTTGGAAGAGAGGAACGTGTTTGCCTTCAAACGTGATAGTCCAAAATCACAGACCTGGATGCTCAGAAGAGAAATAGTTGAGAATTGGAACCAAGCAATTAGCATGGAAAATAGTTGCAGAAGCTATCTTTTCCAAGAGCAGAACACACGTTTCCACTGAGAACTAAAAGTCTAAAGGAAAATAAACTTTTTTCACCATTTATACATGAAAATGTAGCTCTCCAGGAGAACAAAGAGATAAACGAGGCAAAAAGAATGAGATCAATATTTCTATTGATTAGAAAACTCCATTTTCGTTTTGCGTTTGTATGAGGGATTCAACGAAGAGGATTTGGTTGGCTACCAGGAAGCAAATTCAAACTAGAACGGTACTAATTGGATTCCTTCCAACTCAGATCATTCTCATAGACAAGCCAACAAGCATTAAAAAAATTAAAACGTATGAAAGAATATATAGTTAGAGTTAAAAAACGGTGTATCAGCGAGAGTAAGAACAAAAATCAAGTAAATACTGTAAAGCTCAAGTTCAAAGATCTCACTTTTACAGTATACTTTTTGTCGACTAAAAGATTGGGAGACTTCAGGTCTCTATGAACGATTGCAGGACTGCGCATATGGAGATAATTCATCCCTTTAGCCTGTATAACGAAGATGCAATCAAGTCGATCTACAGATTTGGGATAAAATTTCCCTCTACGAAATAGAGTTTCAGAAAATTATCAACTAAAAATGAAAATCAATAGATTTTGCAAGCTTTCTATTTTGTGCTCATAAAGGCATACCACATCGTATGCCATGTTTAGTCGACGCCTCTCATCCAGCATCTCTCGCGCACCAGGTCTATGCAAGAGTCTATATAGACTACCCCTGTGATTCGATGCACAAATTAGACTATTAGAAATAAGGACAACGGGAATTGCGCGTTAATTCTCTGAAGATATAAATTGAACACGTAAAGAAAACGAGCAATGGAGAATACCTCGATAAATATTCTGTTACAATAGAAAGATTTGAAGGTTCAGTGACAGCACCCATGTAAAGAACAATGTTTGGATGCCGAAGGCTTTTCATTATTGCGACCTATATATGAACAATCAAGAACACGTTAACAACCTAGAAGTCATCATAACGTGACCTACAGGGGAGGAAAAAACACGAAATTATTGTTCACATTTTTATGGAATGCAACAGGAGATGGACTGGCTTGTAGGTCTACTTATAAATTACCACTCGGTTACGAAGCCTACACCAGACAAAAACGATTTGAAAAAGTAAATGCATATCCATCACGCCAAAAGACTCGAATGGATTGAAAAATTAATGTTCAGGAAATCTATGGAAATGGGCTCTTTCCTATTTCCTGGGGAGAGTGAATTATTTTTGTTCGACCACAACTGAAAAGGAGATTATTTGCCAAACTTTAAATGACTACATGTAATTGATTTAATGAGAAGAGCACCTTATTTAACAGGATCTGAACCAATCCTTAAAGGGATGTCAGAGGCACTGTTAGTGCTTATTAATTAGGAAGAGGTCGCATAGGAAGGATCAATCTCGGAGAATATTCGAAAAAAAATGTGGGTTTGGAATACGACACGAAAAGTATCTAATATTGGAGCAGAAGTGTTTGACCGATTGATTAAGGCAGAGTTCAGCTCAGCCGCGATGCAGGTAAATGAGTTCAGAACTTGATTGAAACACTGTTGGTGAGACAAAAAAGAAATTACAAATTCTAGCAGAGGAAAGCCAAAATGGGTCAGTATCGTGGCTATAAGGACCTGATGTTCTGATTATAGTTGCAATAAACCATAAATGTAAAATATTATAATAACTCGGCCATCGGATGTTCGGGTCATGCAGTGCAAAGTATATGGACTAAAACTTATAGCTTTATTGTCGTATATTTTAACGCACCAGGAATCGGGAATTGCCATTTCAGAGGAGAAAGAAATACAGAATGAAGTTGAGCGTTCATTGCTACTCCAAGCACCTATCCAGGAAATCATTTGCTGTCACTTATGAGATGATTTCTGCAGCCCCTCTCATAACTGGATTTCAGGGTCCGGCCTCTGCAAAAGCTATTCGGGTTGCTATACCAGCTGCCATTAGCATCACAACCCTTACCGAAATACACATCAGCTTCTCCCCTCCCACCCAAAAAAAAAAAAACAAAACCTATTCAACTCTCTTTTCCAAGCACCCGTTCTTTACTCAATCTCACCTCCTTTCTTTCACCTCCTCATTCCTCAGATTTCCTACCTACTTCTGTATCAACCCTTTTTTTCAATCATTTCCTCCTACTTCTTCCTGCTTCCGTCTTTACCATCTTATTCTCCACTGTTTCAAGTTTCTCATTTCTTACTTAAACCATAAAGCTCCAAAAAAAAAAAACTGCCCAAGTCAACACTATTCAGTAGTAAGGATAGAGCAGCTAGATCTGATCTTACCTTCAAGTCCACCTCCCTTCCTGCCTTTCTACTGTCAAGACTGGCAAAAATGTATAATTAGGAGTTAGCTTCTGTTGGTCAGTTTCCTTAACCTAGGTAGTTTCCTTTTCTTTGCGGCCAGGGTAATTGTATATAACCAGCAATTGTTCTATGATTAGAGAAGTAGAATATATTTTTCCTGGCTGTTTATCCTTGTACGGTTTGCATCAAATCCCATGAATTCAAACCAGTGATTGTTAGTACTACTTTCCGTAGCAATGACCACCTTTTCGAAACCAAAACATCCCCGTCACATGAATCAATGTCAATGCTTAGCAGATTGTTTCAGTTTAGAGCATGGACAAAGTGTACAGGACTGATAAGATGAATTAAATGCTAATTACTGTCCTAAAGAAAATAATAAAATAGATCTGAGGCCAAAAATCTCCCCATCGCCTGAAACACCAGACAAAGGGAAATCATTGTCGCGGACGAAAGGGGGCATACCTCTCTTCTAAACTCCTTCAGCCGCTCGGGATGAAAATCTTGATCCATCAGGATCTTCACAGCAACGTCCTACAAGTTAAATTTTTGGAAATAATTACATCACAATGTTTCAGAAGATAAGAAATAGTTGTGCTCCATTCTTCAACAATTAAAGGATGTATAAATACCCCACCAGCGGGTTTCTCGTGTATGTAATAAATTTATGAGTATACCATCATAAGGTGAGATAAAAACTTTCGAAGAAATAGATAGAGAAATGAAACGAAATGTAAAACAAGGACAAGATAAACAGTGGACGATATGCATGTAGGTCGATCAGAAGGAATAAGTCTATGCATAACAAACTATGACAGAAACTTTCCCAGGAAACAGATTGCTAATTTAATAACTATAAGTATGTCAAAACCGTACTTCATAGACGTAAATCAGAAGAAATTCATGTACATAAAAAATTAGATAATCGGATGATAAACATACCGAGCCATTCCAATCAGCACGGTGGACAGTGCCAAAAGAACCTGAAACTTGCAAGGCATGAGGTGCTGTGTGCATTTTTTTTTACCCTTTTAAGACAATGAAAAATCCATCAAGAAGTTTCAGGTGTACCTGCACCAATTCTCTCCTTTAGGATGAGATCGCTCCATTGAATGCTCAAATCATCAACAAATATGTCATGCTTTGGCATAGTTCTTGGAACGGGAGGTAGCTCTTGAACAATTGATTTCGAGCCTGGCAGATCTTGTCGAGTATTCTCCACTTTTGAGTTCCGGGAATTTTCGTCCCGGCCACTTGACCCAGGATTCAGATTGGAAGCCCGGCCTGTGCCTGAGGAATCAATGTCACAACTGATTATAGGGGTCATGCAGTCCACACCCACATATTTACCATAATTCTTTGATGGCGATGGAGCAATTCTCATCTTCTAGAATATTACTATCGACTGTAATCATAAAAGGAACGTATGTAGATTTAGAGCATCTAATCTTGATGAACACATTAGCAGACAAAAAAATGAAATATTACAAGTCCCAATATATGTTTACATTATAATTCTATCAATTGTGTCGCATAGATATGTGATGTGTGACCCCGAGGCTGTTGCATACAATGTTGCAATATGAACCCCTGCAAGAACCACAGGAAGTAAAACTACAAACTTTCTTGCCCTCCTCTTGTTAATTGTGGTCCAGATTCTGTTAGCCTGGATATCGAACGAATCAAAAAGAATTTTCTCAGTATGCGACGTATTGATTTATGCGGATCCTCTTGACCTCTATGTTTTTCTGTATAATCAATCCTCAACTAATACTATCAAGTTAAAAGAATGGAAACTGCCGGTGGTTTGAAAAAGGTAACATTATCCGTGTTGGTCTGATCAGCTCCTAACCCTGTACAAATCAATTTTCGTAATGAGAACGAACGAGATCCATGAAAAAGACCAGTGAAACTAAATTCCAGCAATGAAGCGTGGCAAATAAGAGTAAGCAAGCATCGTAGGCTAAACAAAAGCTGATGAAAGAATACGGAGATGGAAGAGAACGGGAAGACAAAAGAGTAGGCGTATTGAAAGGAGGGAAACAAGAGATACAAGGGAAGGGTGAAAGAGAAGGAAAACAGCACCACAAGGAGGAGTCCAAGTAATGGTGATAGCAACGTAAGCATATACCCTCATTCTCCCCTAATTGCTTTATCTCTATACTCTGGTGTATGCAATTGCACCTCTCTTTAGCGCCAGAAGCAGCACCACTGCGACTTGACCTTCTAGCACCTCTCCCTCTTCCTCTCCTGTTAATTCTACACACGCTTGTGTTGGTTAAGAGAGATCCCTACAGCAGCCCATTATGTAAAAATAATGGCAGCCCATCCCAGAGGCAACAATGTGGGTTGTTAATTGTGAATGACATTTCCACCCATTCTGGCCAATTCTAAGCTTGGTTTCTTCTTTACCAAACCTGTACAACCCACGAAAATTAAAGGTCATAGACGATTCCAATCAGTCTATATATGGCTCTGGATCTGACAGCACTTTTGAAATCGCCGGTGAAGCTTCAGGGCCTCTATTAACCAAAATACTGTGCTGTTTAATCTACTTTCCCCCCCACCTAAAAACAAACTACCAAAGTGTTCCAACACCAGAAAATGTAAGGTAAATATCTCTTCATTTTAAATATACATCGAGCATCATGGGTTTAAAAATAGCCAAGGAAAATTAGGAAATAAAAATTTATCCACTGTTGCATACTAAGGTCTTCGTCAGAGAAAGCACATAGTTTGTCGTGGATAACAAAATATCCAGAGAAGGGTATGAAAAGGAATTCATTTCATAGAGATAGTTATTTGACTATGTTCAATCTTATATAAAAAAAAACAGACAATACGATGGTCCAACAGACCCAAAACTATCTATCATGGACCAAAATGACTTTTTCGTATCCTGATATAATTCACAAGATGAGTGCTTCTCTACCGCATCTTCATCCCCAAAAAATAATGATGGAAACCAAGGACTTCCTTTGGAAAGTGGAAACCCAAAAAAAATACTTTTAAAACGAAATCCACATCCCTTAACCCAACAGTTTAATCCCTTAACGCAAAGACTTTAATCCGCAAGAATTTACTCATGAATTTAATCTCCCAGTCGGTCACGATCCGGTAAATCCCACGTACGTATTCTCCTCAACATGAAAGCTTACGAAGAATGACAGGCTTTTTTAACAGAGGGAAACTTGGGCTATTACGTATAAGGCTCTTGGACTTACAGAGGAAGTGAACCTTCAGTTGATCTTGAATTCGATTCTTTCGTTACTGCTCATCATGAAAATGTTACTCCCTTCCACAGTTTTAATGATAGATATAAGTCACACTGTTCAATTTTACATCATAGTTACTACACCTAATTAAAGACTACGAAGATTATCATTCAGCCTTATCCTTATCTGAAGAAAAAAACAATCAAGAAATGGAGCATTTAAACCTCAAGAATGAAGTGGATGATGAGCAAGACATTTCAGGATGCATAGGACCTAAAACCAGCTTTCAATAATTTGTCCTTATTTTTCTCATTTACATCGTTTTAGAGGCTTAGCTGCATTATATCAATGACGAAAAATCTGAATTAGACAGTGAAAAAGAGGTTTCAAAGTTTCAAAGTTTCAAAATGAATGATGAACTTCTTGTTTGAGAAAAGAACGCCCAGGTCACTCACAAGAAAAATCCATTACTATGACGGTCTATTACAAAATAAATACTAAAAACATAATAATAGGGGGGAGGAGGAGGGGAGGGGGAATAAAGAGAAAACGAAGATTACCCTCGGGAGTGAAGAGACCATTGACCGATTGGCATTCTAAAAAATACTGCTGTGCTAATGATCTCCAATTCTCAGTAATTTCAGTTGATCTGGAGTTAGGAGGACGGAGGGGAGACGAAATTGAGATGGAGGAAGGACCATTAAGCAACGAATCGGGCTCACACAATTCTCCAGGTTTCCCAATTAGATCAACAATGAACTCCCTGCAAAGATTCCGAAGATATTGATTACTAATGTACAAAAAAAAATCTTCTGAACAAAATCCTGGCGCGAATTATAAGCATCACGATCACAATTGTTTCCTAATTAAGCTACATACAACGTAGCACGACAAGGTAATATAAGATTGGATTAAAAATCCTAGGGAGAAACGCGACCAAATAAAGAAATACAAAGGACAATAGAAAACAATTGGGCAGGTTCTACCCATTTTCCCAGGACACTATAGTTTGGAAGAACCATATCAAACCTGTGCACTAGAGCACACAATCCCTAACATGTGGACAGCCTGTAGGACCTTATCTCACAAATATCAATCAAATATGTCATATCAATTGAAACGCGTCTTTTTATCAGATGTTAATCATTCAGATTATCATCTTCAGCTTTTTCTCATGGGCCTATCTGCTAGCTTAAGTGAAGGATCCATAGATTTTAAAAACTTTATGATCAAATAAACAAGAAGTGCGAACCGCAAAAAAATAACTGAGGAAACTTCAGAGAGACTAGGTTTATCGTCCATACGGCCATTTTTTATCCCGAAGCTTAAACTAATCAAAGGAGGTGACGGCCTTAAATATAACCCAACATACTACTGCAAGCAAAAGGGATTACATTATCGTCCATAGGGCTGATATTCACGAAAGAGCCAAATGAAACATAAATTATCTCAATTTTGGCGAATATCGAAGACTGATTGAGTATCATTGTGAACTGTATTCCCATTAAAATATGTTCAAGCTAGAAGTCCAGAACCAATTCACAGAAACATTTGAAGATCTAAGGTATGGACATATTCCTGATGTTACAGCGTATTATGATAGTTCAGAAAGCTAAACAACTGGATTCTTTTTTTAACTGATGCTCATCGAATAATTGTCATAAGTAAACCATATAAGCATGTGGAAGTCTAAAATAAGATACTCGCCACTAGCCAATAGGACCAAGAACAGATGAATAAGGATCAAAGGTTGTTTTGTATACCGTTCCTGACTAAATCTCACTAGACAGGAGGAAGCATGATCCGTCTTGCAATATTTACAGCCTTTGGCAATTCTGCATGGCAAGTCAATTGAGTCTGCGAGAATCTGTCAAAACAAAGCAGAACACAAGTTACGAAAGATCAAAGAAGAAGAAAGCCAAAATGAAATTCATACTTTATTCAAGAAATGTGAATAATTTTAGCAAATATTTAACCATCGATCAAAGAGAATAAAGTTCCATTGTCAGTGGCGATCTAAATTCCACGCTTGGACTTTCGGAGAATTAACTAAATCTTTTAGTGAAAACTTGACAATTGTCAACAAAATAAAGAATGCCTTTGAAATGTATAAGAAGAGATTTTTAAATTTACCTTGAAGAGCAAAGCACGATGACAGCATAGACCCACGGATAATCTCCCCAATGGGAGAACAACAGACGTTAACTGCGCCTTGAGAGTGTCACTGCAAACTTTCCACCGAAGGGCCAAGCCATCATCTTCACTAGAAGCAGCGCCCCTTGAGATAAGAATAAGACTTTAATAGTTAGCACGAGGGACTACTACATGATGCTCCAAACAGTCCGTACAAAGAAACACCAAGAGAACATACCCCAACCGACTGCAGACCAGCTCAGCGAGCTGACTTGCCACATCTTTTGTGGTATTGCATGCACAAGAAATGTCAGATATCACTTCCTGAAGCTTCCTTAAATCAGAATCATTCTGTTTATCTATCACAACCACCTCGACGGATGAATCATTCGGGCTCATATTCTTCAGTAGCTGAATTGAAGGGATTCGACTGTCTTCACGCACATCGGTACATAGAGTCCATACATGTGGACTCATTCCTTGAATCAGGTAAAACCCATCTGGAATCCGATCATAGAAAGACAAGCACCCATTGACCTGGCAAAAAAGAACAAGGAACAGTTTTGAATGCATACTTATAATGATGCAGAAGCAGACGTTCGTTGGATGAGAGCCAGTGTACAGCCTTTGTTGAGGCATGAGTGAAGTCGCAAGTCTTAATAAGTTGTAAGCACCGACTGAAACACTCGTAAGACAAGACGAGCTGAATTATGAATGCAGATGGTATAGACGACTACACGTGCGTCAGCATAAGCACAACTGCATGAAGTGGGACGCAGACTTCTCCAGTATTTACGCATGCAAGACACTAAAATTTCTCTCTTCTTTGTCCGGTGGATCGATCGTAGACTTGCAGCGAGGATACTGCCTGGCCCTGACGAAATAGTTGAAGCAATCGCGACTATTCTTGCAGAGAGCGGCATGCATCGATGGACACCCGTGCAGAGATAACGTTCAAATATAGTCCATTCCTCCGTGGATCTTTCCACGGGGATGAAACTCCACAGGGGTCTGTCGTTTCGCTTATCGACAGCTAATATGGTCGTTTGAGTCGGGGTATAGAAGGATCTAAAAGGAAGCAATTTTCTTGAATTATCCAAGAGTAGGAGAGATGGGTACACGTACCCAGAACCGGTGAGATATGGAAACCGCCGATGCCGGGTTCTGCGGGAGAGCGGACTCGCCAGGGTCGAGGAAACGGGGATCGTCGGCGCAAGTGGCCTCGGTACAGAGCCGCAGCGCAACAGCCAACTGCAGCTGGTACGCCTCCTCCGCTTGCTGCGCCCAGCTCTTGGTCAACGACAACGCCTTCGCACTCGACTCCACCGCAAGACCCCCCACCGGGTTGTAGTGCGCCGCATCGAGATCGGCGGCGGGCACGGTGATGGTGGGGAGATAGTAATCCCCGGACAGCGAGCTCTCTCCGTAGCTGCTTCCGCTGGACTGCCGCTGAATCGGCATCGTCCGCGCTTCGGGATGGAAGAACCAGTCGAAGCTACCCCCGGCCCCGGGATGTCCCGCGGAAGGCCTGGGAAGAGGGAAGCGAGACCGGTCGGAGGAGGAAAGCGAATCGGAGAATTGGGGGGGCTGGTCGTCAGGGTCCTGACTGATGAGGGCGTAGCTTGATCGCCTCCCCAGCATTTCCATGGGAGGGGGGCCGAAGCTATCGCGGGATAACAGCACCCGGCGAGAGAATTGGGCTTCGGGGCAAACGGTGATGTCGTCCAACGGCAACGTGGGGGTGGCGAAGGCGGCACAGAGAGAGAGACAGACAGAGAGAGGAGTTCGGTCGGAGGTCCCCGCCGTCCCCCCCCTCTTACTCTGGCCGCTGCTTTGGAGGGAGGGGAGGGGAAGAGGGGGAGATGCATGCACCGCACTCGGTTCCCCAGTGGTCCTCATCGATGCGCACGCGAAACGTGCTTAGCAATGAAAGCGAGAGAAGTTAAGTCCTCCGTTGACCAAGCGTCCGATCTCGGACGGACGGTCCGATTCGGTCTCTGCTTCGCTTCGCAAGAGATGGATAACGTCGAGCGTCGTTTTCGCCGTGCGAGCTCTGAGTTACTGGGCCCGTCCCTCCAATCGAGCCCAATAAGCGCCCGTCTTTCTTCGACTAGGTTGCTGTCGACGCCCGTTTTTGGGCCCGCCTAGGTTAATGAGAAATGTGACCCGATCGCCGGCCCAGGCCCAGGTAGATCCCACCTCCGGGTCCGAACCCCACCCTCCCCCCACCGGTCAAGGTACGGCACGACCTCCTATAGTAACAACAATAACAGTAATAATAAAATAATAAAAAAAAAAATAATATCGTTAATGCTTAGAATGAGATTATGGTTCGGAATGTAACAAAAATAATCGCCGTCGTGTTCGTGAGATGTTCCAACCGCCCCGGGCGGCGTCGAGAATATTCTATTTTTTAAAAGCAAGGAAGAATGGTCAACAGAGGGCTCGTCTATGTTTGCACGAGTCAATTCGTGGAGTCGCGCGCACTTACGTGCCGTGCGGCGGAGCTGTAGAGGCTCGCCGGATTACATTAATAATCAGGGCTATTCCATTAGAAAGAATAATAATATTATTGGCACCATTATTATTTTCACTATTTCCCCCGCTTTTCGGCTGTGTCAATGGCAAGCTTGGGGCATGAGGAGACGACGAGGGAAACAAGAGATTTTTTTAGAGAGAGAGAGATGGGGCGAAGGGGAGAGGACCCTTCTCTGTGACAGCCGGCTACTGGAGCTCCGTATGAGAAGAGAGAGAAGGAGAGGAGGAGCAGGAGGGCGGAGGAGAAGGAGGAGGAGGTCGTCCACGGGTGGCGGCGCCGACAGCTCGGCGGCCTCACTTAGATGGTTCCGTCCCCTTCCTCTCATCCGGCGAGTCGTCGCCCATGGACGTGGAGCGCTCGTCGGCGAGAGGAGGGCCGCGGTGCGTCCACGGCGCAGGCCAACCTGAGAAGGATCGTCGCCGTCATATCCACGGTGCCTCCGCCGCAGCCCTTCCCCAATGCCTTCCCATCGGAGTTCTTTGCCCCAACGCCGCCGCCGACTCCAGCGACGGGTGGAAGAAGAGAAAGCCGCGAGCTTTCTGGTAGGTCTGACGGCCAGGGTGTGCTCGTCGACCTGCGGCTTCGGCTGGGCACTGCGTGGGAGGAGGATCACGAAGCGGGGCTGCTCAGCAGCGCCTGTAGCGCCGTCGGCGAAGAGACGACGAACGCCGTTGTGGTGGTGGTGGCGGTGGGCGGGAACTCGCCGGCGCCTCCGAAGACAGCGGAGTCCGAGGAGCTTGTCTCGGGGAGCTTCCACAGAGTGCGCGATTCGGGGCTTCTGGTCGTCAATTCTTTCAGCGGGAGGAGCTCCGAGGGCGAATGCGACGCCGATGGCGCTGCGCACGATGTAGGCGCCGAGGAGGAGGAAGAAGAGGAGGTGAAGGAAGTGCGGGGAAGGAAGGACGAAGAGGACGAAGACGGAAGGCCATCGTACTCGGAGATCACGAATGTCCGAGAGAACGCGAGTGGAGGAGAAGAGGAAAGCGACGGCTCTGAAGATGCGACGGTCGGAGGGAAGATGAAGAATGGCGGTGGCGGTGTCGGTGCCGGCGGGAGAGGGAAGGAGAAGAGGTGCAGACGAGGAGACGAGGGCTACCTTGGGCTTCTCCTGGAGGCCGTCCGGCAGGTCTCCGGCGAGCTCTTTGGGATCGACGAAGTCGAGGAAGAAGAAGCGGAGGACGAACCAGGAGGGAAACCAGGGAGCGCGGGGAAGAGCGAGAAGGAAGAAGGGACGTGCTTCCCGGGGGCGGTGGCGGCAGCGGCGGCGTTAGGCCCAGTAGTACGTTCGAAGCGCGGTCGGAGCCAGGTGCTGCCGTCAAGGTACCGGGACTCCGTGCTCGAGCCCTGGCGGAAGCAGCCCGGCGGCGGCGGCGGCGGGCACCACCACCTGCAGCGACGGCGGCAGGGGAGGACCGTGCGGTAAGGTTACCGCAACAGGGGCAGAGCAGGGCCTCTGCGCGAGAGGGGTTGATCCCCTTCTTATCCGATCAGGTCAGGTCGGGTCGGGTCGGGTCGGTGGTCGTCGTTTGCTGCTTATCGTTGTCCGACGTCGTGAAGATCTCCCGTGTATTCTCGTCGTCGGTCGTTTTCGGTGCATTCTACAAGATCGCCCGCGTTCGACCTTCATTCAATCGGTCTGTGTCGCTTGGTTGCATCACGCTGGCTCAAATCCCCTGAAGAACTCGTCCATGCTTCACTGATTGGGGCGCAGTACAGAGCAGGAGAGAGAGAGAGAGAGAGAGAGAGAGAGAGAGAGATTCGTGATCAGCAGGTACCTTTCCGAAGAACCCATATTAGCAATACGCGGGGGAAGCTCTCTCTCTCTCTCTCTTCCCCGGTCTCTCTATAGCTATTCGGGGAAGACCGCAGAGTGGGTCCAGAGCAAAAGAGCTCTATTTTAGAAGAGGATAATGATACCTTTGCATAAAGATGATGGAGAAAAAGGACAGGGTTACGTCGATTCATGAGAGATTTTTCTTAGGATTTACCTAGTTACCCACTCGTACACATTTCTATACATATTTCTAGAGAGAGAGAGAGCGCATAGAATGAATAGAATTTGTGGGGGGATTATATTATTCCCCGAGGTGCTGCCCTGACAGCCACGCTGTGAAAACCCACGTCGAAGTCTTGATGACGATGACGGCGGTGATGGATGGCAGCAGTCGTCGCCGGTTTGATGACGTACGACTTATTTTTCGTACCCCTCCGACTCCTCCTCGGGTGGGCCTCCCACCTCGTCATCCACCGGGACCTAATTGCCACTTATCGACTCCCTGTCCGAAGGGCTATACGACGCGGGGTGGAGGACGAGCTCTGCCCCCTCCTCTCGTCTGAGGATCGCGGAGGAGGCCTCTTCCGCCGAAGCTCCCCGGAGGGTGGGGTGGGGGAAGAAGAAGGCGCCTGTTGCTTCCTGCTCCTCACGCGGATTAATGGAAGTGCCGCCGCCTCGACCCTCTCTCTTCTCCCTACATTCAAGCTTTGAACAGCCGGCGGCGGCCATTGTCCTCCTCATGCTCCCCGCCGGCCCCTCCAGCAGCCGCTTTCACTCCGGGGCCCCAGCTCTCTTAATTAGTATCTACTGTTAAAGCTCTCGCTCAGATTGATATGGCAGTCGGTCCTCCCAACTCCCCCTTTATCTCCCCCCCCTCAACCCTTCTCGTTTTTCAGCGAGATGGGTACTTCTTGGTCTCAGATATGTGGGTGAACTCCACTTCGCTCCCTCAAGGGTCAGTCCCTCGCAATCTTCCCTCGTTGTCCGCGTGATCCTCAGTTTATCTTTACCGAGAGGATGGATATTTCGTGCAAGCACGCAGTTGAATTTATAGGGGTTCACGTCTCCGAATTAATTAAACGGCATCCTCCCCATCCCCAACGGTGGACGTCGCTTTGTCTGCCTGTGGGTCTCCTCGCCGACCCGCTAGACGACCCCGCAGCACTTTCCCGGCCAAGAAGAAGTGGCGTTATGGGGACGACGAAGGATGGTAAGTAGATTCAGGTCAAAGTCACGAGCCATTCTCGTCTTCTCCTCCGACTGTGGGAGCTCATGCGGTGTGGAAGGGCACGCAGAAGAAAAGAGAGCCCCTGATTTACCTGTCGGAAGATGACGTGCTCGTTCCAGCCGTGACAACTCGCATTCAATAGAAGCAACTCGTGGGCATGTGTCGGCGTCATCTCCTTTGCCCATCGGACCTTCCGACTGCCTTCTCCCTCTCTCTCTCTCTCTCTCTCTCTCTCGATCCCTCTCTGCAGCAGCTGGGGGGGGGGCTCGTTTTGCTGCGGCCGAAGCAAGTCTATGGTTCGTCTGGCTGGTGGTGGTGGCTGGTGGTGGGAGAGAGGTCTGTCGACCACAGCTGTAGGGGCTTTCCGGGGAAAGAGGAGGCCGGCCATGTGGGGACGGGCATCTTCTCGACGGCGATCGTCGACGGTGTAAGGAAGCTACCAGGCATAGAGCTTCCATGTCTACTGATGATTCACAAGCCATCAAGGCGGCGGACTGCTCGATCGACCGGGGACCCGCCATGAAGACGGAAAGGGTGTACGAAGCAGCGAATGCTTCATAGTGGATGGATGGATAGATGGATAGATAAAGAAAGATAGATACATGTTCATGCAGAGCACGTCCTCCGAAGCACTCGTCATCCTCTCCGGCGGTCTCACGTGATGACGTGACCGCGTGCGTCCTCTTCAGGTCAAATGGGAAGCGAGGGGCTTCGGCCTGTCTGTCAATTAATTAGACCGGCCGGGAAATCTACTGCCCCGTGCGAATATGGCAGCGTCGCCTTCAATAAATAGCTTACCATTTTTCCCGGGTGTAAATCACGCAGGACCGCCGAGGTCGGGCTGCCTTCCACGGCCATATATGTCAACGAGCCGATCATTTGCGTCGGTCGCGATATGTATGTTACACGAATACGATGAATCGTGCGAAGACTTCACGCTGACCACGCATGGAAAAAAGTCATAGACGGTCGTCTACCCTGGGCTCCCGCTAACCTTGCTGATGGCGAATAGGAACCTCCCGCTGCTCTTGCTGTCTCGTTCACCTCCCGCTTCCAGCCAGACACGCCGCTGCGCTCCATCTCCTTTACCTTAATGGGAGCCTGTTTCTCTCAAGCACGAAGGAGGCGTCCTTCGGTCGGTCGGTTTGACCCCCGGTGACCAGGTAGACTTTCTGTACTACACCTCAAACCTCCAGATTCAGACAGTAACCGGTCGGTTCTCTGGCGAAGAACGGACGCACCCTCCGACTCCCCCGTCCAGGGCCACGACTCCAGCTCTCTGATCGCCTTCTTCTCCGCCCAATCTCCGCTTCTCGATCACCAACCCTACTGAGCACAAGGGCGAGTTCCCGTGCCAAGATGCGGGCGGGGTCGCCGAAGCTTTCCTACCTACGGGGTCCGGCGACGTCTGCGGCGATAATCTATCGGCGGTGAGGGAGATGGGAGTGCAGTCGTCTTACATAGATCGGCCGCAATGCAGCAACCAGCTGGGGTTCCGTGTGGAGACACCCAAGGCAATGCCGGAAGGGCAACATCAAGGTCAGGCCCAACAATGCCATTGGTAACGGGATCGAGCTGACTGAAGAATCTGCATTAAATTATATCAGGATTTCACGGAGAGCTATGGCTCGCCTCAAAAAATAGCATTAAAATAGTGAAACTATGACGGTTCAGAGAGAGGGGTTTTTTGTCCTAATTAAGGAGGCATTGAGGGGGGGGGGGGGGGGATCTAGCCCTAGAAACGCGCAGAAAGGTACTCACTCCGTTGATCGGATAGTGATGATACGACTAAGGACAGAGTGCTATTTACGCGGGTTGCATACGGTTCCGTGTAAAAATTTAGTGAACTAACTATATTGTAGGTATTCTTTATCAAACAATCTCTAAGTAGGAGAAATATCCGAGTAAGATCCGAGGGAACCAGTTCGCCTGGAATCCTCCGTCTTGAGGGCAGTATGTGATGCGACTGTTTTAATAAATAAATAAATAAATAAATAAATAATCCCGTCGTGCACTTCTTTTGAAAACATACCAGTAATTTTTTGAGACAATATTCCCGATTATTTTATTATTATTATGATTGATATTATTCGGGTGGGCCGTCTCCACTTGATGGGTGGAGGGGAGAGGGGGCAACTCTTCGCCGAGGGCTCCCTTGATGAATGGCCCAATAAAAGCGCATTTTCAGCGGCCGAGGGTGGCCCAATAAGCGCCCAGCAGACCGAGAAAGAAAATACGCGACCGCCGTCTTCTTCTTCTTCTTCGTTTGTTTCATTCAAAATCTCGATTTTTTGGGTCACGAGCGGATGCCGACGTCCAACATTGGGCGGAAAATAATAGAGAGAACGGACAGCCGTTGGGTCACCTGTTGGGGGGGGGGCTAGTTAGTCAGCGTGGGCTCCATTCGACGTGGTCAGTTGGTCAACCCCTTCCGGAGAACGACGGGATGATCTGGCCTAAATTAAACTACTATTATCAGTGCAATATATATAGTTGAACATGGAACCACTAGGATCTACACCGGTTTACAGAGCTGTCGTCATTATTTTAAAGCCCGTATCGTGACTGATGAGCGGGTTGCATCGACCCGCCTTGCCCGACTTGGACAGCCCGTCCCGATCCCTTGCCATGGCCGTCGTGTTCATCTCGTCACGTGGAGGAGGAGAACCGGCTGACCTTCTGAGACGAGGGCCGGTATCGCCTTCTCTGTTTAGGCGAGAAGAGGCGAGTCGGAGGCTCACGGGGAGGTTGATCGCGCAGAGGGCCGTTAGGGGAGAGGAGACGACCGCAGGCGCATTAATGGAATGGCTGCAAGTTGCGCTAGGGAGAGAAAGAGAGAGAGAGACCCTCCATCATGCTCGATTTTATGCATTCCCCCACCCCCACGGGGCGTTTAGGCACCCATGCCTTGCCGGTCCGCCCTTGGGGGTAGGTGTATCGGAGGGCGGGTCAGCCCCTCTGACCTCCGATCGGTTTGTGAGTGGCTCATATGACGTTGACCTGGCCGGCCACGCGAGTCGATTGTGACCGTGGTTGGGGACCTGTAACCCATTCACCTCCACGTGTTCCTGAGCTAATGACGTCGGCTGCAGAAAGAAAGAGGAAGAAGATGCCGGGGTGGGGGTGAAAAGATAAGCTCATTCATGGTGGGTGGGATGGGGTATGACTTTTAAAATGGACGTCAAATGGGGCGACGCTTTCAAGTCCATTTCGCCGAGCGGCCGCTCATTTTTAATGCCCACTATGGGTTCGTGTTGGGTTTGTCAACGTGGCCCTTGACTGAACCGACGATACTGGGGATACGATCCGGATGCGAAAGTCCACTCCGATCCAGATTGGTGGGGAGGAGGACTGACTTCCTCCTCCAAGGACGGTTCTAATTTCAAGAGGGACCGGGGATGTCCGCCTCGTCTGTTCCTATAGGATTGACTTTCTCCCCTCTCTTTTAATAAGCCCCCCCGCCTACCCTCTCTCTGTGGTGGATCTACATCTCGGGAAGAAACGAGCGGGTGATGAGCGGTCCCCATGACCCCCGCGGAGAGAGAGAGACAGTTGAGAGATCGGGCGAAGGCCGCTGCGGCCGAAGAAGGGAACCTTTCCCCGGCGACGATCACTCGTTCGAGTCGTAGTGAAGCACAAGGAGCAGAAGAAAAGGTTGCACCGCACTGAGCAGAAGAAAGGATGCTCGATAGATGCGTCCCCCCTCTCCCTCTCTCTACCGCTCTCTCGGTCTCTCTCTAGCTGGAAAGATAGATAGATAGATAATATCGCACTCCGTGGATGTGCATGCCCTGACTAGCATAAAAGGACAAGGGGCGATAATGGCGCGGAGTGAGCCGAGACAAAGGAGAGAGAACGACGTGCGATCCGAGACGGTCGAGGTGGCGCAGGGGATGACGAAAGTGCGCTGCCGAAGGTGCGCGTGCGTGCGAGCGAGCCTCTCCTTCCTGATCCGTCCTCTCTCAGACGTCAGACCGCCCCCACCCGCCGGCAAGTCAAAGAATCCCAAAACCCACATGCGGGTGTCGCGCCACCACAAGGGTGAGGGGGGTTATTTATTAGGCGGCGCCGGCGTTGACGCCGATGGAGTTATGTCGGCGGAGGGCCCAATGAGTCCTCACGGGTGTGCTCAGAGCGAGGGGGCGAGCGGACCGACCGCCGCCACATCTCTATCCTGGTAGTACATAACTCTTCATGCCGCATTTGTTGGTGCGGATGCTCAAATTCCTCCTTCCCGTCAATGCAGATGCGCGTGCTTCCAAAAGTCAAGCCCTACTCAGCGGGGCACCATCCGCCGCTCACGGTTCCCTTCCAGTGGACTCCACGAGAGAAAAACGTCCCGTCGATCGGGAGCGAACCACATGGCGAGCTCCAGATTAGTTACGCAAGAGGATCGACTGGTTTATATTCCCTCTCTCGGTGAGCAGCTGGGCCTGTTGCTCTGCCGGACGGCCAGGGAAATCGCCGCATTCACCCCAGTTGCCTCACCGCTCCGCCATCGCACAGCAACCCGCCGCCGCCCCACCAACCACCGAAGAGGACCGGCTCAGTTACCGCCGACATCGAGGCTCCATCTTCGACGCGAATCCCCTCGGAGGAAAGCGGTAACCGTTGGGTTATAAAAGGTCCTCACCGTGAAACCAGCGGGCGCTCCCGCGGGAGCTGAACTCTCTCGTCTGGCGGTGCGAGAAAAGGTCAGTGCAGGGGGAAAGAAAGAAGAAAGCTCCCACTTCTCCACCCCCAGCAGTTCCTCTGTCGCGACGCCGAATACTCGCCTCCCTCTACATCCGAGGAGCAGCCAGGAGGTACCGAGATGAAGCGCGACCGTCGGGGCCCAGTTCAGGACCTTCCTCTCCTTCCCTCGCTCCTCCTCCTCCTCATCGGCATCCCATACCTCTCCGCTGCTGCGGCGACCATTACCACCATCAAAAGCGGCTTCTCGGTGAAACCCAGCCTCGGAGCGTCTCTTCTTTCCTATTCTACTGTCTCCTTCCAAGCAATCCTCGGCGATCCCGGGGGTAACTTCTCATTTGGCTTCCTGATGCCGATGAATTCGGACTCTCTCCATCTTGCTGTCGTTCACATCCCCTCCGGCTTCCCCATCTGGCGCGCCTCACGCGACGGACGCGCCGTCGTCGCTCGCCGGTCCAACTCCATCTCCCTCTCATTCGACGGTGGCACCCTGCTTCTCTCCGACCCCCAGGGAGCGGTCCTCTGGAAGGTCGGCTCGCCCGCCGGCGACGTGGTCGAGCTGCACCCCACCTCCAACCTCCAGGTCCGGGCCGAGAATGGCTCTGTCCTCTGGCAGAGCTTCGATGCCCCCTTTGACACCCTCGTCGTGGGCCAGAACTTCACCTCCTCAGCTGCCCTCTCCTCCCCCAACTCCCGCTTCTCCTCGCGGCTCGGGGCTAACTTCATCGCCCTCTACATGAACTCCGGCGATGGGAGAGCCTACGCCGGCAGAACCGCCGTCATGTACTGGCAAGAGAAGGCGTTCGAGGAGACCGGAACGATCGACGAGAAGGTGGGGCCGATTTACGCCCGACTCAACCAGACGGGTTTCCTCGGCCTGTATCAGGACGAGACTAACCGCGTTCACATCCTGCCTTTCGACACCAACAACCGGAACCTCTCCAGACTCAGGCGGCTCACCCTCGAGACCGACGGCAACCTCCGCGCCTACTACTGGAACAGTTCGGCCTGGGCCTCCGACTACAGCGCCATACGCGAGTCCTGCGAGCTCCCGACCTACTGCGGCGCCTACGGGCTGTGCACCAGGGACAAGGACGAGTGCCAGTGCCTGGGTGGGAGCAGTGCCGCTGACGCTTGCCTCCCCGAGGGCTACGGCGACCTCTGCGGTGGTAATTTCACGGTGCTGAGGCGGGCGGGAGTGGAGCTGGCTTACGACAAGCTGTTGCTCTACAAAAAAGTGGGTTCTCAGGAGGAGTGTGAGCGGGGCTGCGAGCGCAACTGCAGCTGCTGGGGGGCCCTGTACAACAACCTGACGCGTACGTGCTACAGGATGGGCTTCCCGGCGGAGACCCTCGTTGCGACTAGCGAGAACAGGGTGGGATACTTCAAGGTGAGGTTGGTCACCTCTCACGGCGGAGGCGGGAGCACGAGGAAGAGAGTGCTGCTGGCGTGTCTGCTGGTGTTGTTAGGGGTGGTCTTGTGCGTGGTGTTCACACTGTGGTACCGTCGCCGGCGGTTGCGTAGAGGCCTCTCCAGTGCGGCGCTCATGGGGGACACTCACTCGCCGGTAGGCACCTACAAGGAGTTCAAGGGAAGCACGAGCTTCCGGGACGTCGAGCTCTCGTCCTCTTCTTCCTCTTCCAAACGGTGAACCGGCTGTAAGGAGATGAGCGTCCCCTCCTCGCAGAGCATAAACAAATGCAAACACAGACGGATAGAGGGCCGGAGAGCGTACCGGAGGCGAATAAAAAGGACCTACATCCAGGACGAAACCTGATTTGGACCCAGGGCTGGGGGCGGGGCGACCTTGCCAGCCGGGTGGCTCTTCTTCGAGCGTCAGCGGGCGCTCACCGTCGGCATCTTCGCTATCATGGCAGACAATCTTCGACGGATGAACGGGGGGTTTCCAGCAGCGTGACAGGTTCCTAGACGACTCCCTAGAGCCCAAAGTATTATCGCCGGCAAGACAAACTCAAGCCTTACTTCAGCAGAGGAGAGCCCAAGACCCGGGGCCGTCGAGGTAGCTCGAAGAGGTAACCCCCATGGAAACGCAGAGAGATCGGTGCACAAAGAACCAGCGCAAGCCCAGGTGGGATGAGCCGACGATGATGGCAGCCACAGGCAACCATCAGCCGGGTCATGTGGAGGACGGAAAGTCACTCACCAGGGAAACCAGAGGGCATACGAATATAGCGAGAAGTTTCACGGTTCTCCCCGCGCTGATAGATCAGAGCCACTGAGCCCAAGGCTACGTCACGATTCAAGCGGCCTTGCGGTAACATCAGCAACAGAGGTGGGAAAGATCACGCTCCCATGGTGCCGCTTCTCTTTCCTCGAAGTCCATGTATATTCAATCATATGAAAACAACAAGGCCCTGTTTCCCTCCCTCTTCTTTCCCCTTCCCTGTCGCTGCTCACTGCTCTCTGCTATCTGCTTTCTGAGGGGGGTCAGCCTCGACCGGAATTCCCGTGACAGGGACGAGATGCATGGGATCGCCGTCCTACCAAAGAGTAAGATCGGAGACTCACCGAGAAAGAGCAATTAAATGGTCGTTCTTGTCTCAGTTTTCAACGACGCGGTCGTCTCCTTTGACGGATCCTGCTCGCAGTAGATCCGCAGGTGACAAGTGTGGGCACAGGCGAACAAGCTCGCAAGCCATTGCTTAGTATGAAGCATAAAAGCCAAACTCCGGGTCTCATTTCAATCTGCAATTTCTAAAGGGGGAAAAGAAAACATGTACAGTGCGCGCAGCAGAAATCCGACATTCACATGGGGCAAGCAGAAGGAAGAACAGCAGAACTGCTTCGTCAAGAAAAAACAGGCAGCAGAACCGAGCATTTGAGGAGGGGGGAAGGAGGTCCCTCTTTATGTTTGTAATGGGCGGAGGACGTCAGAGGAGTGTGATAAGGATGAAGAGGAGAAGCGCGGCAATGAAGGAGTACTTGAGTGCGGCCACGAGAATGGCTAGAGAGATGAAGACGAGCTGCCACAGCACTTGCAAGCTCGCCCACGCCAGGATTCCCGTCAGCCCCACCGCCAGCACGTTATCCGGATCCGGGGCCAGCAACAGCTCCCGCCACCGGATCCCCCCTGTCGAAGCTGCCCGACCCGGCGGTGGCGGCGGGGGTGGGGGCGGGGGCGGATTTTCACTCCCCATCTTCCGTCCCCCATCTCCACCGTCGCCTTCAGCGCTGTAAGGAGGCGTGCCACGACTCTCCCCGTCGCCTCTCGCCGGTTCTCCCCCCGCTAGCGGCGGCGCATCCTCCTTGGTGAGGCCGTTCCCGTTGCTCTCGGCGAGGACCAGAAACCCTACCCATCTCCGGGAGGCTGGGTTCGCCGCGAGGGTGCGGCGGCGGAGGGGCACGGACCTCCTTGAACGGGCGGGGAGAGGTCTGGGGGCCAGGGAGGAAGGCCGCAGCAGCGGAAATGCGGCGGCGCCCATCGCGCCCCACCCGGCGTGCCCTTCCGACGGGGTGTTCGCAGGCCTCTCTGATCAATCGGAAATTTGAGGTCTGTTTAATCATTATGTCAAGTAGTGGGGAGTAAAGTTTAAAACGCGCCACAGCGAGAACGCACATCGTCGCCGTCCAATTCTAATCCGTCGTCCTACCCAGAGAGGGCATTTTGTCGAACAGTTAACAAAGAGAACTCGGCCATGGAGTAGCGAAGAAGGCCGCTTGCTCCTCACGCAGCGTGGGGAGGGGCTGGAGAGAGAGAGAGAGAGAGAGAGAGAGAGTGAGAGGCCTCAAATGGGATTCGGCAGTCCTCACTGTTAGAAACAAGCTATTTTTTCCCTGAAATGCCCTCGCGGAGATACCCTTGTGGCGTCTGCCAAAGATGACGAAGATATAGCAGGGCTTCTCGCGTCTGGTGTTTTCCCTCCACCACTCCCCCCCATCTGGTTTGAGTGGAGAGCAGAAGGCAATGCTCGCCGTGGCCTCGACGCCCTTTAGCGGGGGATTCGGCCCCCGTCGGGCACGCTGCAGCCTGCAGGGGGTCGAGCGGTCCCCTGAGACCGCCGCCGGGGGTAATCCCGGAGCTGCGGGGGGTTTCCCGCCGATCCCGCGGGCGAAGAGGGTAGTGCTGGTGCGACACGGACAAAGCACGTGGAACGAGGAGGGACGGATCCAGGGGAGTTCCGATCACTCGGTGTTGACGCCCAAGGGGGAATCTCAGGCGGAGACGTCCCGCCAGATGCTCCTCTCCGACGCCTTCGACGTCTGCTTCACCAGGTTGATTGGAAGTCCCCCCTCCTCCTCTTCCTCTTTCCCTACCGTCACCAATGGTGGGTTCCAGTTATATCCTCTCCGTGTGGAATCTTGTGTGGAAAAGATTGTGTTCTCTGGCATCATCGGCATAAAAGGTCCTTCCTTATCCCCTAGCATTTCCAGTGGATGGCTGCCCATTTCCAGTGGATGTGGGCGGAGGAGATGCAATTTTGCTGCCGTCGATGATTTCGTCCCCTTATGCCCTGTAAACCGCTTTATGCTTTCGATGACGGGAACACAGCATTCTTGTGCGTTCTGCAGCCCCCTGGCTCGCTCGAAGAGGACTGCCGAGATTATATGGGGGTCGCGCGGTGCGGAGATGATCCCAGATTCCGACTTGAGAGAGATTGACCTTTATTCCTTCCAGGTGCCCTCTACTCGTCAATCCCTGCCGGAGCGGGCACCGCTCGTTGTGGTCTTGCAAACCGCAATAACCTGTTCATGGACCATTGACGCGTCTACTCCTTCCAGGGCCTGTTGAAGCACGAAGGCAAGGCAAAGTTCGGCGATGCCTACCGCCAATGGCAGTTGGATGCCCCGAATTTCATCATCGACGGCCATTACCCGGTGAGGGAACTGTGGGCGCGAGCAAGAAGCTGTTGGGACCGGATTTTAGCGCACAATGGGAAGTCGGTGCTCGTGGTCGCCCACAACGCCGTCAATCAGGCTCTGGTGGCCACTGCATTAGGTCCTTCCTCCTGCCCCTGACTGAGGGTTGGGACACACGACGACGAGGTCAAGTTCATCATTGGCTGAGTTGGTTCTTCTTTCAGGTTTAAACACCAGGTACTTCAGGTTCTTGCTCCAGAGTAACTGCGGGGTCAGCGTGCTGGACTTCACGCCAAACCCCAGGGGAGGCTCGCCGCTTATATGCCTTAATCGCCTGAATCAGGTACATCCAACTTCCCGTGGTAACCATTCGATTCTTGGGGGATCCGCTGCATCAAGCAGGAATACTCGTCAGGTGTGGGCCGACATAAAAGGGTGGTCGCCCGCTCCAATCTCCCCGGAGCCTCGTGGAAGAAGAAGATCGAGGAGATTATGCAATGCGGATGTGGGATCGAGAACACAAGCTTGCTGTTTCTCAGCGAACTTGTTCCTTCCCAAAATCAAATGTTTGGATGCAGGAATTCCCGCATAGATGACCAGGCTCATGTTTTTGTTCGTCTGAATTGGGAAATGAGCTGTCGTCACCTTTGAGGACTGTGGTGTTATCAGTGTGCCGGGGGAAGTACGAATGGCGGAAGGTGCTCCCCCCATGTTCGTTATGGGCGGTCTTGTGGGCAGAGGGAGAGGCCAGAAGCCTGACAGAGAGAGAGAGAGAGAGAGAGAGAGAGAGAGAGAGAGAGAGAGAGAGAGAGTTGGAGATCAGCGAGCGAGGCATGATAATCAAGGGAATTAGGGTAGCGGCTTGACGGCCGAGAGTAAAACAAAGATGGTGAGTCATATTGATTCCATCGTTCTGATGAGGACCAAGAAAAGAAGAGAAAAACGTTATATCGCCTTTGCTCCCCACATTCTTATCTGGCATTTTCATGCCGGGTTCCAATTATTTTCCTGGTTCCTCTACCACTCATGGATACGATGGAGGGGCGGCATCGCAATACCAGTTTTTCATCGTCTGTGAAAATCGCCGCACAATATCTTCACCAGCCCACCACGATCGCATGTTCGATCTATGAGAATCAGCGGCTCACATTTTATTGCCTTTTTTTTTTTTTTTTTTTTTTCTTGCTCTGTTTGTAGTCGTTTCTTTCTTCCTGCTCAGAACGAAGGCAGGATGATCCGATCGGCCCAGATCTCTGTGTCATGCCCGGTGCTATATCTTGAGGGCTTTTCCTTTTTCTCCAGAGCCAGTTGCTCCGGTTGATGTTGTCTCGAGTCCATCGAGTGTCCTGACGAAGAGTGGCGTTTTTTTTCTTTATTATTATTATAAAATAATTGTGACCACTAAAAACGCCGGCATGGCTTCTTGCAGACCCCGAATTCGCCGATCGCGCGTGGAAGCTCGGGGGGGAGGAAAGCTGCCGGGCGAATCTTTCTGGTGTGTTACGGAACAACGCAGAGCGGCTCTGAGGTAGGGTGCAAACTAACCCGCGGACTCTCGTTTTGACTTTTAGAGGTCAGCCACGCCAGAACAGCATGCTGCGTTCTGCGTAGTCAACAGAAAGGGTACCTTTTTATGGTTCCAGGGAACTACATTATTATATGGACGGGATGGCATAGGTTTCCACAGCCCAAGACTCTGTGTGCCGCATAAATCTTAGACAAGCTCATTCTTCATCTCACCTCTTTGACAAGCTAGGATTAGCTGGGCTGGAGCTTGGCCTTCATCTTCGGGACTGGATAGGAGAAGGATGCGCACAGTAGATGGGTTTTGCAGCGTCTGCTTGTCTTGATGTGATCTGGAGCGCTTCTCGTACTCTATTTAATCTGCTCTGTGCTCCTTTTCCAGGTCACTTTTGCGAGTTTTGGGTACGAATCCATGAATATGCTGGGCGTTATACAGGTAGATTTTGTTTTGCCCTCGGTTTTGATTTCCCGGTTGTTGTTGTCTGCGGGATCTTGCTGAGATGATTCCGTCCGAAACTCTCACGGGTTGCAGTCCCAGAAGACCGCGGAGGTGCTTCTTGATGTCAAGGTCAATTCGATAGTATGCAGTCCCCGGATCGCCTCCGTGGACACCGCCACCGCCATCGCCGAGGTGGGGGAGTCTCCGTCCGTTGCTTCTTATGGGGCTGTGCTCGCAACATAACCGTGGAGTTTGGGCCTGCTTGCAGGTTCAAGAAGCAGCGGATTGCTTGGGTGCCGACTGCGTGCCTCGGTACGTCGAGATGAAGAACATGCTGGAGCTTGAAGTCGAAGGCTTCCTCCCGGCGAGCGGCGGCGGCGGCGGCGGCGTCGGGGTGAGAGAATTGTGGGATCAGTCTGGGAGAGCTTGGGAACTTGTGCTGAAGGAGCTGGCGGCCGAGTCAGAGCCGGAGAGGAATGTGGTGGCGGTCGGGCACCCTGCGCTCCACGTCGCGCTGATCGGGCACTGCTTGGGTCTGACCGAGGCGATGATGGGGTCTTTTCATCTCGACAGCGGCAGCATCTCCGTCATCGACTTTCCCGACGGCCCGCGGGGCAGAGGCGTTGTTCGCTGTGTGAACTACACTGCCCACCTGGGGAGATGGTCGATTCCTGTGACCAGACCCACCGCCACGAACGACGAAGAGTTTTAGCTCGGTGCCTTCTTAACGCTGAGAAAACCAGCCATTGCTGCCCTGAGATTATCCATGGCCTGCATGTGTACCAGCGAGAGAGAAGAAAAGGCAGTTGGAGCGTCTGTGAAGGCAGGGCTGAGGTTGGGGCACCGCCACCGCCACCGCCACCGTCGCCAGGATTCGAAACTCCGCCGACTTTAGCGGGATCTCATTAAGCGTCGCAACAACCTGCGGAGGCGGTGGTAAAGCGACCGCGGGGGTGGGCGGTGATGACACCTTGAGAGGTGTTCCCACCCACCGCCTGCTCCAGCAGCACTTTGCGCCTCCGTTTTCGGGCCAAACCTTTAATGGCCTCCAATGGCAGCGCCGCTGCAGTTAGATCGGACGGCAGACGGCTCTCCCCACCACGTGGAAGCGGGCTGCGAGATCTCACGGAACGGGATCAAATTCTTGAAAGGGCCATCCCCACGTGGCAAGGATCGGACGGCTGAGGGTCCATTCCCACTACTAACTTTTCCTGCGGGCTCCCTCTCCGAGTGCAGCAGAGATCCTCCTCTCTCTCTCTCTCTCTCTCGCTCTCCGTCGTGGGAGGTCTTCTAGAGGAGGCGCCGGTGGGCGGGCGGCGGCGGGAGCACAAGGGGATTCCATGGCGTTGAGGGTGGCTCCCGTGAAATTCCCCTCGCGGGAGAGACTCTGCTACACTCCCACGGCGTGCGGGGCCAGATCTCGCCGGGTTTTGATGGCTTCCACCATTCACACGTCCACTGAGTGAGTTCCTCGTCTTCCTTTTCGCCGATCCTCTGTTGGTTTTTACATGCATTTACAGAAAGCATGGGAAATCCCCAATGCACTAGATCGACTCTGCATGTGTGGTTACCGATCCAGCGACCGTGTTTCGCCTACTTATGAGTTATTTTCTTTCCACTTGTATTTGCATTATTCACACCATTCCCCGTCGTGGGGTTGGATCCTTGATGCTGTGATTCCGGCGTCTTGGGATCAGCCGTAGGCCTGCTCTTTTTCTTCGTTCCGGTCGGTCGATGTGTTTGGCTTAATTTTTCTTTATTTATTTGACGTTTTAGCCTCATTATGGTAACCAGGGCTCATCGCAGTGCCAAAGTTTTGGGATTTGGGAGATAACCGATCCTTATGTATATCTCCTTAAATGAGCAGATGTCGTGCGTGCTGGCTCAATGAGTGATGCTGTCTTTTTTTCATGTGAAATGATGTTACGGCCATGGTGACGAAAGCGACTCTCGTTGGTCTTTCGTCCGTATAAATGCTTTATTTCATTCGTATTTTTTTCTTCCTCTTTCACAATTTCATACCCGATCTTTTCCTTGACTCTGTTGACTTTCCCCTTTTTCAGGATTATGAATCCTAAGAAACCGTTCTATCCACCTCGAGAGGTACACGTCCAGGTCACCCACTCCATGCCCCCTCAGAAAATTGAGATTTTCAAGTCATTGGAAGGCTGGGCAAAAGATAACATCCTGGTGCATCTAAAACCCGTGGAGAAGTGTTGGCAACCGCAGGACTTCCTGCCGGAGCCCTCTTCAGACGGATTTCACGAGGAAGTCAAGGAACTGAGAGAGCGGGCAAAGGAGATCCCCGATGATTATTTTGTCTGCTTGGTGGGAGATATGATCACAGAGGAGGCGCTTCCCACGTATCAGACAATGTTGAACACCCTTGACGGCGTTCGGGATGAGACAGGTGCGAGCCCCACTTCGTGGGCCATCTGGACAAGAGCATGGACCGCGGAAGAGAATAGGCATGGCGATCTTCTGAATAAATATCTCTATCTGTGTGGCAGAGTCGACATGAGACAAATTGAGAAGACAATTCAGTACCTTATTGGATCAGGAATGGTATGATCCTGACCACAGTTGCAACATTTTTCTCTTGAATTTTGTTCAATGGCTGCTCTATCTCGGTGCTCGGTTCTGGTTTCTCAATCCGCTGGCTATTCTCTTCTATGTTACTCAGTTGATATCTCACAATCCAGAACGCGGTAGTATATAAACCAAAAGAACGCCTGCCTCCCCTTCTGTGCCTGAAGCTCCCACACACCAGTCTCTTCGAAAACGCTTGCTCAAGGCTATTCTATGTCGATTCCATTCACAATCTCACAACCGAGTAGATCCAATTCGTGTTCATCTATAGATAATGCACGAGGGAGAACTTGTGACCTCTGGATGGAGAGGGATTCAAACGCTGGATATTCCTATCATTACTCCGTTTTTCAGAACCGATTCCTTCAGCCGCTCAAACCTCCTTGTCTTTCGTCACCTGCACTTTCTATTTATGTGCTGTAAGGAAGGGACAGTTCTATGCGAGAAAATTGAAGCCTATTTTGGAGCTATGACTCCTAGAATCATAAAGTGGAAGATCCGTAACTCTCTGTCCATTTCTTGTCGATATGCTTACCGGTGTTTCTTTCAACTTTTTGCCCGATCTCTTTCTCCTGATGGTTAACACCCCTTCCTAGTGATGACGGTGGCAACCTCTCTCCCTTTGCGGGAAAAGAAGGAAATTCTCTCTCTCTCTCTCACTCTCTCTCTCTTCTGGAAGAACATAGTGCTTCATATCTCTTCAGGATACGGGGCATCCTTTAATCTGAGATTTTACTAAATGAGGGGAAGCGTCTGAAAACCCTGGTTGATCTCTGACTCGGCCCATGCACCTTGATCCCGAGTTAAAGAAGAGTGAAAGCTCATCAGGCCCCTCAGTGGCGGAGTCGGACATCACCCTTGGTGACAGGGGAAGTGAGCCACCTAGGGTGATGTTCGAGCTTGATCTCTGTTAGAAGAGCTAAGGGTTCGGGTCTGTTCCAAAGCAGTTTTCTTTTGTTTTTTGGTTTTTTTTTCTCACGAAGAGCAGATTTACATCAGACACGAGTATGTATCCAGTTATGATCATTCCTGAGATGTTTTTGTTATGATCTCTGTAGGATCCTGAGATGAAAATGTCTGGTTTTTTGTGACTAGATATTTGATTACTTGTGGTTTTGAACGGAGTTTTATGCATGCTTATTGAGATTTTCTTGCCGTCTTTTTTCTTCTCATCCTACTGTGGCTATGTAGGATCCCCGGACGGAGAATAGCCCCTATCTTGGATTCGTCTACACCTCCTTCCAGGAGCGGGCGACCTTTATTTCCCATGGAAACACTGCCAGGCGCGCCAAGGAGCACGGAGACATGAAGCTAGCGCAGATATGCGGCACCATCGCAGCGGACGAGAAGCGACACGAGATGGCGTACACAAAGATCGTGGAGAAGCTCTTTGAGATAGACCCGGACGGCACGGTGATTGCATTTGAGGATATGATGAAGAAGAAGATCTCCATGCCGGCCCATCTGATGTACGATGGTCGTGACGACAACCTCTTCGAGCACTTCTCTGCAGTCGCCCAGCGGCTGGGTGTCTACACCGCCAAGGACTACGCCGATATACTCGAGTTCCTCGTCCAAAGATGGGGCGTGGAGCACTTGACCGGCCTTTCTGGGGAAGGCAGGCGGGCTCAGGAGTTCGTCTGCAACTTGGCGCCAAGAATCCGAAGGCTGGAGGAGAGAGCCCAGGGGAGGGCGAAGAAGCGAGAACCAGACGTAGCCTTCAGCTGGATCTTCGACAGGAAGGTTCAGCTTTGAATTGTACCTCTCCAGGTTCGTCTGGGCTCTCTGCCCACTTTGAAGGTTTTGCAGACTCTCCCCGCCTCTGCTTTCGCTCTCTCGCAGGTGCTTTAGATGTTCTGGGGAACTATGCTCGCCTCGGCTCTCGCAGTTTGTCCCGGTCGGGGGTGCTTTTGACTTGATGGTGGCTGTAGATGTAGATAGTGAGGAGGTTTGATAGGCCGTAGGTTGACGGCTAGTGAGCTTAGGGCAGCTATTGAGTGTGTGCATGAACTCTGTGGGAGCTGATGTTGACTTCTCCCGCGATGGTGTGTGTTGTTTCATTCCGATTCGATCATTTGTAGGATCCTGGATTCGCCGCCGTCATTTTATTATTTTATTATGTGTGTATGTATGAGAGAGAGAGAGAGAGAGAGAGAGAGAGAGAGAGAGAGAGATCTGTGTAAATGGGCCGACTACGGCCCACTCTTGCCCAACCCGCATTCGAATGTGTAGATGGAGGGAGGAAGGGAGAGAGAGAGAGAGAGAGAGAGAGAGCTGTGTCATTGATGATGGGAGTACTATTTAGATAAAAGGAGGATCCAGAAGTCATAGACCGGAGTCCCTATTAAAGTCAAGCCATGGAATGATTCACCGAAATAGAGCCCATCTCCACAATTATCCAGCACGTCATCACCACCATTTCGTCTTAATGTTGAGAGAGAGAGAGAGAGAGAGAGAGAGAGAGAGAGAGGGAGAATGGTGGGTGAATTGGCCTATAGGGAGTGGGTTTTTAATGACAAATGGGTCTCGCATAGCGGGGCCATGTGGTGGTAGAAGACGATGGTGGCCACCCTGGTGGAATAGTATTTTATTTGGACGCCCTCCCTCCTCCCCCCTTCTTCTCAGCTCTGGGGCGAGTCGGTCCTCTTCCGCATGTGTCCCGACAGACCAGAGCAAGAACTGTGCTCCAGCGAGCCGTTGAGCGGTTGAGCAACTCATGGAAGAACGCCAAAACGGAACAGCGGGTGAAGCTGCAGACCACACAGGATGTCAACGGCAGACTGATTATTAATGCGATCAGTTCGTAAAACCCAACTGGGGGGTGGTGGCGAGGGAGCGGGAGGAGTATTTTAGTCGGATTCGGTGGGTGTATCAACGCTCGATAGGGTATAATTTGTGGATTGTGGCCACGAGTCTCGTCTAGGCTGGCTAGGAGTTTGAAACTTCATTTTCTCTTCCCCGAGTTAATGACCCCCGAAGTCAGACTATGCTTAGGCGAAGCCTAGGCCCTAAGGGGAACGCTGACGCCCTAAGAAGCAGGAACTTGCCGTTCTCTACGGATAGCAGCTTCCCCGAGCAGTTGAGGGTTTTTACCTGGGAAACCCTGCCTGGGGGGGGTAGAGAGGAGGACGTCCTCCGACTCCATTATTGTTCCGAAAGATCGCCTGGAAGAGTCGTCGGCTGGCTGTGGGTGGCCAGTCTCCTCTGCTGCTCTCCGAGTCTACGTCGTTATAAAACATAATGGCGTTTTATTAACGAAGCCAGCCAGCCCGGCGGTTTCCGGGAGGCTTCGTATTTATTGTCCAGTAATTTTGTTAGGGGCGTCTTTGCGGTGAATAGTCAACGACTCGTTGCGTGCGGCTGCCGCTCTGGTCCGCGAGGCTTCAGTACAATTACAATACGGAAAGATAACCCACGGAGGGGGATGAAGTCTCGCTATGGGGCAGATTTTTGGATCCCCCAGTTATGACCTTGGTCATCGCCCGACGATCTTTCATTTGTATAATAAGAGCCCTCTCGCTGCCGTTCGCTGTAATCTTGTCGTCATCTGGCCATGCACCACCGTTAGAACAGTCTTGTCTGAGTGAGAGTCTCAGGCAGTTGAGCGGCCCGAACGTGGCCTCTCCTGCATCGCTTCGAGCCACAGAGGCCCTAGTACCTAATACAGAGATGGGGAGAGAGAGAGAGAGAGAGAGAGAGAGACAGACAGACAGAGAGACAGAGAGAGAGACAGAGAGACAGAGAGAGACAGTGGGCGTTGCTTGGGCGCTCGTCAATGTGATGGGTCTGTAGCGTCGTTATCAACCTTAGTATCTCGGAAACAGTTGGCTTTCTGGGATCGACTTGTTTCCCAGACCAGGTCACCTCAGAACAGCGTTTGCCCCTCCCCAGCCACCTTTTACCTAACTGGATCTCATTCGCATCCCCACTCGAACGTAACCATACGCGTGCTAATTTTTAAACCCATGGTTTCCGCTCCCGAACGATTGGACATCTTCTTCAGTAGGTTCTTCAACGCGATCCGCGCGATGATTGCACGCGCTGGTAATGCTAAGAGAGATTAAACTACAGATATTATATACGCATAGTCATTTAATGATGGCGAGCCAGGCTCCAAGGTCACATTATTCCCTTGGATCTCCTCTCATGGGGTGTAGGGTTGGAGCTGCAACAGGGCTCCATACGCTATTTAATGGGAGTGGACCCGGTTCGCGCTATCAAGAACCCTAAACCGCTAATAACCCCATTGATCACATGATTATCTAGGCGAGAAATACGGGAAGAGATGTGATCGGGCTTGACGATCCATCCAGAAAGAAGAGCTTGCAGTCCCCCACGAGTCGCTGTACCTCGCCTTCATTAATAAAGGTCGGGTCTCATTCACTATTACATAACTAGGGGAAATATTAATAAAGATCTGGCGGAGAGACCCGGTTTCGCTCTCTTCTCAAGGATGGGTTGAGGTTTTTGCGCGGAGATCACCACCCTGAGTCGTCCCGGGGCAGGCACCAGGTCGACCCTCTTCAGCCATCTGATAAACTGACGGAGAGGAAGTTTTTATCTAGGGGCGAGAGGGGAAAGGGGGAGAAGGAATAAGAGTAGGAGGAAGAAACCCCAAAGTGTCGATCCTTTTCTTCTCGCTGCCTTCATCTCGCCCCGCCCAATCATCAAGTGCTTTCTCTCTCCTCTCCTCGCACGACGGTCTTCCTCGTCGCCAATTGCCTAATTTTGGGTTGGGGTGGGAGGGGTGTTTTGGAAGCAGGACGAGGAAGATAGTTTGTGCCGATCGGAACACATCCAGTTTAGTCTCTTCTTGTTCGTCGTCGTCGTCGTCATCATCATCATCATCATCATCATCATCATCATCATCTCCTTCTTCTTCTTCCTCCCCTGATTCGATTGCTGTCCATGCCAATGAGGGACTTCGCTTCCTGTTACAACGAACATGCCGTCAGTATTTCGGATTCATCTTGCTCTGGAAGTGGCAGCGTCGTCTCCGCCAAAGACCCATCGGTGCAGAGGTCCGTCGCCTGCTTCTACAGGGTCAAGCTGTCCACTCAGAAGGAGCTCCTGGTAAAGGTGGCGTGGTCCAAGAGCCTAATTGGGCAAGGCTTCTCCGTTGGCGTGGAGGACTACCCATCTCATCACCACCCCACACCAACGGCGAGCGCTGGCAATTCTCTTCTTGTGAGGAAGAAGAAGGGGAGCCGATCGCACTTGTACGGTGACACCCTTGTGGAGCTCCACTGGGACATATCCTCAGCTAAGTATGTCTCCGGATCCGAGCCTGTCGAGGGCTTCTACGTTGTGATGATAGTGAATTCCGAATTGGGGCTCTTATTGGGGGACACGAGGGCACCCCACATCAAGAAGCTGGAGGAAACCAGACCAGCGGCCGAATTCCGTCTGATAAGCCGAAGGGAGCAAGTCGTCGGCGGCACCCTCTACCTTACCAAAGCCCGCTTCGGCGATGAAGGCCGGGACCATGAGATCCTAATCAAGTGTATGGGAGACGGCCGCGACACCAAGGATTCGGAACTGTTCGTCTGCATCGACAAGAAGAAGGTGGTTCATGTGAGGAGGCTTAGGTGGAACTTCAGAGGGAACCACACCATCTTCGTCGACGGGTCGCCGGTAGACATGATGTGGGACGTTCATGACTGGTGGTTCAGCGAGACGTCGAGCCGGGCTGCCTTCATGTTCCGCGCCAGGAGCGCGTTGGAGAGCCGGCCGTGGCTGCTGGAGGAGGAGACGGTGGACAAGGAGCAGGGAGGAGGTAAGTCTGGATTCTCCCTCTTGATCTACGCCTTCAGAAATCCCTGAGAAGGGGTTGTGAGGCATCTCTGACAGGAATTATAGAGGCGGTGTTCTTCTTCTTTGGTTCCATTTTCACTTGTCGGCCTCCTCTCCTCTCTGTGTCGGAGGGGACGAGGAGGGAGAGGGAGTTCGTTCGTTTCTGTATGGAATGCTGATGTGAAGAACCGGATGGTTCTCAGTTAATTCCGGGATCCCGGGAGATACATTCTGTAATATGGATTGTCGAGACGGGGATTTCATAACCTTTGATAATCAGCGATTCTCTCTCTCTCTCTCTCTCTCTCTCTCTCTCTCTCTCTTGCTCGCTCAATCTCAATCTCAATCTCAATCTGTGCACATATGGTCCGACCCACTAACTGTAATATAGATTATTATTTTTATCGTTATTGTTAATATTGACTCTGAACTGTGGAAGAACATGCATGAAAATCATTTTCCCCACCCATGAACAGTAGAGGTTTTAATAGCCATAAAGATGGCGCTACCGCTCGCCGAGCACCTATTGGAATCCCAACTTTTCCTGGCATTCCAATTCTTCGTGCACACAAAAAACTTCGCTTCCTCTCTCTCTCTCTCTCTCTCTCTCTCTCTCTCTCTCTCTCTCTCTCTTTCTCTCTTTCTCTCTCTGAATTAATAATGACGTTATTGGTAATAATCAAAAGAAAATGAATACTATTAAGAATGATAAAGAAGAAGAAGAAAAACACTTGGCCACGTGACGTGGTTAGGAGTCGATCTCAGATCAAGTCTCGGGTTAACGCAGTTAGTATTGGGAGGAACTTGATCGCCTGTTGAAGGTTGGAACTTGGCGAGCACCGACACGTATACCTTGGAAGACCAGTGCAGAGGAACCCGCCGTTGGGCTACAGCGCTCGAGTTTGTGTATCTCTTATTATTATTTTCCCTTGTCTTTTTCCCGCACTCCTGAACTCGATAGTGTCGGAGCAGACCCGCAAGGTCAACTCCCCGCCGCCATCCCCATTCGAGGCACCTTGATTTGTTTCCCTGGCAATGAAGATGGCACCATCCCCAGACAGTCATCGCGTTGATCTGCGGACATGGTCGGAGCCAGTAACTGGCGTGTTTTCTCCGATCCAGACAGATTCCTCCCTCCCACCATGCCTTCTCTACTTTACGGTCTCCTGTTAATAGAACCGGCGACGGAAGGAAGAAGAAGAAGAGGGGACAGCATGTGGACACAGTTATTGCTCATAAACGACCCGAAGGGGGCTCAGAGGAATGGATGTGTGAGGGAGTGAGCTGCCTCCGATAGCTCCTCCTTCATTAATGGTTCAGTTAGCATGCTCACCGAGGGTCCCATCTCCCACACCCACGAATTTATTCACATCCCGAATGGATGACCCCCCTTGGTGAACATGTTATCTGATCTATCAATGCAAGAGGAGCGAGAGGAGACGGCCTTCTTGGGCCTTGCCTATATCCGTCGTGTACCATGGGGGCGCGTGAACCTTCCCTGGACATGCTTCGGCATCCGACAATGACACAGTTGCCTTCCAGCCGTAATCAGGATGATCTCCGCTGAAGGCCCGCTTTGATCGAACGCTGCTTCCGATATTTGACTTTGTCAAGGCCAATAAACAAAAAATGGGCCCAGCTCCGTACTCTCGCTGCCTCGTGCGTTCCTAGTGCAAAAAAAAACTCGTCCCTTGTTCGTAAACTTACGAGGACCAAAGGCCGGCGGCGCTGGTCTGGGTACATGCGGAGGACTCCGCAATGTACGGACCGAGATAGAGAGAGAGGCGAGGGTGCAGCGAGGGTGCAGCGCGAGTGCAGTGTACCCTTCACGGTCTCGATTGACGACGTTCGATTCCCTTGGACCTCGCGTATATCCGCCGTATGAAGTTGGGCCAGGACCTCGTTCCATGTGCTCCGCCTCTCGTGTCCTCTCGCAATTAAATACTTCCCGGGGGGGGAGTTTAATTCCCGCTTCCAGTGCTCCGCAGAGACATGTGGATATCTGATGCCGTCGCCACCTCTGATGAATCTGGAGGAGGTAGTAATTGTCCGTTGACCCACTGGCAAATGCTGTCATCGGAACTCGGCCCAAAACCGAGCCACTCCTAGCGCCGCTGCGCTGGTTGCGGATGGGCCTCATCAGTGGCTTTCACCACACCACCGGCGGAAGCTCGGATTCGACTGGCAGGTTAGGACGTGCTCTACGTGTGCTTCTTTCACTTGAGGACCTCTCCCTCCGAGGGGTCAATTTACTCATTTACTCGTCTACAGGGGACAGTCAACGCTGCGGCATTCGATAATGGAGTCAAATTCCAATGGCCAACGACGGCATGGCATGAACAATGCCCAGACTGCCGTGGTCCCTGTAAGGACGGCATTGATGTGGCGCCGCCCTCTCTCTCTCTCTCTCTCTCTCTTTCTCTCTCTCTCTCTCTCGCTGTGCATATATATATGTGTGTGTGTGTGTGTATGTCTTGAGTGTACATATAATAGGGAAATAATTATGCCCGGCGTGCATGTTGGGCTCAACGTAGCAGAGGCATCGGACGATTCATCTGGCTGCATTTATTGGACAGTCTGTGCGATCGATATATCGACCAACGCGAAGATTCGAGTTGAATAAAGAAAATGACGCCCCCCACAGCTGAGAGCACAGTCAACGTTTCAGCGGGCCGTCGCCTCCCTTCCTCTACACCCTGTTACAGCGTGAGAGAGAGAGAGAGAGAGAGAGAGAACGGAGTCGCCACTTGGCGGAGCAGTGGGCGGCCGTTCATGAAAGGTCCGGTCATAGTACGTTACGTGGAGTCGGGCCCAAACAAAGGAGGCCCGACAAGTCACAAAGAGCGAGAACAAAAGGGGCCCACTCAATCGATTAGAGGGACTTCTTACGGCACGGTGAGAATTAGTCAAATGACTGACGAAAAATTTTAAGTCAACAGTCTCCTCTTCCATGCCTCCCTCGCTCGCTCGTGGACCATATAACGAGTGGGCCTCGTGGAAGCCCAGCCCAACATGTCCATCGTACATCTGGGCCCGAGGATCTGAGCCCACGATCTGTCTCACACGTGCGGAGTTATTTGATTTATTATTTATATTTTTAGTTGCATTATTTGTGGGTGATGGTTCGAGGGGAGAGGGACGCCACTGAAATAATAGAATTAAATAAAACATGACCAAAGTGGTCGGGCGCGTGGGGGGGCGGTGCATGATAAACGCAATGTATCACGCGCGAAGGCGAGGTTGTTGACGTTGACTTTAGTTACTCCCAGACGTTGACGATTTTATGTATTCAAATATCTCCCGAGTTTTCTCGAAACCTCTTACTTTCTAGCGATTTAATCTCAGAGGCCATTATCCAGGTATTTCCCGTAATAATATTATGAAAAGGGGCCCTTTAGGTAATCGTAGAAATGAGAAATATTATAGTAGTAGTAAACGAGAGGATCCGATAATGATATTTTTATGGACAGATCCATCGGCGGATCTAATGACTCGGCGACAGGAGGGCGAGCGCGTAAACAAATCTCGGGCAGCCGCACGCTACACCTGGCCCCCATCGGGCACCTCCCCTTCCCTTCCCCCGGAGGGTGACGTCACGTCGCACGCCTCTAAAATCATATCCGGCCGGTGCCCGTGATCATTGAATTGAATATGCCAGATTAATATCCACTCCCAGGCTACGTGATTGACTGAAAGATTCCCTTCCAAAACCTCTCTCTCTCTAGATGCTCTCTGCCCTCCGCGTCAGTCCATAAAAGGGTGGCCTTGCCCATCACGTCCGAAGCGATCGTTCTCCGCCGCATCGGCCTCCCCGCCCGCCCCGAATCGCGCGAACATGTCTGCCTACTGCGGGAAGTACGCTGGTGAGCATTCTCCCGTCCTCTCCGTCGACCCCTCTCTCTCTCTCTAGCCGGCCTTCTTCCCCCTCGCTTTGAGGTGGACTCTGCATTATGGCGCCGGGACTCATCCTTCTGACGAGTCTCGGAAGGTAAGGCCCAGGCCCGCCGGCACGTTGACTCCATGAGTGTGCCTGTCTAGGGCAGCTTGCGGGTCTCCGGCGGAGTCCTAGCAGCGGCTAAGCACTTCCCCTCCGGGTTTCAAATCGGGTTTCGGTTGTCTCCTCCCCCCACCGTGCACAAGCTCCGAAAAGTCTCCTGCTTGATTATTCTGGCGATCAGATTCCCTGTGTCGCTTGTTATAATAATGGTTGGTCTGTTCTTGCAGAGGAGCTCATCAAGAATGCGGCTTACATCGGGACGCCTGGGAAGGGAATCCTTGCCGCCGACGAGTCGACTGGGACGATCGGCAAGCGGCTGGCCAGCATCAACGTCGAGAACGTGGAGTCCAATAGGCGGGCCCTCCGCGAGCTCCTCTTCACCACACCGGGAGCGTTCGAATGCCTCAGCGGAGTCATCCTCTTCGAGGAGACCCTCTACCAGAACACCGCGGGTGGGAAACCTTTCGTGAAGATCCTCAGCGAGGGGGGCGTGCTCCCCGGGATCAAGGTCGACAAGGGCACGGTTGAGCTAGCCGGCACCGACGGCGAAACCACGACGCAGGGCCTCGACGATCTCGGCAAGCGCTGCGCCAAGTATTACGAAGCCGGGGCTCGCTTCGCCAAGTGGCGGGCCGTTCTAAAGATTGGCCCAACCGAGCCGTCTCAGCTAGCCATCAGCGAGAACGCCAATGGGCTGGCGAGGTACGCCATCATCTGCCAGGAGAACGGCCTCGTCCCCATCGTCGAACCTGAGATCCTCGTCGATGGGTCTCACGGAATTGACATCTGCGCGGCCGTGACGGAGAAGGTCCTTGCCGCCGTCTACAAGGCACTGAGCGACCACCATGTGCTTCTGGAGGGCACCCTGCTGAAGCCCAACATGGTCACCCCTGGCTCGGAGGCACAGAAGGTGGCGCCGGAAGTGGTAGCGCAGTACACAGTCCGGGCCCTGCAGAGGACTGTTCCGGCGGCTGTTCCTGCCATCGTATTCCTTTCCGGTGGGCAGAGCGAGGAGGAGGCCACGCTGAACCTCAATGCGATGAACCAGTTGGAGGGGAAGAAGCCATGGTCGCTTACCTTCTCCTTCGGTCGTGCGCTGCAGCAGAGTACTTTGAAGGCGTGGGCTGGAAAGGAGGAGAACCTTGATAAGGCACAGGCCGCCTTCCTGTCCAGGTGCAAAGCAAACTCTGCGGCCACTCTGGGGACCTACAAGGGGGATGCCGCAATGGGAGAGGCAGTCTCCGAGAGCCTTCACGTCAAAGACTACAAATATTGATCTCGCTTTGTGCTTCTTTTCTGTCCGGCGACTCTCGTTTTGATGACAGCGAACCCAGGTCTTCGCATTCCCGACACGAGTTCTTAGAGCTCCCTTCCCTCCCCGTCCCCCTTGTTGTTTAATAAGCCACAACGCTCTCCCCCGGTTCGAACGGTACTCCGATGCCGCTGGTCGTGCTGATGCTCCGGGTTTGGATCTTCAATCTTCGTCTCTTTTACCGGGGTTTCTTTACGAGCTTCCTTTTTCCCCAGACTGTTGGTTGGGACCTTGCTCTAGTGCACGGCTACACTCTGGCGACTAGCAGTCTCCTTCGCCCGCAGGAACCTCAACTCGGCCGATATGCGTTCTCTTGTAAGGGTGGGCATCGCCATTTCGGAGACCTTCTGCGTGACCCCCCTCCCTTCCGGGGAGCCGCGGCCACTAAACTTAACGGCTCGGGGGAAGAGGAGGTAGGAGAGAGAGAGGGACGCTCAGCCCAAATTTCCTTTGGCCCAACCCCCGAAGAAGGTCAACTCGTTGATCTAATCATGAGCAGGGAATGATTGGATGTAGTTATCAGATAATATATTTGCCATTGTCAAATTAATAATGCCGATCGGATCCTCAACACACTGTTTCCCGTCGTATCATCTGCTTTTTCCTTGGGATCAATGAATCACCGGCGGCACGCTCCACCGTCGAGGACGCTCCCCTCCCACAGGGTCGACCCATCGACGAGAAACGGGAAATACCTCTCCTCGTTAGCTGGATCCACAGCGCCGTCGAGCGCCGGACCCACCACCGCCGCCGTCGCTTCCCCAGCGTATTGATTCTCCCGGCAGCTGTGGTCACTCCCTTGGCTGCTGTACAAGGAATCAAGATGCTTGTAGTAGGGGCACGTCCGCGAGCTCTCCTTCCTTTTCTTGTTGCATTTCTTGGTCTTCCTGAAGTACTTGTTGATATTCTCCCACTTCTCCTTGCACCGCTTCGCGCTGCGGTTGTAGCCCGAGGTCGCCATCTTCGCGGAAATCTCTTCCCAGAGGGTGCTCTTCGGGCACGCTCCTTGGAACCTCCCTTCCATGGCGGTCCGGAGCTGAATTAGGCACGTGACTTCCTGATCCGGCCATCTTCGTGTATCGCAATCTTGCTCATTCCGGCAGTCACTGTCCTCGACGGCGTCCATGGAGACCAGGTCATCCGGCGAAGGGGGCTTCTGCTCCCAACCACTGAGCCTCTCCAGGGCCTCAATGAGGGCAGAATCCCGGGCCTCGATCCAGGCCCGCTCTTTCGCCCAGAGCTTGTGCTCTTCCTCCAAGCTAGCGGCTTCCCGCTTCCTGCGTTCTTCCTCTCTGGATATTCTCTCCTTCTCCTTCATTTCCAGGGTCGTCAGCATCTTCTCCAACCAAGCCTCCTGCACCGCCATGAATCGCTCCAGCTGCTGGTCCACAAATTCTCTCATCTTCGCCCTCCAGCTCTTCCTCCCCCTCTTAGATCCCCGACCATCTTTCCTATCACCATTCTGTCGATCACTGCTTGCCATGGCGGTGACGTTAGCGTCGTCCTCAGAAGACCAGCTGTCGAAGTCGGATGAATTCGACAAGCTGACGTTTTCGTAGACTTTTTGAGCCCGGAAAGTTTCCTGGCTTGATGGGGCCAAAGAAGAGTCACCAGTAAGCATATGAAAGACGGAGTAATCAGCGACGTTGGTGGAATCTGCGATCGGATTGTTGGTGCCGTCTCCATATAGGGCCTCAAGCTGCCGGAAGAACCTGTAGTGCTTGCCGTCATGCCTGCCCGCCTTCCCCTCCTTCGTCTTCTTGTAGTACTTGTACAAGTTCTCTAGCTTCTCCCTGCATTTCTTCCCGGTCCTCTGGTACCCGTGCTCCTCCGCCATGATCCTGCCAAAAAAGAGGAATGAAATAGTGCGGATTCTGCAAAATGAAAAGCAGTCTAATTTGCTTCATCGTTAAGTAGACCATGTTATCATGAGGGTTTCTTTCTCCTACACTGGTGTAACTAATCCAAAACGGTGATGGCTCGACCGCCATAGAATTCCCTAACAATCCTTGAAAACGGCTTGCTTCTCAAAGAAGATCCGCCTGAGTGCACGTAGTGCTGCTCCTTGATAGCTTTCCATTGCGAAAAGAGAATTAATCTGAGGAAGAATTCAATGGGAGGCCGGGACTGCCATTTCCTCCAGCACCGAACGAAGGAAAGCCAACCAAACCTGCATCTTCATGTGACTGTCTGCCTCATTAAGAAATACGCAGAGCAATGAAGAGGAGAGAAGCGCGGCATAGGTGCAAGCGAGAGCCCGTTGAAGAGGGAAGCGCTGAGGAAGGCGGGGATGAAGCTAAACACGTCACCGGAAATGCTGCCAGATTTCTCTTGGCCAAATCTCAGGTGTTGTCTCTTTCCTGTGTCAGAACCGCTAAAGGACGGAGAAAGAAGAAAGAGAGGGGGATGGAAAGACTGTGTGACTGTGTGTGTGGGTTGAGGGGTAAGAGGGGCGGGGGGGGGCGGAGAGAGAGAGAGGAAGGAAAAAGACTGATGGCAGCGATGAGGCTTTTCTGCTACAGACGGCTGGAGAAGATGGATGGAAAGGGTTAACAGGGAAACAGTAGAGAGAGTTACGCAAATATGATCAAGACGACAAGGTTATTTCTTTTTTGAAAATTCGTGTTGCTTGATTCGTAGTCGTAATTGGGAATACCTGGAGACCTCCTCCCAGACGGGAGCCTTTTCGGGGGCCTCCTTGAACTTGAAGTCTAGCCTTGACCTGATCTCAAGAAGGGTCAGCGTCTCCTGCCTCGGCCACCTGCCCTGGGAGCATCCGCTGACGCCGCCGCCTCCAGTGGCCGACGCCGTGCCAAAACCGCTGTCACCCTCATCCCTGAGGCCGGGGAAGAAGTCCATTCCATCCTGCTTCTGCAGAGGCGGGGGAGGTGGGTGAAGAGGAGGGCTTTCGGCAGTCGGGTTTGGGGGCGGCGACAGCACCACCTCCTCCATCTGTTCGCCGTCGTCGGTACGCAGCTGGAAGAGCTCGTAAAGGGGCTGCTGCGGGAGTGGCAAGCTCCGGTTGCTGGTGAAGGGCTCAGATATCAGGTGCCGGAGCTCCGAAAGAGCATACTGCTCCCCAGCGTCCATCATTGAGTGTGATAAGGGGATAGAAGTCGCGAGGAACGTAACCGGAGTCGCAAACTGTGCAGGAGAGGAAAGCTGAGGGTTTTAGAAAAGAGGGGAAGCAGCGTGTGGCGGGTTGAGGGAGAGGGAGAGGGGGAGACTGAGAGAGCCTAGTGAGAGACGGTCGGGTGGGGGGAGTGTACATAATGTTCGGGCCAGAGAGAGCGCGACTCGTGTCGGTGCAAGGGGACGAAAAACCGAAGGACAAGGCACTGCCATGCCGACTGACGCGTGTTAACTGTGCCTCTCGATGGTTCCGATTTTACCCCTACCTTCTCCTTCCTCCGCTACTCCCTCTGCGCTGGCCGGCACCCCGATGACCTGGTCTTTCTGTGTTTTCGGACTCTCCCCTCAGCTCCTGCGTCGATGGACGCCGGAGTCAAGGAAGAAGATGGACACGACCTGAGGAGGTCTACACCATTGTCATCTTCTGGTCGCAAACAATTTTGGCGAGAGGAGGTTCACTACAGTGGGGAATCATTGTTTGCCCATTGGCATCTGCTAGATGGATCCTGAGCCGAGACCTCTCCCCTCAGTCTCCATATTTATCTCTCTGCCGTCAGAGGATTACTGCAAATCCATCGGCCCATTCCCAGAATGCTCTTTCCTGAGAGTTATATTTAAGAGGGAGACGTGCTAGTAGCCATGAGAGAGAGAGAGAGAGAGAGAGAGAGAGAGAGAGAGAGAGATAGATCTTAGATCCACCGGGCGGTCTCGATCTAGGAACCCGAACGGGGGAACAGACGAGGGAGATGGTGAACTCAAAAAGTCCAAGGACTTCTCGAGCCTCCGATGTTCTAGAGTAAGAAAAGGGGACGCCTCTGATAAACTTGGGGCCAGCATCGCGGATCACATCGAAGGTAAGATACTCAGCCAGACAGATTGGACTGCGCTAGAGAAACTGTTCGCGTACTGCATGCCTCCCAACCGAGTATTTAACTCTTCTGACATGTAGAGGGCCTCCCCCCAGCCTCATTATAGCGCGTCATAAAGCTTGGCCAACGTCTTCATCAGATCTTGCTGATCCGAGTAGGATAATGAAATAAACCACAACAATATAGGGATGACAATTGCAGCGTGGTTCCCTTTCAATGGGTTCCATCGAGAACGTCGTGTGATCACCGACCGCATAGGAAGAAGAGAGAGAGAGAGAGAGAGAGAGAGAGAGAGAGCTTGCATGACACCAACCGCGTGCTCACTTTGGGTGACCTGTGATGTCCAGGATCTATGAAGATGGGGGCCGTCGTGGGAACTCACTGGGCCGTGAGCTTTTCCCTTTTATGGTCTCCTCTTCTTCCATTGCGCCTCTAGCCCGTTTCTCCTTAGGGAACCGGACGAATAGCCTGGAACGTTTCGATTATCCTATCTGTTTGGCAGGTGCTTCGTGCGTCCTTCCCTGCTTCACGCATTTGAACCGATTGCCCTCTACTTTGTAAATTTTTCCGACTTCTTCGGATTTTTTGAGCGCTATCAAACTCTTCCCTCAAGGGTTTGTCAAGTTGGCGTACCACCCTTCATGACGGGGATTGCACCCTCAAGAAACAAGGAGAGCTCACAATCTTCGTCAGAAAGAGGCAGATGAAGCATGTTTCTCCGCGTGTAAATACCTCTCGTCTCTCTCTCTCTCCCACTCACTCACTGTCTCTCACTGCTTTCGCGAGGATCGCTCGAATGCAACGTAAACCTGTGCCTGGAAATCACCTTGAAGCGTACTCGCTTCAAATTTGTCTTTCCGGTGCACCCGTTGAAATGATCAGGCCGTCTGAAGAGAAGAAAACCGAGAGACCAACCCAACGACCCTGTTCCTGCAGGGGGAGACAGATAGGTGGGCAATAGACCATGATGTTTTCTTTTCACGTCTTCTCTTCTCTGACGAACCAAGAGAGATAAACATATCTACCACGAAGACAACAGAGAGGGGAGTATGATAAGGATCTTATGGATACTGAAAAAGAGTAGTCATTCTCATAGTTTTCTCGATTAAACGGGGAAAACCCCTTCACTTCATTAGCCTGTCCGCGCTCCCTCTTATGGTAGAGAGACGCGTTGACGAACACCGACCACCTATTGCCCGGTGAAACTTCAGCGCGCGAAAGAACAAACCATGCATGGAATTAAGCAGGAATCAAGAGATGATACCCCTCGAATCAATCCTTGCGGTGTTCGAATGGCACTGGCAATTTTTATTCCCCTATCCACCCAGTGAGTGATGAACCATCTCCCTATCTGCTCCTGGGGTAGATTCACAGTCGCCAAGCCCGGTGAGTTCTGAATGGCCTGCTGCTACACTGCCTCTCGGTACTAGTTCAATGCCCGTGGGATTGATGCCGTCTCCTCTTCTTGGGTCCGAGAGATCCGCTGTCGCAGACGGACTGGCGAACTTTTGAAGATAGGAGCAGTAAGCGTACGTACACCTTCGCTCTAACTGGTCTTCCACCGTCCATCCACCCGTTCCTCTGCGCAGTCGCCAATGCGGGGGGAAGACAATAGTACCTCTTCTGTGGAACAGCCATGGGTTTCCCCTCGGGGATTAATCCCAGCTGGCTCGATGTTTATGACGCCTGGCGGCGTCTGCCAATGTCGCAGAAATCAGTCAACACAGGGGATAGATGTCGCTCGCGGCCGCTTCCCGACGACCCTCACCTGCCTGCGCCTAGTCACTGAATCCCGGGGTAGCTGCACACGAGAGGACCATGACAGCAGCGTAGCTGGCCGGGTAGCTGGCCAGTCGTGGTACGCGGAATCGGCTGATTCGGGTCGGGGTCTGAGGTCTCCGATCTGATTTTGCGGGAGAATTCTGACACCACCCCTGATCCCCCTCCTCGCCGCTATCTCCACTGTTGCCAATCCAGCCACCGCCATACCCACCCTGGCGCCGCCTTCAAATCGCTGACTTCGTCCGGTCACGGTGGTCTAAAGAAGAAGATTAATGTTGGAAAAGGGAACAGAGCCGCCGATCCTCGCGACAAATTCCCATCGGACGCCGCCGCCTATTCCGGCGATCCAGCCGGCCTGCCCACATTCAGCATAACGTTTACACGTACGCGGGCCGAGAGGAACGGGGGCTGTCATGATAGAAAAGGCACCAGTCCTTGGTTGCACGCAGCCAACTCTAAATCAGGGAACACCCACGGCAATGGAAAAGCGGCCACACGAATAGACAGACGTTCTTCAGCACCATAGTACTCCCGCATCTCCTCTCCCTGAACTGCGGGCAGGAAATGGATAAAGGGTGATGACTCCTCTCACCCCTTTTTCTCTAGCACGCCCACAGGCGACTAGGGGTCTTCACGTCTAATGGACATTTTAACTTTATCCGCCTACTCCCTGAACCATTTCTGGGTCCTGACAGACGTCCGGTGTACCCCCAACCCCTGTGGCTCTCGTTATCATCGTCTTGTTCATGATCGTAGGAAGTTAACCTGGCGGAGGGTCCTTGTTCGTGTCTCTGACTTTGCTCTCCGATCAAGTGCCTGGGATAGACAGCCAGGTCTTGCGCGAATCGCCCAGCGGAGGCTTATGCCCACTCATCGCTGTTCACGCCGGTAACTAGGGGGATTTCTGTCTCCAACAACATAACACCCACCGTGGCTTGCACTGCCCAGCACCGACGAGACGGCCAAAATCAGAATAGGCGGCGCAAAAACTGGTATATCTGCGTTTGTGCTAAAAGAGCCACGTTGGACCAGTATTGCATGTATGAGTCAATCTCTGAGGACGAAATCCTACTGGCAACCCCGACGTTCATAACAACGCATGATATTTCACTGACAAAGCATCAACATTCGACCGCAGAGTATAATCTCGCATGTTCTTCGCTCCCAAGCTGCGCTCAACTCCCGGTCTAACCTGATGAATTATTCGGTCTTCCACGCGAAGCCTGCACGTCAACGATATCTTGCACGTCAACGATAGCCTGCACGTGGATTTATCCAATGACAATACGCTGTTGATCTGCGGGCCAGGTTGGGGCTGCACAAGGAACGGAGAAGGAGCCATTCGGTAATGGATTATGCTTTATTCCCGTCGATGAATGGGCTGACCGCTATCGTTAATCAGGTCACTGGCCCGTCGACTCCCGCTGGGTCTAAACAAGTCAATGTTTTTTGTTCGGTGCTGTGTGAGATCGGGCAAAAAACTCTTCAGGCTACTGTTTCTCCATGAAATCATAGAAGAAACCCGAGTTCAAGTCAGTAAAAAACCAGCACCCCCAGCCAAAGCTTCATAATTTTTATTCTCGGTTCGGGAATCACCGAACTCTTCTACTAAGCATACAAGTTTCTAAACGGCCGCACGAGGGATCTGATACAAGTGCATCGCAGGATTTAAAGGTCAGGGGGGGATCCCTGGCCAAGCTGAGGGTTTAACTGCGGGGATCGGACGATGAAACGGCGAGGCCATCTCGGTGACAGCAGCGAACTTTATGGAGTAATCAACGCCTGGCAATAATAGTAGGCGACAAGGTCTTCTTCATTCTTGCTTGAAGGTCAACAGAAGATATGGCTGAATCATCGCCTCGACATCTCATCACCATCTACGTCCTGTCCCCTGCGAAGCCGTGCTGTTTCAGGAGAAGTCTCCATCACATCAGAGCGCACAGGGTGAATCTAGGAAGTCGTCAAACCTTGAAACCAGCGAATGCCTACGTCTGTGAGTGGTGGAAGACACCGAGGGAAGAGGGGTACGAAGAGAAAGATAAACAAGGATATCCGATGACGGGAACAGATAAGCGCCAAGTCTCGTGCATCTAAACTGTAAATCTGAATCTCTCTTATTGCAAGATTGTCACCGCGAAACCTTATTAGCAAGTCTCCCAAACTTCTGGACATAGCCCACGAAAATCGGGCCATGCACCTTCGAGACGAGCACCTGAAGAAGAAAAAGCTCTGGATGGTAATGAGAGATTCATAAGCACTGAAATGATTCGACGGCGCCTATCTGAGAAACAAGCTGTCCCATATCTTCCG